CACTTTTTCTTCTTAAGTGATCAGTGCAGGGGCTATGAAGATCAAAGCTATACAATTTTAAAACCAATGGCACTACCGTGAAAGTTTTGCCCTGCAGGATGCTTTTTCAGGAAAAGGAATAAAAGAAAGATCCGAGCTGTATGGTGGATGAGCTAAAGTTTTCCATTTGAAACTTTTACGTAGGACTTTGCTTTGAATAGTTTAGCGAGGACGAGCGCACGGGATTATTATTCACATCTGACAGGGGATTCTGAATTGACGCGGGCATTATAAAGACAAGCTGCACAAACAGGACTCACAGTAAAAATAACAAATGACCTCGAGAGAAAAGCGAAACATTCAGGATTATAGTTCGCGCAGACATCGGACTCGCAGAAACTTGCTGCTATTAAAGAATTATCTTTACGAAAACGCCTCATATATCCTATGTTGTTCTCATTAATAATTAAACCCATAAATTTTGCCCCATTGTCAATAGCTTTAAAAGCATCAATTAAATAGCTTAAATCTGAAATTAAAAAACTAATTTCAAATTATTTTGCATTATCTTAACAAGATTTAAGTACAATATTTTCGAACTAAAAAACATTTGAAATTTTGCACGCTTTCATTTTTTCTTCCCTTCTTTCTTTCAAGTGATCAGTGCAAAGCCCATGGAGACCAAACCTCTACAATTTTGAAACCCATGGCAAAAAAGTGACCATCATTGCGCACCGTTGGCTTATACTTTTCAAGCAAGTTTGCAAGATACTTGTGGGTGGGCTTCATGCCGCCACCGATAATGAAACTCCCGTAATTCACAATTTCAGATCTAGGTCTTTTTTAGTGTATAAATTCATCATTGAGCACCGTTGGCTTATACTTTTCATGCAAGTTTGCAAGATACTCTAAAGCAAGTTTGCAAGATACTTGTGGGTGGGCTTCATGTCGCCACCGATAATGAAACTCCCGTAATTCACAATTTCAGACCTAGGTCTTTTTTAGTGTATAAATTACTAACTATTTTTAATTAACAAAAAAAAATATGAATTACGTTTGTTTTAAATTTTTTTGGGAAGAAAAAAAAGTTTTTAAAAAGAAAAAAGAAAATTTAATTGTTGACAGCTTCACATTCACATCAGATTTTTTATTGCAGTGAGTTAGAAAAACAATTTTAATTACTAATGTGCTACTAATGTGGATTTCTTCCCCATTAATTTTTAGCTACAAAGTGAAGAGAAGCACATTAACCATTGTGAGGCAGCAGGTTGTGCACACCTAATGTTAAATAACAAAAACCAAAAGACACCTCAAGGTATGAAATTCATAACTTATTATGTTAGCATTGTAAAAGGATTACAAATAATTGTTTGTAGAAGCGCATATGACAAGAGAAGAAAGCATTAAACCTAACAACAACAAAAATGAAGAGAAAAAAATATCAATAAATAAATATATATCACGTTTTGCCAAGGCTAAAAATAATTGATGCGATGCTGTTTATTTTCCTGGAACTGCACCTGTTGCAATGAATTCTTTCCAATCTATCGAATTATTAAGATTAATAATATTGTTATATAATTTTTTTTAATATTTTTCTTTCTAAGCTTAAATAGAACAAATTAAAAAGCAACGCTAGAATTAATTTAACTTTGTCAGAGATTCAGAAAGAAAAAAATTTAAAACTCGTGTTGGGATATAAGGTTTATTGAAGAATATTTCTTTTCAGTATAACAAGAGAGTTACAGAAGTTAGTATTTTTTTTACCCATAGGAAAACAATATTTCTCAATTTATTGGGAAATTTTTTGCTTGTATCATGGTGATGAGCATTAAAACTTATCAACAACAAAAAAGTTTAACTACACAATCCTGCATCTGAACTTCCAGTTGTTCCAAAATAAAAAGGAAATGCGGATAGAGATCGCAAAATGTATAGTCTGTTTTTTTTATAAATGTTTTAAAATCCACAGTAAATCGCCAAATATTTAGTACTGTTAACTAACTGTCTCCCTTTTTTCTTAAATCCTTTATTGCAAGTATTATTAACATTATTTACATCACAGTCGGAGAGAAAGTGACATATCTAAGTTGATCATTTCAGTATTCAGGGGAAGTTGCGATATAAAAAATACCATTTAGAAAAAAGTAGTAAGGAATTAGGGCTTAGTCGATAATTTCTGATGTAACAAAAATTTTAATTCAGAACTCCAAACAAAATATAGCTACTTTTACTATGCATTAATATACTTTAGTTAACATCAATATGTATTTCACCGAAATAAATTTAAAAAACGAAAAGACGAATTAACTTTTTTGCAATTTTTAAAAAAAATTATTAAAATTTTTGAAAATTTAAGTTTTGTGCGTTTCAAATTTCAGAAACTCTTCATAAAAGAGTAGCAAATATATAATTTAAAATTATACCCTCGCCATCTTGGATTTTAGGTAAAAAATTTTATGTGTGTTTGTTCTCTCAATCTTTGTTCTACTTAACGTCTGATGATATAGTTTACTTAGACAGCACAATACTTTTTTTAAAAAAAAAGTAAAAAATTAAGAGATCGCCTAAGTAGATACGATGCGGTGAAATAGCGCTTGATAGTTTTTAGAACTATGAAATTAAATAAAGAGGATTAAAAGCATATTTAGAAGTCCCCCAGCTTCCGTCTCAACCTTAATGACAGTTGAATTCGGTCAAGAGAGGAAGGGCCTCTTAAATAATGATCAACGTTTTCCCTTTCACTAAACAAAATTGAATTTATTTAAAAAACTAAACCAATTTAAATTATGCTGAAACTAACTCAATGTACTGCCTAAAACTCATAAAATGTATTAAAAAAGTATATTTTAAAAACATTAAAAAAAGTATAAAAAAATAGCGGCTGCAGACTACAATAATTTCATAATTTTCCATCAGTTTGACATGCAGGACTTAACGTAATTCTGTACAATATAAATATAAAATTCTACACTGGAGAACATTTTGAAGGTAATAAAAATAAAAAACAAAAAGAAAACATATCCAAACAATGCAGAAAAAGAAAAAGGGGAAACGCCGTCTAGTGAGTCATCACACAGCAGGGGGAGCCAGATCATTGCTGCCTTTTTTTTTCCTATTCGTTGTTTTAAATAACGAGCTTAAGTACTCTTTTCCGGATATTATTTACTTCGAAGCAAGCAACACAGTAACAAATAAAATCGTTTGAATTTTTAACATTGTTCCAAAATAGCGTAAACGTAGAATTTATTAGAAGTTGGGGCAAAATTATGTTAAAATAAATGGGATTTAACAAATAAGGAGTTACTAATAACGATGCCTTATTAACAAATTATTATGTACAACCAAACGAATATTAATAGCTCGCTGTATTGCAGGTGTAAAAGAAACCACAAACAGATAAAGGTCATACTGATAAAACCTTAATAGCTGAGGAAATCTGTCTTTTCTCAGTGACAAGCATTTCTTTTGAATTACCACTATATTGGTATTTAAATTGTACGCATTCTTTATCGCTCACATATCAATAAGAATTTATTTACAAATAGGATATAAATTGTACCCTTCTTTTATCCCTATTATAATAATCAGAAATTAATTACCAACAACGCTATATCTTTATCACTTGTTTATCAATGTGAATTTATTTACTAATATACAATTTGTACCCTCCAAATGTGTTAAATTCTACAGATACAGATAGTGCTAATCTATTTTCTGAACAAATAAAGCAAAGGATATACTATATTGAATTTCTACTTTGGGGCAAGTTCACTTTGTTTGGCGAACAAGTGTGGTCATAAAATAACTCCAGCCACAATTTCTAATTTAAATATTTAATTAAAAATAAAATGCAGTGCTTTCAGTATTTTTATAGCAAAGTTTTTAACTATTTTATTAGGAACGATAACTATCTCAACAGACTACTATCATACATAAACCATAATTCTTAAGCTCACTCTTTCAAAGCCCAATTGTAAAATGCTTTTGAAATCCATTTTGAAAAAAAATAATTTTGTTTGTATTGTAAACACTGTGATATTTACAGAAAAAAATTGAATTTCAAAACTAATTATTTTATTTTTGTGTACAATAGTTAGGTTTCTTAATTTTACTCTACCAGCACCACTTTCTTATGCAACCATTTTCATAAATAGAAGTCATATGTGATTTAGTGCAATAAAAAAATCCTTGTCCCTTAGAAAGTCAATAAAATGAACCCTGCATCACTCTTAAGTACCTTTAACTATGTGTGCTAAGACAGAAATGCTCATTTTTTGGTTTCCAAAAATTGCAATAAAATGTCTAAAATTTTAAATTAACATCTGTAGCTCATAATTAAAAAAAAGTTTCTTCCATTCCCTGCAGTTGGGTAGGAAGAAACTTATTTCTTCCATGGTAGTTTGTTCCATAGTTATTTACTACTTAGAAATAAACTTTCTATCCTTGCAATAAAGGAAGCATAACTTTCAAAATATGGTTATGACAAAAAAATATTTGGTTTTAAAGTTTGTACAAGTTATTCCTTGGCGTTAGTCTTTTACAAATGCCAATATATGTTACAGACTGACTGTAAAAGTTACTTACAGTTTATTTGCTTACTTTTTGCCTTACCTAAAAAATTGTAGCAAAACTAATCTAAAATTTGATCAGTCACAAGCCTATCGTGGAAAAATTATTAATTGAAAAAAACTTCAAGAAACCATAAAAAAAAATTTTTAGGATGAAAAGTTAAATTATAACTAAATTTTATGATGAAACACTGCAACTATAAGACAGAGCAACATTGTTTTTCTAAGAAAACAATCACAGGAATAGAAAATTTTTGCTTGTAGAGCTTTGTAAAATGAAAGAAATTCATTCCTTTGTCTAATAGAACTGTCTTCCTCTACAGAGCAGAAAATACAAGATGAATATGCTTATCATAGCTTACACAATCAAGCTTTGATCTAAGAAAGCAATAGATAGAAATTTTAAAATTTTATAGGAAAAGTACTGCAAAACAAAACTGAAATGCATACCTTATATACTTGACCGTAAGTCCCATTTCCTACGACTTCGATAAGCTCAAATATTCCAGCAGGGTCCTAAAAAAAGATAAAAGGCAAAAATGATACATATAATATCTAATCTTTATAATTAAAAGAAAATTATACTTTGATGATAAAATATTAAAATATAAGCATCAAATCAATTGAAATAAATAAGACAAAATTACTGGCAGTAGATTAAATTGGAACATTGTATCACAGTAATGTTTGGAAAAGAAACTGTATTTTCAGAAAATAGCATCTCACACTGTGTCCTATACCTTAAGCTAACTTATAAATAGAGCACTTTTCTTCATAATTCTATCAAAATGATTTCCATATTCATTTATAAACTTAATTTTATTATAACATGGTGAATCATAGAAAATATTTTCACAAATTGCTCCTTTGATAATATAAATTAATACCCAGTAAAAATTTTAGCTCTAAATAGCTTTAGCCAACTATTAATCCATCTCCTTCAGATTTGGACAAAATTTAAACTTAATCCTCATTATCACGTCTGGTTCTCCACATCCTAGCGGTGCAACCACAGATACACCCTTCAACTTTAAGAACTTATTCTATACTTTGTTGTAAGTTAAAAAACAATAATAATAAATTAAATTATTATTTCAAAACAGTTATGGTTTACAGAAAAATACATGCAAGTTAATGAGAAGTGGACATATGTTTAAATTACCAACTGTTGTAATTACATCATTGATATATAGAAGTGCATATAATTGAGATATAATTCTTGAAATATGGATAATTATAAAGGAAATTAAAAATTATTCGAAGAACTGTTTTTAATCTGAACTTTGATAACCTAATGGCTCGTATAATCCTAAGTGACAAAGTGAACTGATATTCCTTATTCATATAACAGTTAAAATTTAATCATGTTAAATCACAATTTTTCAATAATTTAATTAATTTAAAATAGAAGTTTTAAGAATAATATAAAATTAAGGCAATTTAAGTAAGCAGTTATCACAATTTTAGTGATTCCATCAATCCAAATTCAGTTGCATAAAGGACTTAAGATTAAGAAATTATTCAAACTTAATCAAAATGAGACATTTTTACACCTAATTAATCCATAGTACTATTTCCAGATAGGAAATTTATAAATCACATCTTATAAAAAACACAGAGACATATATTATAGTCACAGTCACAGAAACACCTTATTGCCTATAGGGAAATATTTCATTTCCTTTTACAAAAAACACTCTTTTGAATAATCTGAAAATGTTTATTATTTTACATTACCCTAAACCTTTCATTTTAAATTATTTCTATATATTTTTAATTTATTACAATACTCATCTAGTAGATAATCATAGAAATTATTTTTAAGGTAAGTTTATTTTTGACTTAATAGGTATCTTAGTTAAATGCAATTTAGTGGTTACAAGATTTACTGTCAGTTTTTAAACAAAGCACATTTTTCTTACTTCAAACTTCAGACTACTCAAACTTGTTTACATCCCATTTGAATTTAAATTAATGAAACAACTCTAACAATATTAAAAATGCTTTTTAAATTTAGATTTATTAGAAAATTTCATTTAATTGTATATTAATTCACTATGACATATGTCATCTTTAAATTCTTCAGTTCAAATAAAAACAAAGGTACTAAGCGACAACCTTTAAATATTTTTGGAATGGAAGATGGTTTCAAAAGTAATAGGCAACAAATAGTCAAGGAGTATATGACATTTTGAACAGTAATTGTATTCTTGTATTACAATATGTTGTTACAGAATACAGAATTTTTCTCAAAAAAAAAAAAAAAAAAAAAAAAAAAAAAAAAAAAAAAAAAANTCAAAGTTACTAATAGCAAATTACAAAATTTTACAATAAAATGAAAAAATACTGGCTTTTTAGCTTAATTTTTCACTCATACAGAATAGTTCTTAAGAAATAGCTTGAAAAAATTCTTAAAGAGGTCTAAAAAAAAAAATTTTTTTTCTACTTTTAATCTTTTTTTAAAATTCAAATCGTCTTTCTCGTATTTTTAAATAATAATAACCATAACATTGTTGAACTACCTCTTCTCATTTTCCTAAGACTTAAAATCTTGCTCCAANAAAAAAAAAAAATATTTTTTCTACCTTTAATCTTTTTTTAAAATTCAAATCGTCTTTCTCGTATTTTTAAATAATAATAACCATAACATTGTTGAACTACCTCTTCTCATTTTCCTAAGACTTAAAATCTTGCTCCAATAATTAAATAATGTAACTAAGATAAAAACCAGATAACTCATAAAAAAATCAATTATAAGTGCAACTGTACAAATGTTGTGTGTAAGATAAAAACAATACTTTAATAACTTTTCATTTATAGTGAATGAATCATCATGAACTATGACAGATCATAGGACTAGGTTTGAATATGATAATTTGCGTAAAACATATTTTAATTACAAAATCATTCATATTTTTTTTACAAAATCATGCATATTTTTTTGTACAAAATCATGCACATATTTTTGTACAAAATCATGCACATTTTTTTTGTTCTCTAACTAATTCGGATTCTTTAAACCTCAAAATATGGGGAGAATCTGCAATCTATAAGATATATTATATGCTGTAATCTATTAATATTTAAGGTAAGACAGTGGTAAATAGTTTAGCCTCTTAATGTTAATTTTTATTTTTCTAGCTAAATAGTGAAAAGGAAAAAAAAAATCATATTTTTTACTTTCAGTTTCTCAAGAATTATTTTCAAATTAATTACAAATTCAGGGCATCATTTAAAATTTCAGAGAAAAATTATATTTATCTTAAGGTTTCAAGATTTTTAAAAATTAAAATGAATATATAGAATAACTATCAAAATTCAATTTTAATGCAGAATTATCTTTGTATAAAAAAAGTTTTATACTTGTGTGCAAAAGTTTATAAGTTATTTGAATATCATGAAAAGTTCAAGAAACATGGTGAAATACATAGTAAAATTAGTAAAAGTGAAATTAACCTTAACTTTCAATTGCTCCCTTGCCTATACTATTTGGACAGTATTTTTCAGATTGATACTATCTCCCACATTACAAGTGTCAAAACTCCTAATATCCAAATAAAGCATGTTTATTCTAAGAAAACTTTTTTCGGTTTGATTTCATAACTAAATAAATTGTCAGCAAACACTGTAACTTATTAAAGTTAGTCCCTCCTATCACTAAAATTGCCTTTTAGCACTACTTGAAAATCAAAGCATTAGATCAAAAGTTAAGTTGTTCTGCTCCTTATATTGCACTCTGTACATTATTAATACATTAAAATATAAAGCATAACTCATATAATTCGCAAAATCTCAAATTATTATGAGAAAATCACTCACTTTCAAATACACAACAAAGAGTTTGTACATTAATAAAAGCCTCAATTGATAAAGCATTAAATTGGTTTTTATTATTTATTAATTTCCATTGTTATGAACTTTTAGAAAATGTCTATAATAATTTATATTTAATTAATAGTTAAAACTAAATATTAATATTTAGGCAGAAATTAAAATCTAGTAAACAAGTTTATAACTCAATCTAAGTAACAAAAATAAGTGCATAATAAGACATCATAATAAAATTAAAATATTATTAATATATTATTTTTATTAGTAAAAAGATATTTTTAAAAAAAAGTCAAAATAAGAAACGCATATTAAGCAAACAGTCAATAACATTTATCATTCACGAGAAAATATTCAAATATAGATATTAATTAGTTATACAATTACAAGATACAATTAACGACGAAAATTGTATAAGCCAATTAATATGCAAATACATAACACAACTTGTCAGCAGCCAAGACATTAAGCAGCAAAATTGTGTATGTAACAATGGGCTAGAGATAACAGCATTGTTTGGAAAATGTAAAAAAGACAAAGGAGGCATTTAATCAAATCATATATAACAATACCAGTTTCTTTACTCTTATACTTCACATTTAAATACAAAACATTTAATATTTACCTTTAAACTATTCAAATCGATGTCGTACAAACTACAGTTGACACTTGGCTGGGTAAGCGCCATGATGTCTGTTATCCTCGTTCCACGTAAGGAAACGCGTCACAATTTAAACAAAACCATATATTTAATTATCCCAAACTAAATTAATAAACTTTATTTTTAACTTAGTCACATATCCAAGGTTTAGAAGTTTACACAAACCGGCAGATACTTGAGTAATCCATATCAACTTGGACCGATCGTAACCCAACCCAATACTTCTCTACATCATATCACAATCACATCCCATGAATCACTTATCATAACACGCAGCTTGTTCACTTTTCATTTCTTCACAGCAAAAGTTAGCAGACGAGAATCGGAAAGTTGAGAGCTATGACGTCATCCTCCTTCGACTTCATTTTGTCCTTAATATTTGAGGACAACTGGTTGGATAAAGTATATGCGCTATTTGCAAATAGAAGAAATTTTGAAGCAGATTTTCAAATCTGTATTTGTCTGCTTATTTCAAGAAAGATCTTTTTTGGCAAAATCATCATCTATACATGAGTGTGCATTGCGAATTTTGCTAGATCATGGAAGTGCAGGAGCATTCAATATCATGGAAGTGATTTGGCGCGCCATTTTTGCTGCCTGATATTCACATGATCACACATAATTCGGGATCACAGCACTTGAATACGCCATCTGAAGAGAAGACCCGTTCCATGGCTTGCTCCCTCCATTTCCTCCTCTTCTCAGTTGTAAAGCAATGCTCTACAAAATGTTCCTCCTATTTAATATTTTTTGTATATAATTGTCACGAATATTTTGTAAAATTTCCATGATTTTTTATACCAATGTCTAATGTAGTTTTCAATTCCATATAATTTCCTAACTTAAGTTTTTAATCTAATTGAAAATCAAGGCAGAAACTAACGTACTTCCTTCTCCGTAGGTCATCGGGCTACCGAAGCGGGGGTGCCATCCCCTCTCCAGAGAATCAAAATTGTGATGGCATGTCTTCGGATTATTCTCAGGGATGTTTGCGTTGCCAATAACCCATTGTGCAGCTCTAGTGCGACACGTTAAATAAACTAAAACTGCAATTTCCTCCTCTTATGACTCTCCTCACGTTGTCGATGAAACCAAGCGAAGTATTCCCATAAATAGATCCCCTCTGGGCCAGGGTCTTCCTCTTGAGAACTCTCCAGGCATATCTTCTTCAAGCAATTGCCCCCAATTTTTTAAAGTTAACAACCCTTTGAAGTCAATGTCTTGCTCCATCCCGGATCACAAAAATAATTCTTTAGTCATGAAACAAAATCTGTTTTAGAAAGCATCCGAATAACATGATTACTCTAGTTAAGTAAAATTGGTTTGAAAAATACGACAATATTTGGTATTAAGTTAAATTATTTTAATGACAGAAAATACATTTTATATAATTGGGAAAATTGAAACACCTTCACACTCATTAAAATACAGCCCTTTAGATCCTGCGATAATTGTGCCAGGCGTAATTTCTGGTTTCTTTTCTGAAATCCGTGTTTCCGCGGTATGGACCTATATAAAAAAGTTTTTGTCTTTCTTGAGATTTATAAAGTTTTCTTAGACCATAGAAAGTTTTATTTACCACATTTAGGTGTTCTTTTAATTTCTGATATGTATAAGTGATATTATCTCATTGTTCACTACAAATTCAAGTCCAAGGTAAGTTAATGATGACACAGTTTTAAACTTGCAACTATTGGAGATCGAAGAGGGCTACAACTGGCGCAGAGCGGAACTTTCTACCAATGACAACACCTTGCCTGTTTTCACCCTGACCATGTGGATAATCATGGAAGTACAGTAACTTCTATCTTGATTTTCAAATATATTAGGAAGTAAGTTAAAAAATTAAGCTAGAAGGAAAACTAGTTTTAACTAAGCTAGAAATTACATAACTTTAAACTGAGTTGAAACTGAAACCTGCATTAAACATAGTTTTAAAAGAAAGGGATCTTGATATTTTACAAAATATTTTTGACAATTAAATTGTTGTTGTAGTTGTAGTTCATTTACGTCGCACTAGAGCTGCACAATGGGCTATTGGCGACGGTCTGGGAAGCCTCCCTGAGGATGATCCGAAGACATGCCACCACAATTTTGATCCTCTGCAGAGGGGATGGCACCCCTGCTTCGGTAGCCCAACGACCTGCATGACAAGTCGAGCACTGACAATTAAAAAAAAAAAATTTAAATTGAAAAAATATTATGGAATGGGAAAATATCATAGTACATTCCCATACTACTAAGAAGAGCAGGAGATCAAAGGAGGGATCACATGGTGGTACCGGTCTTTTCCGTAAATGGAGGATTCAACCGTTGTGATCGCGGATCATCTGGTTAGTGACATTTTGCATTTTGGGTTACTGACATATATTCTGCCTTTTCATTAATAATTAAAGTGGCAAATTTTGCTGCATTGTCAATAGCTTTAAAAGCATCTATTAAATAGCTCGAAGCTCTAGTACTAAAACAATCAAAGAGGGGCATTTTGTACAAAAGTAATTTAGTAGATAATTCCACCGGACGACTCTTTTAAAATTCTTATATATGATTACTGTTTTGCTGATTGGAATCAATCATTTTCAAAATCAGATGAAAAAGAACCAATAATTGTGAAATCTCAAAACTCCAATCTGCAAGATTTGTAACTGCATTTGCTGCATTTAATAAATAAGCGTATGACGTATTTCGATGCATTTAATGAATAAGCGTATGGCGTAAGCGTATTTCATGATAAAAATTTGATAATGTAAAATATTTAAATTTCTTTTTCAATGAAGAACTGCATTCTCATAAAATTTGAAATAATAAATCCTACGTATAAGGCTACTATGCTGAACCATGTTGTAGATAATTACTGAACTGTCGCCATGAATTATGGCACAATTGTAACATTATTACTTATAAGAACGGGAAAAAAAAACGCTGGGTCAAAAATTTAAATAAACTATTTTTAAATCCCATTCGTATTCCTAGAAAATGGGATGCTATGCAGACACAATCAGGAATATCAGGACAGACAAACATCAGGACAAAATATTTTTCATCAGGAAAAGCAGGACAACTAATAATTAAGCGCAGATTAGAACATTCTTTGAATGCAGAATATAAATACCCGGTAGAATGAAAATTCAAAATCAGTAAGCTGACTGTTAAAGTCAAATCATTAGCAACATCAGCCAAGATAAGGATAAAAAGAAAACAAAATTGTATGGGGAAAAAACCTTAAGGTTACTGAAAGATAAAAACTATATGGCTTGCCTCATCTTTGCACAATTTGTAGGGTCATGCATGATTATATGCAATTAGAAGCTCGCTATTAAAAATAAAAGCACCACAGACACAAATTATTTTATTTCAATGTTGCTATGGTAAAATCAACGTAATAAAAGATTGTAATTAAATCTTTAAAAAGTTACTGTTTGTTATTACCCAGATTATCCTTAATTTTCTTGGTAAAGATGGCTGCTTATCCGATATAAAAAAGCATGGCAGGAAAAAGAGAAAAGAAAATGTTTTATTTTTCCCCCTGTAATTATACTCACACTATTTAATTTAATTATTATCTTCTTTCGCTTTAAAATAATTCGTTGTATTGGTGCGACTTTAGGTGACGTTTCTCAGCTCCCGGTTAACATCTCGTCTTTGAAAAGTGGTATAAACCCGAAATATACTACAGTAAATAATTTAATGTTCATTGGGTGGGTCCGGTACTATTTGATCCACGGACTAGAACCGGTTCACGGCTCGGGGGTTGGAGATTCTCTAAACAACACTGCTCTTAACAATTTCAGGTAAAATCTGCTAGTTCGGCAAATTCAACTATGATAAAGTTGATTTTGTATTGAAGTGGAAAAGGATAAAATTGTAGTTCTAAACTAAGTTAATTATCTAGAGCTCAAAAATTAATTCACCTTGAGATCAGACTGTTAAGGAAAATAATAAAATTAAATCTGCCACAAAAATTGCTGTTATTATTCCTAATTATCTGGAATATTATCTTACACTCACTAATTCACAATATGCTAGGTTGTATGCTTTACCTATAGTTCATAAATACTGGAATTCTTTTAAGACCCATTGTTCTCAATAGTAGTACCGCTTCACCAAGAATCAATAAAAATAACGATATTCTCTTTTCAAGTAAAATCCTAATTCACTACTTTCATATTTATGGTGACCTTATTTGCCATAAAATGCGATAACAAGAATTCTATGAAGAAATTCTATTCTATTCAAGAAATTGATGAACTGGTACATCTTACCCGCACTTATTTACAGCCAGTGGGGGAGTCGGAAACAATGTTAGGGTAGGATTTTAAAATTGATGGTTTTAATTTCCATAAAATTTCAAAGCACCGAAGACAATTTAAGATTAAAAACTTTTAAACAATAAACTACTTTTAACTATAATTTTTGAAACTATACATTACTAAAAAGTGGGGGGACTAGTCTAGACAACATTTTCGAATTTGCTATAAAAATTAATAATGAGAATCATTTTGAACACATCTTGTATTTTTAAAAGTTGAAATTTTATCCTCATTTTGAATTAATTATGCATAACTGACTCAACTGTTTTTATGCTAAGTTAATAAAATGCTTATGCATTCTATTTTTCTTAGCATTTAAATCCCAAGTTCATTGCTACCTTTAATTGATAATGAAGGCATTTTACAGGTACCAAAACTGTCGCAAGTTTACAAAACTCTCTTTTAAAATATGTGGACTTTTCACTTCATTACCATAAATTTAGTACATTATTTACAAAATAATTTTGTTTCTTATTCGCATGCTGTCTAACCGAAATATCCAACATTATTCACCAAGAATTTTGGATTATTTCTTGTAGAAAAATATTTCTCAGAATTATTCATAAATGCTGAATTTATTGTACCTAAAAACCTTTGAATTCCTTACAAATTATAGGAAATCAGCCAACAAATCGTGTCAAATTGTATAGAGCAATTTTAGTTTGTATTGTGGACTATGCAGGTTTAATTTATCTTACGACTCTAAAATAGACACTTATAGTTAGCTGCTTGCTTTCATTGTATGCTTTTCCACTAAAGCCGTTCATATTGATGCTGAAAGTGATCTTTCAGCAAATGCATAAATTGCAGCAATTTATAGTTTTTAATTACATAGAAGTGTAAATAATCATATATGTGAAATAGGTCAAAAGGTGTGAAATAGTGTAAATAATCATCACTGTAAAGTGATGAAGCCACAAATTTTGTATGTGAAATAGGTAGAATTTTCATTAAGATAAATTACTTAGTTTTTTAAATTAAAATTTGATCTAGCGGCATGATAGCACCTGCTTCCCCCCATTTTGGCGGTATCTGGGATTAAGTCTCTTAAATTTCATTTGCGTCGAGTTATTGGCGAAAATCTTTCACAATTGAAAAATTAACTACTTTGTTAATTCTATTTGAAGCAAATTTAAATTCGATAAGCATTCGTTATGTGAGTGCAATCTTAATTCTCATGTTTTTTAAAAAAAATATATTTGTTATACTATTCTTCAGTGATTTGTTTTTATCAAATGCAATTTGTATAGCACTCACCAGTCTACTTTCAGCCTGAAAGGTTTATCACAATTCCAGTCGAAACAAAACTTTCAGCCTTCAAAGCCTTTTTAGCTATTTCAGTTGTGTCTATTTTTCGCTGTCAAAGCTTTATTGCCGTTTCCCTCGGATGTCTACTTTCAGCCTTCAAAGCTTTTTATGTGGTTTACAGATTAAACCACATAAGATTGCAATCTTTTGGGTTTGGGAGCGTCAGCCAACAGAGTGCGGGGACCAATAGTATTAATTTATCAAGACTTAAACATCAAGAAATTACTGAATGACAAAGGTTTTTAAATTTAATTAGCCAGGGGAAAAAAATGTTTTTCTTTTTGGTTTGAACCACTAAAAAAAAATCACTTTTATTAAAACAATTTTTTCCAGAAATTCTGTGATAATAAAAGCAATATAATGTAGTTAGTTACACCGGTATGATTGAATGAACAATTCTAATTAATTTCTCAATTTCGATCTTAGTTTAATTGAAAATTCTTGATAGAAATATTTAGAAAAATTGTTTATTCGTTAGTAATTTGAAGCACAGCTGATGCTTTAGAATGTGAGTGTACGCTTTAAGTGATTTTCGGTTGGTTTAAAAGAAAATGGGGTGATTTGCATCGCTATAAATGATAGCTATTAATGTAATAAATGCACCAAAATAAAGATAAAATTCCAATTTTAAAAAGAATTTAGTAGACAATATCCTTAAAAATTATCACCTACATTAAAAATTAATCTAGTACAAATATCGTATTAATTTATTTTTAATGCTATAAAACAGTTATTAAAATATGTAACTCTTCCGTGCCTATTAAAAATAATTTTACATAGCTACCAATTTTGCTACTAAATCTGTTTTAAATATTCTTCTAACTAAAATAAAAACTAGAGTAATACAGAAGTTGAAGGGTAGACTAGCAAAACTAATAATAATAAAAAAATCCTAATTCTTCACACTTAAATTAATGTTAAAATAAAATTATATTTTTTTTATGTTTAAGCTACCTTGTATATTAAACACTGAAGAAACTTTCAACATAATTTTCTATTTTTGTTGCTTTCATTTATTTTTTAAAGATTACTATACTGAACAGTTGATTAAATTAATAACGTTATAATTTCTTTTTGTAGCATGGTGTATTCAAATAAAAAGAAATGATTAATAAACTAAAAGGCAGGACTTAATTTCTGCAACTTTAAGGACATGAAAATATCTTAATTCATAGTCATTATCAGGGATGAGATTAGCCAAAAGGCATAAAAGCTGAATTTCCACGATCGTAAATTTTACGCAAGCGCAACCCTTTAATAATAAATTCCAGACAGTTTAAGGTAATAAATAATGTGTTGACATACAATTGTGTACTAATCTATTATTATATAAATGATTACATTGATACTTAACATTTAGTGAAAATAAAAATTACCAATTGAAAAAATAAAGCTGGAAATTATATTTTTCCTCAGTTCACATAAGAGACAATTATTACTTGAAAAACTACCTGGTTTAGCAAATTAAAACTACTGAGAATATACATTAATATTTCATTTCTTTTAATAAATACTGTTATGTGATTTATAGCAAATATATCAGTAATATTACTTTTTAAATTATATTGGAAAAAAAAACTTTAACAATGGACCGAATCATTATGTTCATATTATAGTCTAATCTAACTACAGCCCTCTGAAACATATCAATAACAGTGAAGTAGAAATATATAGTAACTCCTTAACATACAAAAATTGCTATTTTAGTTTGAAAAATTACATGACAATCAGCAACTGTTTAGATAATTGTTTTTTATTTGATAAGAATTTTGCATTTTATAGCATAAATAACAGCAATTATAAATAAAATTTTGATGATGAGTTAATTAACTCTTTTTCCCCCCAAATTTTTTTTTAATTAAATCCCTTTTTAAGTGATTGCTTTTGTTTGCTATATCTTTTATGTTTGCTATATTTAGTCGTTAGTCCATCTTCAAACATCTTGTGACAAATCCTATTTTTTCTTCTTTGCAAGCACAGAATGTAAGTTTTGAATATATTCCCTTCCAGTTTCTCTGATGTTGTAACACTTACATATACTAATAATCGTCGTTAGAAAAACAGTCACCTTTATAGTAACTAATTAGAAAAAAAATTTACTTCTTACAAGAATCGCGATAGTTGATCTTAAAATTGCGTGAATATGAATAACAATTATGGATTTTGAAATCACATGAATATGAAACTAGATATACGATTTTGAAAATGAGAAAATACAAACTGGGATATAGAATTTTTAAAACGCGTAAATACAAATCACGATTCATAATTTTTAGATCGCGTAAATACGAATCATGATGCGTAATTTTTAGATTGCATAAATAAGAATTATGATGCATAATTTTTAGAATGCGTGAATGCGAATCCCAATGCCTTATTTTAAAATCACGTATAAATACGAAAATCAATGTTTGATATTATAAACCGCATGAGCAAATCAACACATTGAATTTTAAACTTACGTGAATACGAATCGCTACATAGGTTTTTAAAAAGACGTAAATACGAATCACAATATCGGATTTTTAAATCTCGTAAATAAGAATCGCAACGTACAATATTCAAATCGCGTGAATAAGAATCGCAACACGCAAATATGAAAAGCTATGTTTGATATTAAAATCGTGTGAATAAGAATCGAGATATTAGCAGATTCCAGGCTTGGGACCTCTAAAAGGCTTGTCAGAAGCAGCGTCGTTTGAACTACAAAAATCGGATCTATCTGGAGGGCGGGTAAAAAATTCGGAAAATCTTATCTGCTGTGAGTAAAAGGGGAGAAAATAGCTATAATAAGTAAAAATGAGAAAGGATTGCTAGCTATGTAGTTTGAATTTTTTGTTTCTCTTTGAAAATCGGTGAATTTTCTTAAAAAAACTGAAATTTAAGAGATAAAGTGAAAAAATCTCATCCCTGCATTACGTAACTTGTAGTAAGTAGTAATAGTTTTTGTCACATCAGATAATATGTTATTGCACTCAGCTGCAGTATTGGACATCAGACCCATCATATCAAAACAAATTCTAGCTTTATTTTTTTATTGAATAATAATCAATAAATTTTATTTCAATACACATATGCTGTGAATAATAAGATAAATAAATAAAAATTTGCATAACATTTGCAATCCTTTTTGCAACCCTGCTGAATGATCATATGTGCTTAAGATTTATCAAGTCTAAGTTAACTTGTATTATTTACACATTCGTAATTTATTTATTGACTTCATACTGAAATTCATTTTACAGCCCTTTATGTAAAGGAGGATGTCTACAAATAAAACAGGGAGGAACATATGAATTTCTTTAGAGACAAAGAATAAGAAAACACAATTCAATCAACGAAATCTTTTAATTGACAGCCAGTTTTACAATAGAAAAAAAAATGGTTGCGAAACCTCCAGGGTTTAAAGAGGAATCAACCATGCATCACAACAAATACATTAACTATTTTTTATTAGTTAAATTTATTTTTGCCATCCCACGTGATTCTAATACAAAGCCTATGTACAAGCAAGATCTTTACCTTTATTCTAAAAAATCACATATTCTGAAAAAACACCAGAAATTTATTTTTTTCTTAATATCTTCTGTTTTCCAGTTAATTTACTTTTTCCTGACGAATGAAGCTCATAAAGACATTTTTTTTATTGACTCAATGTGACACTAAACAGATTTCAATTTGAAACCGTGAAAAATCGACTAAGATTTGATATTAGTACAATCAGAAATTCCACTTAAAAACAATAAATTTTTCGTCACCACAGGGACATTGTAAAAAAAGAAGAAAAAAAATTAAAAAATATATTTACAACAGTGATAGAGATTGCAGGTAATATTTACTTTCCTATTTTTATTTTTGGGACTACAGATACTAGTAGTGTCCAGTATTCAGATCAAGAATACAGTAAGATGTAGTAATGGTCATAGTTTACAGTTGTGCTCTATTATTTCTGTGAATGGCATCTCAATTATGCTATCACAGACGATTCAATTTTAAGTACAAAATGGATTACTTTTATCACCCCATCGTACGAGAAACAAATGGTACAGATATAGAACAGTACCTCCAATAATCATGCATTTAAATGCGAGGTAAGGCACTAACACACACACAAACCAAAAGGGGAGAGAAAAAAAAATCTGAGCAATGTTTAAAATTTGATGGAATGCATTTAAGAACCTACTATAAGGTAAAATAGTCTTAAGAAAATTAACATATGGGTGAAAACATTGCATACCTACCATATTAACTAGTATATGCCAGCAATTAAAAAGTTCACACCAAAAAAATAAAAGCTATAAAACAGGAAAATGCTTATAAAAGTTTTAAAAAAAAGGACAAAAAAAAAGACTAATATCCTGAATTTTGAATGTTTAGTTATGCATAACATAGTAAAAAATTTTAAATTTTTATCACATTACAGAAAGATTTAAGATTAAAAACAAAAGTTAATTTTAAAGGAATAACAATGGCAGGTATGATAGCTGAAGAAAAAAAAATTAGAACATTTAGATGATAAAATGAGGGGAAAAAAAGAACATGAATAAAAGACCATGCATGAAAAATTATTATGCAAAGTTTTTGATAGACTAGAAAATTTTATAATGCAAGATGGGGTGTTTTAAGTGAATAGATGAAAGTTTTGGCCTGTACATTACATGTATAAATAATATGTACAGATCAATAACCATTGTGTTATTAAAATTTTTTTGTATTTTTATAACTAAACCATACTTATCACAACTATAAATAGATGTAGTTGTTGATTAAAAACATGTAAATATATATAAATAAAGAATAAAATTGAAAGCACCTTTCACATACGAGTGCTACATAAATGAAACATTTTCAACTGCAATATGTATTAAAATAAGTAATTTAAAAAAAAAAAACTCAAACAGCTTAAACATTAAGCCAATAATTTTGGGACTGAAAAAAAAATATGTAGCTCCAAAATTTAGAGAGGAACTGATAATTTTTATCTCTACCTAGCAAAGTTATTTATTTTAAATTTAAAGTTTAGAAATACTAAATCCTTAACACATTTAAGTGCATAATGCAAGGATTTATTCTTCATAGAGGCACTTACAGATGTGCATTGACACTTGAAATAGTAAAAAATATTTTAGCGATAAAAAATTTATGGATTTAAATAAATAACAAATTTATAACATAATGACTGGCCCCTAATCAACACAAAATATTTGAATAGCTCAACATGGCAGCGTAATATGAAAATTACCACTCTGAACAGATCATTTGAAGTACAATTTTAGAAAATAATAAAAAAAACTATGTCTATCAAATGTTACACTAATTTTTTAACAGAAGAAAATAACAAAAGTACCGCAAAGTATCACAGTTCAGATATAAGTCAAAAATAGCAATATCTATCGACATTGCTAACTAAGCTTCAGAACAACATTTTCACTTTTTTATTTTCAAAATGAATAAATAATCATGTAAATACTATGATAAATTCACTTCAGCTGAAATGTAATACTTTTGTAGAAAATCTCTACCTGAATTTATGACATCATCAAAAACTCAAAATTCTATGAAACTAATGACTAAAAGATAAATCTAATTGTTCCATTTTCTTTATATATACCTTAAATTGCAAGATTCGACTCGCTTCTATAATACACAGTACTCAGTCATGCGCAACTTATGACTCTTAGAGCACCATACTAACAAAATATTATGATATTTAATAAAACTTTATTTAGGGCAATTAAAAGTCGCAGATTTCATTTATCCACTACATAAGAAAAAAGCTTCCTATATCCTCCTTAAATAAGTTTAGAATCACCGGACACTTTTTAAATGGAATTCTTTAAAAATGAAGAAATCCTCTCAAAACCGACTGACCCTAGTTTTCGAGCAGCCGATTCACACGCATTTCTTCAATTGATTTTTACTATAAAAGAAACTAGACTAGGAAATATAAAGACAGCACATAAGGAAATGCTCAAAACATTTCTTTTAATTACTATACAGCAGAAAATTTATGGGCGTACTATTTAACACATTGTAATTATTAGTTACATAGACAATTGTAGTAATTTTTACTACTTTACCTATTTCGCTTTTGCTCGCTTACTGAGCAAAGACTGAGATGAAGTAACCTCTTTTTTTGGAGGTGTTGTAGAAAATTAACACAGCAGTATAAAACTATAAATCTTAGCGGCCATATTATCATACCATAGGCTTTGTTAATCAACCTCTTATGAATGGCAAGGCTGACCTGAATGAAGACAACACTATTAATCCCATTTAAGGAAAGAAAACCTACAATGCCACATACTTTGTTTAAAATTTAAATTATTTTTAAGGTCACAAGACATAACGCACTACAATTAACCTTAAATGGGACAACTAGAGCAATCTAATAAAGAAAAGTACAGGCAAAGCGACAGAGACTTAAACAATGAACACAAGACAATAAAATCACAGTTTATTCTTGTTCTAATAGTGTCACAGGTTAAACACTCCCAGTACACATTAAACAGCTTAATATATAATTTTCCTTAAATAACTTAAATAAACCAGAAGTGGCTTAAAAGGGGTGCCGAAAAATGGGTGGCATTAACACATTAAGTTTTCTTTTATTTTCAATATTTATGGGACAAATCTTCAATTTTTTTAAATTTGCACTTTTTTTTATAAACATTCTACTTGTATAAGCATTCACTCACAATTATTTTTTTTCATACTCTGCTACTTCGTAAGTTTCAAAATATTTACACTTTTACACAGGTTAGCACGCATCACAAAAATATTCTTATATCATTATATGTTTAAGCATTTACTGAAATGATGAATCATTGCAGTTATTTATTATTTTAAGTTTAAATCAATATATTAAAGACTGCATAGTTACAGTGCTATTTAATATTTAGCTGTTAATAAATATATTTAAAACTACATGTTTTCGAATTTTGTTTAATAATTTGTCATTGAATAAATTATAACGGAGATAGCAAATAAATTACATATGTATAAACATACAAGAGAATATGCTTTCTGAGAATATTGATAAAAAAATTTCTAAGATAATATTATGCAGCAGAATAAGATAAGCCACCTCTGTTTTAAGCTTACATTTAGTAAAGAAAATAAATGAATTGTCACTTTGCCAAATAAATGCCAATTTGAGAAGAGAAAAAAAATAAGAGCTTCAGCTCAAACCGCGCTTTGGGACGGCAAAAAACACAGAAATGTTACAAATTTCTATATGCAGGCACACACACAATGCCTAGACATTAATATATATCAATATCATATATAAAGATATAAACATTAATATAGGTCCCCTTGCTGCTTTCCATTATGAAGCACAATATTGCAACTTGGAAAATATATAGGAATGACAATATTAAAAAAATTGTCATTTCTCCCCAGAACAATAATTGTTAAAATGCAACCATCTCAATAAGACGGATGAGGCTGGACATTTTTAAGAAATTAAAATAAAATTTACAAACACTAACAAATATTCTTTTTCTTTAAATTTTAAAATGTTATGTACACCTATGCATTTACAAATTACTATTAAGAGATTTCAACGTCCACGTTATCCGCACATTTATTCAAATTTTTTTTTTAACATTCATTCGTAGTTGCACAACTTCCACACTAATACTTTATTCAACATTAAGCTAATTCAATAAAGATCATTACAACACAAATGTAAAAATCTCACCCATGAAAAATAAACTACATAAAATTTTTAAGTCTATATTTACTGTATAACACACAAGAAATAGGAAAAACAAATCTCTCCCTGGACCTTAATTAAGTCCACAAGCTCTTATGCACCATGAAATGCGAATACTGCACGATTTAACAAACTAAGTAGTATATAAAAAAACAAATCACATTTCATATAAGTTAACAAAAAACACAATGTTGAATATATTTCAGTGTGAGGTTGTATGAGAAATGATAAATAGGTGTATTAAAATGTGAAATACTGTGATGATAATACCAAAAATCATATAAAGTTAAGCAAGTTCAATTTACAACTTCTTTCGAGTTGGAATGGCAAGATATAATTGTGCAGTTCTGAGAAAAATGTACACAACTGAATTAAGAATGCAATAAATAACAATGAAGGCTATTATCATGATACTCATTCTTTTTGAGTGATCACAATACCTATAGCATAAAAAAAAAATTAACTAAATAGCAGCAATGGGGACTGAAAAGTACTACAGCTACAACATACTCAGTGCAATAAAAGTAAACATAAACCACTGGCAAACATTAACTACTTCCGTACATTAAGCAAAATGACATTCAAAGAGCACAATCACCATAACGAAAAGTGTTTGTTAAGAAATACCACTCTATGCTGCAATTGATTATGCACGTGTAAGGGTATATCAAGTTCAAAACTCAAAATAAAATTAAAAAAAGAACAATTTACTGTGCATGATAAATGAATCCAACAAGCATAGTATTCAAACATATTGACCACAGAGCACATACACCTCTATTCATCAAGTAAAGAGAAAACTTAACATATTTAATTGAAGCCAGTGGTAAATACATAACATTAGTTCCCCCACCAATCTGTGCCAGGGGTGGCATAGCTTCCACCATAGTTGCTACGATATGTATTCATGAAGTGGTTTCCACCATATGCTGCAGCAGCTTGAAAGTTAGGATTGGTGAAATTTGGAGGAGGAACGCTACGATTTACATTGGCACCACCTCGTTCACGTCCCAGCTGACGGTAATCTCGAGAACCAAAACCACCAGCACCATACCTATAAAACATAAAACAAGTTAAAATGTACTATTATTAAGTTTGCACTATTATTAAGGTAACACTTGTTACATAGTTTAGTATTATCAAATACCTATTAAGTAATAAACTTTACCAACATTACAGAACAATTATCTTGTATTTAGCAAAACCCTTTTCTACAAAAAATCTCTAGATTTTATACTTAATAAACTCAAAATTGAAAAAATAAAGTAATAAAATATATCAAAGGAATTCAACTTTTTCTTAAGCCAGCTTTTAAATTAATTTTTATTAAAAGCTTAACATACCTCCTGGCTCCATATTTACGTTGGTTGTTCGATCTATGTTCAACTTGTACTTCCTTAGCTAGACCAGCTAGCCAATCTGGCAATTCTTGACGGGTTTCTGTTATTAACTCTACCAAGTCAACAGCCATGTTTCTGTTCTTTTCATTGAAGAAGGAAGTGGCCAATCCTATAAAATAATCAGAACATTAAAATGATATTAAATTAATAAAAAATAAAGTGTAGCACTTATTCATCTAACAATATCAATTACCATTCAAACATGCAATACAGAACACCTAAGATAAATTTACTACCACTAACTACAAAAAAAAAAAAAAACATACATACATACATGATGATGGCAGTTGTGCAAGCAAGACAAACTGGCACAGGATTTTAAAAAGAGCAAATTAATTTTATTTAATCATTATGTGATAATGGAAATCGAGAGAGTGACACAAAAACCTGCTGCTCAATAAAAGTTGGGGAAAATCTGTAAAATGTCTTGTTTTAGGGAATAAGGGAAACCTTTAGTAATTGGTTACGTTTACTAAATAGGGCACACGATTCCCAAAATGAGCAAGGAAAAAATGTCTTACTTTTAATTAATGCATACTTGAACCAAAAATAGATTAATAGACAGGATGTGAATATTAAAGTGTGAGAAAAAGTGCTTCGTTTTGAATAATAAATTAAGAAAATGATTCACAGAAAAGGAATAACATAAAAAGATTAAAGCTTTTTATGTTACATACATATAAATAATCTGAGCAATTAAATGTGTATGAACAGTATACATATTTAGTTTCACAACAAAGAATATTTTTATCTTGTAAGTAACATTTTTGATCAAATGTAAATTTGTTCTGCTATAAATAATGCAGGTAGAAAATTTTAGTTTGCAAAACAATTACTAAATTTCAGTTAAAATATTAGGTACTAAATATTGCTCTCTGCAAGACGTTTAAAACTAATCTCAACTTAAAACTGCTATGAAAGATTTCTGGGAAATAGAAGATTGAAAAATGTTCATTACTAATTTGATAACATAAAAAAAGGTTCTAAAAAAAATCAAATATTGTCCTTAAAAATGTCAAAATAGAAAAAACAGCACCCCTTTCTTAATTTACATCAATTAAAATTTGCATATTATATGAAATTCAGATGCTACTTTCAATTAATAAATGTTAAATGGGGAAAAGTAACATAGTGCAAGCATGGTTCTAGGGGATATAGACATTTATGATATAAAAAGCAAGTATATATAAAAAAAGATTAATTTATTTTTATAATGAACTACACCTAACACTAACTACTTACCCAAATTTCCTACTCTACCAGTTCTCCCAATTCTATGAACATATTCCTCAATATCACTAGGCAAATCAAAATTTATAACATGTTTTACGTTGGGAATATCCAGACCTCTGGCAGCAACCTACATAAATCATGAGCAAATATAATTTCACTAATAGTAATCCTCAAAGATATACTAGTTTACTATATGTGTAAAGAAAGATAAATAAATAAAGTTATTTATAAACAATAAGAACACTTCTCAAGAAAAAAATTGAAATAATTTCGACAGGGTACCATTGCAATATAAACCTAGATCAATAACATTTCCAAAATATTGATTTATTCCTTTTTAGTTTGTTGGAAAACAAAAAAGAATGTTAGAATATCCCTGTAAAACCAATTTTCATTAAAATATATGTTATCCGTCACTTTTAGAAAAATACAAACGAAAGCAACAACCTTGTAAAATAAATTTACATTCTGGATTGCTAAAAACAGGTTCTAATAATCAGCTGATTTAAAAATAAAATTCAGATGCTTATTATTTTGATTGCAAACTATTAAAAGTTTGGATAAGTAAACTAAATAAGTTTTTACATTTAATGTTAGCCAACAATACATAAAAGATAAGAGAAAAAATACATCAGAGATACAGGCTCATACTTCTTGCCAACAAAACTCTTTACCAACTTTACAACTCTTTAAAAAATTTTTATTAACATTAATGCTATTTTTGAAAATAAGATATTGCAAATACACACTTACAGCAGTTGCCACTAAAATGGGAGTTCTTCCTGTTCTAAATGACCACAAAGCTTCTTCTCTTTCTTTCTGAGATCGATCACCATGGATACTTGTCACTGGATAGCCTTCTTTAGAAAGAAATTGTTCCAATGCATCAGCTCCTTTTTTTGTCTCAACAAACGTTAAAGTTAGAGAGTCTCGTGCTAAAGGTAAAAATAAAATACAATTGCAGAATCTAAAAATAATTCTTTTTTAACAAGCCTTTAAATTTAATTTAACCCACTGGCTGTTATGACACTGATTTCTACTGTTACGAAATAAATGTGAAATTTTTTACATTTTTTTAAAAATTGTGGTTCAGACTAATTACATTTTAACCAATCAGGGTAATTTTTCTATTCAAATTTCTAAATAGGTAAAAGTTTCAGAACACTAAATAAAAATAATAAAAAAAAAAAAAAAAAAAAAAAGATTTTTCTATGTTTAGGAGTTTGCGGGTAGAAAATATTTTCTAATTAGAAGGATGAAAAACTGAGACTTTCTTTACACAGAACAGCAGCTGGGTTAATAATAGTAATAATAATCTGATAAAATTTAAAAATTCAAATATATGTGTTAAACAATTTATAAGTCAGCATTTTAATCATCATGCCATGTTCTTGAATGTTGTCAATATATACAAAAGTTGGAATAGTTTACAAATTCTTACATTTAAATCTAGCTGAAATTATTTGATATTGGTTTGATTTTTAAAATTGAAAGAGACTTTGAACTAAGATAAAACTTGAGAGCTCGGAGAATGAACATTTTATACAGAATTTCCTATAATTGATTGCTTTTTTACAATACTTTCTAAAATGCTTCATAACATGTTTTTGGCCATGATTGCACGCAAAACAGCTAGTAAAATCAATTGCTTCGTCTTAACAGCTTTACTTAGCAAGAATAACACACAACTCTTGAGAATTATTTTCTTAGAGCATTTAATACTACATTAATATAGAATGGTAGGCATAAACAAGTTAAATAAACTTAAAATTGTTAAATAAATTTCTTACACAACATGAAGCTAATAAAAGTTTTATTAGCTTAAAATAGTAATCAAGATAATATTTAACTTACAGTTAACTGTATTTTTCAATCCAGCGGCATTTAACAAATCAAGCAAAAACGATCTTTTGTCATGTTCATCAACCCAAACAACTTTCTGTGTAATATTTTCAGAAGTACTGCCAACACGTCCAACAGCAAGAAAAATGTAATTGTTTAAAAAGTTACGAGCCAATTCCTGAAGGAAAAAAAAGATGCTGAGTATTTTACTCAAAGAATATATTGAATATTATGAAGAAAGAAAAAACACATAATGAATGAAACTCTAGTATTAACAATAAAAATAGTACAAATTTTGCCTGATAATAGTTCACTTTAATTTTTAAATGAATAATATTTACTGTGCAAATTAACAATTTACCGTATATTCCGGCGTATAACTCGCACCCATAATTTCTAATAACTTTTTTTAAATGTTAAGATATACTCTTCGTATAAAGCGCACGAAAATTTTGATTGTACATGTGCAATATCTCGTCTAGTATCAATAGATAACCAGAAAGCCTTTTAGTGTGCGACATGTTTAGGTCCCACCTTACAGATAATACAAAAAATTTGTTGAAAGAATGTAACACCAATATGGCAGTTATTCCGGGCGGAATGACACTATTAGTTCAGTCATTTTACGTATGCTTAAACAAACCATTTAAAGCCAATTTAAAAAAACAGTGGAACACTTTGATGTTGGAGGGCGAGAAAACCTTTACGAAAGGAGGACATATGCGTTATGCAAGTTTGGAAACAGTGTGCCAATGGATATTAAAAGCATGGGATGAAATTAAGCCTGAGATGGTTAGAAAATCATTCAAAAAATGCAGTATTTCAAATAATCTGGTCGGATCAGAAGATGGCTGTTTATTTATGGATGAGAGTAACACAGATGACGAAGACGAAACAGATTGTGATGACGTGCCGGAAGAAATAACGGAAGACGAATATAAACTATTTATGTAATAACAAAAATCAATAAAGTATATAGGTAAAGGTATGTTATTTCTTTAAAATAAAAGTATTTTTCTATAGTTAAATTTGTNTGCCGGAAGAAATAACGGAAGACGAATATAATAAACTATTTATGTAATAACGAAAATCAATAAAGTATATAGGTAAAGGTATGTTATTTCTTTAAAATAAAAGTATTTTTCTATAGCTTCTTACGCTCCCGTAAATTCCAATGTTATTTTTTGTATTAAAAGTGCGCGTTATACGTCGGAATATACGGAACTTTAAAATCTTTTATTTGAAAAACAAATGAGACTACCTGAACTTTTTTAGGAAATGTTGCTGAAAACATCAAAGTTTGTCTTTTCCCTAATGGAGGCATGTTATCTTCAAGAACAATGCGACGTATCTGAGGTTCAAATCCCATATCTAACATTCTATCAGCCTCATCAAGTACTAAATATCTATTGCAGAAAAGCAAAGAGATTAAAAAAAAAAAAAAAAACTATAATAATAATCTTACATTTTATGTTTAGTAAATTTTCACATGCATTGCAAACAACTACAAATAACAATTCAGTATTCCTAATAAACAATGTTTATCATAACTAGGGAAATCTTTCACACACATAGGAATAAAAATCCACATTCACAAAAAAAAAAAAAAAGAAAAAAAAAGGCAAGATTTTTAGATTGCATTCATATGAAACATCTTAAAATTTTCCAATAACTAGTTTATTATGCATTTTTTAAAATTTTTTTTTTTTTAAAGAAAATGAAATTTGAAGCGGGATTTAAGTAATAATTATGCTAGCAACAAGACCAATTACTTAAATATGCTCAAATAAAATAAAAATATTTAATTTTAAAGGAAAAATTCACAATAATGAAAGAAAAAAGGTTTTAAGACTTACTTCACCATTTCAAGACTTAATTTTCCTCTCTCTATCATATCTACTAATCTGCCAGGTGTAGCAACCAAAAGATGGCATCCACGATCTAAATCTTTCATTTGCTGCACTGGGTCAGCTCCGCCATAGACAACACATGGACGTACACGCGACCTATATGAGAACTTACATGCCTCTTCATATATTTGGCATGCCAATTCTCTGGTGGGAGAAAGAACTAGAGCCATTGGATATTGCTTCATACGCCCAGGGTAACGAGTCTGTGGCTGCACCTGTTGTATAGTTATCTAGTATATAAAATATTATATTTCAATAAACACATAACATAATCGAGTTACAAAGATATTGAGCATATAATCAATCGAAAAATAAAATAAGTACTACTAAGAAGGTGTTGGAAAAATCAAGGTAATAGCCATAGGAGTAATAAGATGCTACACATCTTTAAAACTAGAAGATGCAAACATTTTAAATTTTACGAAATTTCAAAGAAGTACTTTCATGCCACATATTAGAAACATTTATTATATCTATAGTTATAGCTGACATAATAAAATAATTTACCACGGGTATATTTTTCGGTGGGCCTTCTTCAAATATCTGGTTCAGAATTGGCATCAAGAAAGCAGCAGTTTTTCCTGATCCTATGGTAGAAAAACAATTTTATAATTTAAATCAATCCAGTAAAATTAAAAAAAAAAATGAGTGGAGAACTTACCAGTCTGAGCACAAGCCATCAAATCTCTTTTGTTCAATATTATAGGCATAGCATGCTTCTGAACAGGAGTGGGGATCTTATAACAAGCCATATCAATATTAAATCGTACAAGTTCTGTCAAAGGCATTTCGACAAACTAGATTAAAAAGAAAACGGTTTCAAAATTTAAATAAGGTTACTTGTTAATTAATATTAGAACATGACAAAATATAATGTTAAAACATAACAAAAACAAACTATAATATTTTTGAAAACTTACATTAAAAAAAATTTTTTTTTCAAAGATTTTTTTAATTCATTTTTTTGCAAAAAAATTAATACATATGCTTTGCCTTTCACTTTATTGTAACAGAAGAGGATGAGCACCCCCCTCCCATTTTCTATCTGAATTGAAACTACACTAGTCTCTCTGGCTCTTGCACTTTCCTCCACGTTGCATAAACTCATGTCCTATGTTATTTTCACGATTCACATTATTTTCATTCGTTGACAAGTGTTGACATTTATGCTATAGTGCAACACATTTTAGGAATGCTTTTTGTTGTTAATATGCAAATAAAATCTCATTTTTCCTCTCCTTCTCAAATAAGTTGCGCGAGTTGCGTGATGTAATACAACGACTTCCCGATAGGGGAAATAGATATATATTTGTTGAAGAAGCTGACTAGTTGTTGGTTGATTCAGATGTGTAGCACTGTGTGTGCGAACTATTGTTTCCTCATATTATGTTTTAATAAATACTTTATTTGCCGGCATTAGCCTCTGTGTTATTCAACCAAACAACAGTGGTAGCAGAGCGTGGTTTACGATCATCATGGAGAAAGACTCAGTTTTTGGAATTCCGAAGTTGACTGGAACTAATTATCATCTTTGGGTCATGAAAATGGAAGCAGTTTTATATCTGAAGAAACTAACGTCGGCATTGATAGAAGAAGCTCCAACTGACCCTGGTAAATTGCAAGTTCGGGAAACTACTAACCAAGATGCCGTATCATACTTGAAATTGTCACTATCAGACGAACAGGCTTTGCAATATGCAGAAGAAAAGAATGCAAAAGCTTTGTGGACAAGAATTAAAACTACCTACACTGGGCTTGAGGGAGATAGATTCAGGTGCCGAACTTAAGAAATGCTGGATTCAGAAGCCGTAAACGATTATATAGCTCGAGCTAAAGGATTATCGACTAAGTGTGCTTCCTTGGGACTGAAAATATCTGACAGAGAATTGGTGTTCTACACGGTCAGAGGTCTAGCTGGAAAATATGAGCGCATAAAACAAGTTTTAAAAACGCAACGAGAAAAGTCAATAGAAGAAATACTTGAAGTCTTAAGGGAAGAAGAAAAAGATTTACAACAGAAATCCCGTGGACATAGAAATTTGGAATCCGCATATGCTACTCAGAAGAAGAGTTTACCAAAGAAAATTTGCTACGCCTGTAGACGACCGGGACATATAGCAAGGGATTGTCATTCGAAACATCAAGAAGTGGGAACAGATAGAGGCTACAAACCATCTACCAGTAGAGCAATAGGTCGTCGTAAACCAAATTTTCCAGAAACATTGGTATCCGAAAGTGCTACTCCAGATAATTTCGCCTTAGTTTCAGCTGAACAGAAAGGACAAGTGGACGAATGTTGGATCCTGGATAGCGGAGCCACGTCTCATATGTGCAAGGATGAACGCTGGTTTGAAACTCTAGATGCTTGCGACAGTAAAATATACCAGGCAGGTAAGACATTAGATACTAAAGGAACCGGAACTGTTAAAGCTATTTCACTAAGTAATAATGCAAGAATTATAATTAGTAATGTATTGTATGTACCAGAATTACGTCATAATTTACTGTCAGTACATGTTTAATGGATAAGGGGTATAATGTAAAATCACATTCAAACTCAGTATTAATTATTGCTCCTAATGGACGCATAGTTTTGAAAGCTTTAAATGTGAATAAAAAATTAGAAGTTAAGCTAAAACCTAATGTTAATAACGAGGTATGTCTTTCTGAGTATAACAAAGTTAAAAATAACGCTGAAATGAATGTAATTTGGCATAAAAGATTGTGCCATTTAAATGCGGATTATATGCGTAAAATGTGCAAAGTGTTAAATTTAAAAATTGATAATGAATTGTCTTGTGAATCATGTGATATTTCTAAGATTACCAGAAAACCTCATTCTAGTATTTTAACTCATCAAAGTTCAACAACTTTAGAATTAATACATGGTGATTTGTGTGGGCCATTCCCAGTTAAGTCTTTAGGTAATTCAAGATATTTTTTAATATTAGTAGATGATTTTTCTGGCATGTATTTTACTTATTTCCTTAAGAACAAAACCGAAGTATTTGATAAAATTGTAAGTTTTAAGCTGAAATTTGAATTTCGTAGTGATAATGGTCTTGAGTTTGTAAATAAAGATCTTGAGTTTTATTTCATTGAATGCGGAGTTACGCATGAAAAATCTGTGCCGTACAACCCAGAAAGTTTGGGTAAAGCTGAACGAGCTAAAGCTAATAGAGTTTTGTTAGATAGAGCTAGAACATTAATCTATGATAGTAAACTTCTTTAAATTTTTGGGCTGAAGCAATAGCCTATGCAACGCATGTTACTAACCTAACTCCTCGAAAAGGTAAAACTGAAGTTCCAAAAGAATTTTTCTTTAATCAAAAGCAGAACTATAAATATCTATGTGTTTTTGGATCTACAGTATACTATCACGTTCCTAAAGCTTTAAGACACAAACGTTCTATTCCAGGTAAAAAGGTATTATGTTGGGATATTCGAATGAAAGACGAGCTTATGGTATTTACGACCCTGAAAGAAATAAAGTAATCGAAGAGCGTTCAGGAAAATTTATTGAGAAATTATTAGGTAGTAGTAATTTGTTTAGTGAGGATAAATCTAATGACATCGATGAATTTTTTAATATCCAAACTAACGTAGAAGACCAAAATACAAGTTTTGAATTTCCACTGGATTTGAAGGATAGCCGAGATTTAAGTGAAACTAAAACTCATGGTCTTCCAGTAGGTGCAACAAAAGAAAAAATTAGGGAATTAAATGAACAACGAATAATTGAAGACGAAAACAGGTTACTAGAGCTAGGTGTACGTCGATCAGATAGAATAAAGGAAAAAGCAAGTTCAAACTTAGTAACTAATATTCCGGGTAATTTTGATGAAGCTAAACGTGATAAAAATTGGTTAAAATGGGAAAAAGCAATGAATGAAGAATTAAATTCTATTCACGAACACGATGTTTGGGATCTAGTTGATAAACCTGAAAATGTAAAATTAGTTAAGAGTAAATGGGTTTTTACTATGAAAGAAAATAAATACAAAGCTAGGTTAGTAGCAGCAGGTTTTAATCAAGTAAAAAATCGTGATTATTTAGAGTCTTATTCACCCGTGTTAAGTACCGAATCTTTGCGTTTGTTGTTAGCATTATCTGCCAAATTAAATTTAGAAGTAAAATTTTTAGATATTAAAACTGCATATCTTTATAGTAATTTGGAAGAAACTGTATATATGACTATTCCCCCAGGTTTTAAACATTTGTATGGTGAAAATAAAGTATGCAAGTTAAAACGTAGTCTTTACGGATTACCCCAATCAGGTCGAAATTGGCATTTACATCTTAAACGGGAATTAGAAAAGCTTGGTTTAAAACAGCTAGCTTCGGATAATTGTATTTTCACTAGAATAGAGAATTCTAAGTATTTTTTATTTTGGAATATACATAGACGACTTAATAGTTATTTATTCAGATTTGCAAATGTATAATGATATAGTGGGAAAATAATCTCGGATATTTGAAGTGAAAGAAAGTAAAGACAATAAATTTCTAAGTATAGAAATAAATAAAAGTGAGAAGGGCGTAACTTTGTCTCAAACTGAATATATAAACTATTTATTGCAGAAACATGGTATGTTTGATTCTAAATGTGTAAAAACACCAATCGTAAGAGGTGAGGATAGGAGTTTTAATTGTTCAAACAAAATGGTTAACCAAACACAATATCAAGAATTAATAGGGGAACTTTTATATCTCTCGAACAGAACACGACCAGACTTAGCATTTGTCATGAGCTACTTATCTCAATTTAATCATAAACCTGAGAAACTACATTTTAATTTAGCTAAAAGAGTGTTAAAATATCTCAATGGTACAAAGGATAAAAAATTATTTTCTAGTAACAAATCCGGACTTTTGAATGCTCATGCCGATGCAAGCTGGGGAAATGCTGAAAATGGGAAATCATTCTCAGGAGAAATTGTAATGTTAGGTGATTCTTTAATTTTATTGAAGAGCAATAAACAAAAACAGTTGCTCTATCTACTTGTGAAACGGAACTTGTTTCTTTAGGTGGTGATTGTAAAGAACTACTGTGGATATTAAATTTATTGGAAGAATTGCATTGTTCTATATTTGTAAAGAAACCTGTGACCATTTCGTCTGACAATCAATCTGCAATTGATTGGTTGAATAGTGCAAAATCATCTTCTAGAACGAGACATATCAATTTGAAACTTCATTACGCAAAGGATATAATTGGCAAAATTATTAAAGTAGAATATGTGTAAACGGACGAAATGATCGCATATTTCCTAACTAAAGCTGTAACTTTTGACAAGCTCACTTGGACTGTGTCACAAATAAATTTAATTGATTGATTGTTAATAAGTTTAGGTTGTATGAGAAATTTAGTATATTTATGTCTTGTATTTAGTGGAAAAATGTGTATTTATTCGCAGGGGGAGTGTTGTTATAATATGCAAATAAAATCTCATTTTCCCTCTCCTTCTCAAATAAGTTGCGCGATGTAATACAGCGACTTCCCATAGGGGAAATAGATATATATTTGTTGAAGAAGCTGACTAGTTGTTGGTTGATTCATATGTGTAGCACTGTGTGTGCGAACTATTGTTTCCTCATATTATGTTTTAATAAATACCTTATTTGCCGGCATTAGCCTCTGTGTTATTCAACCAAACAACACTTTTCATAGATATTTAAAAATTGTGACCTTTTTAATTAGAAACGCCATATTTTTTTGCTTTCAAAAAATAAAATAGCATCAGAAATCTAGATTTCTGTCATTCAAGTAAGTTAAACCGCAACACCAAATATATTCCCTCAATTGAAGCTGTATTTCAATAACTTCCTTTGCTTTCCCCCCTTTTTTATGGGTGGGTGGGGGAGGCAAATTTAGAAGAAAATACTGTTAGATATACTTTAATTTAGGACAATTTACAGTATTAATCATGTGATTCATTCAATAACAAATAAAGTACTCTATTATGTAAACATCTAATATAATTCTCTTACGTGGCTCCCAAATTTTGGCTGTATTTCTTTTCCACCGGTGGCAACGTTTGCTTTGTTTTGTTTACATTTCTATTTCTCTTACGAGGCGAATCGACCAATGATTGCTGCAAAAAATGTCACATGCCAAATCTAGCTGAGGTGGCTCAACATATAGCGCATTTAAAAACTGAAGTAACCAGAGAGCATCAGCTGTGGCAATCTCACACTATTAAGCAAGGCAGAAGTGAGTAGTCTTTGTCGATAGATCTCTATTTCAGAATTTTGTCGAAAGCGTTTTTATTCACGAATTTATATATTACGAATTATACTATAGCACATTTCTAATAGGTTTAACGAATTACATGTCATTTATTTGAATTCAAATTTATTTTAATGACTTAGTATTTTCTAAAAAGACGTAATTGTTTTTTTTTTTTTTAAAGTTGTTATATGGATTTGAATGATTGTTTTGAATTCTTAGAATTTTGTGCATTTGCAATATACCTAAGTTAGTAGCGAGCAAAGTGAGCTTGGTTTGCGAAGCAAACCATACAAGATCGCGTAGCAATTTTCGGGGGTTGGCGAGCGTGAGCGAGCAGGTTGAGATTGACTAAACAATATTGTTGCGACAATCGCAAGAATATTAACATTGCAAGAAAGAACATAAAATGATTCGTAGTATACATAAAAAAGATCTAATATTGACTTTTGGATGTTCCTCCATTTATTGTTAACTAAAATTCTAGCAAGAAAATATCAGAATTAGGCTCTACCAGGGTGATAAACTTAGAATTATTAAATTATTTTTTAAAAAGGCATTTCATTAAAAATAGTTAAAAGAATGTTTGATTGCCACATTAGTATGTGATTTTAAACCACACAAATGTGCATTACTTTTTTTTTAGATATATTTGTACTTAAGTGTATAAACTACTTATAAAATAGTGCAGTACATTAAACTGTAAATGAGATTCAGAAATATTATTTAAATTAATTTTTACCACAAATTATAGTGAACATGACAAATATCTGAAAAGTTATATCATTTGCTACATTGAGTGTCTGTGTAATAAAATTTGCATTTCTATTTGGAAATCTGATGACCACCTAAGCACTTGATAATTAGAAAATCAAATCACAAAGAAAAAAATGTAACACTAGAGTAAAATGGCTCTTATAATCAACTTTTTTTTTTAAAAAAAAGTATACTAATGAAAGGCAGGTCTTAAGATCACTCAATACCTCATTTTTGAAATTTAAATAAATTTTCAAGTATAAAACAAAAATATATTACATTGCTGATTTGATCAGGACAATCTTCACCAGTTGCTTCAACAGGAATGTCTTCATATTTTTCAAAGTTGATGCCAGTATGCCCTTGGCCGAAAAGTTGTCTAAAATTTATAATTTAATTTAATTCATTGTAAATAAAAATTTAAGGCAGTGATTTCTGGTAGATAAGCCACAGATTCAAAAGTCAAATTATAACATGAAGTTTACGCGAACATTCGGCATAAGCAGTGGTTTCATTTTTTGCAACAAAAATTAAGTTTTGATGCACTAGATTTGGGTTCTCTAATTTAAATCCTTGTCGTAGACTTCGAAATGCTTTTAAAATCCTGAACTTATTACATTATGAGGTAAATTGCATATTTAAATAATCCCTTTTTGATGCAGTCAGTCTCAAATCCAGTTTTTTTCTTCTAATTTTCATTGCTACTAACTTCTAGTTTTTAAAATTTCAATATTTTTAACAGAATATAAACATTGAATTACACATTTTAGTAATGTTTCAGCAATGCATTATCATTGTAGTGATTTTTTTCAAATCTTAGTTGCTTCGTCAATCACTTTTACAGTAGTTATCTTCATTAGTCCCAGAACATTTAAATAAAAAAATTTTTCAAATACAATATTTTTAAACACAAAATAAATTTAAAAAAAAAAACAAAAAAACTAAGAAATATACAAATCTTTTCAAGTTCGAATATTGTGAAATTAATTTAATGGGATTCATAAATAGTACTATTGTATAAAATAGAACTTATTCAATAAAAATGTACTTTTATTGAATTGAAATTTACATCTGTTTTGGAGGCTTATCTACCCGAAATTATAGTACATTAAATGTTAATTATTTTAATTAAAAAATCTCCATGAACATCTACAACAATGCCAAACTCTTGGAAAAGCAATAGTCAGAGTAACTTACCAAATATAAGAGATAGCGCAGATCTGCGACCGTATACTCCCCAACCCAGGCGCCATTTTCTGAGTAGGGCAAAAAAATCTGAACTCTGTATCAAATTTTCTGAAAGAGCACAATATTGACTTCCAAAAGAAAATTAGATTGACTCGAAAATTTAGACACCCCTATCTTTTTTTAAAACGCTGTAACTGAAAAAGAAATGCTTAAATGATAAAAATTTGTAATTGAAGAAAAAGACACTGAAAGCAAAGTTTCCTATATATGTACTTTTAAGTCAGTGCTATAGTTTAACTAAATTTGTAAAAGAGAGTTAATTTATTAAATATAATAAATTTCTAATTAGGTTCAGAAATGAAAAAAACATATATAAAAAGAAATAAGCAAGTTAAAAAATTTAATGTCCCGAAAATTTTGTAATAAAAACTATATTTAATTTTTGATATCACTAGTAAAGTTAACATTGACAAGAGTTGAAAAAAAAAAGCCTATAGCATTATATCACCAAATTATCTAAGTTACTTAGAATACACTTAACCTTTAAAGGAAATTAAAAACATTACTCATTTCCACAGGATTCAGTGAAGCAAAATATTAGTAAATCTAGTTTCTTCCTTCTAATAAGTAATAAAAATAAAAAAAAGAATTTTGGAATAAAAAAATAAGTTACATTAGATTATACAGCCCAACCTCGATATCACAAATTTTTTGATATCATACAAAATTATGTCTTTGCTCTATTCTGATAACAGAAAAAAAAAGAAAAGAAAAAAAAACTATTTGCTGAATACATTTAATACTTTATCCTCAATTTTACAAAACTTTTAGATCAAAATCTATTTCCTTATTCCCGAAGAAGATAAAATTTTGCTTTAACTCTAATTATTAAAAACTTTTCTTAATTTTATGAACTATTTTTTTTTTAAAGTTGTAATTAAAAAAGATTGCCATATTTGAAATAGACCATTTAGAAGTAGTCTATATATTCTATTTCTAAGGATTTTAATTTAATCAATATAAATAAATTAATACTTACGAGGTAGAACCAGAAATAATAAAAGAGTTAACAGAATTCGGAGATATATCAGAAGAGGAAGTTGACTGAACATTAGAATTCAATAAAACAAAATTAAGATGGAAAAAATATGAGATGATGACACGGTTAGTCGTAACTTATTTGGAGTAAGTAGACATTATATGACTTTAAAATTGCAAACAGTTATTTTGTCTGAAATAATACTATGATTTTTGAATAATTTGATTCATGATATAAATATCTTGATTTTTTATACCCTGAATTTTTTGACTTCTCCTTTTGAGTTTGTGATAATGAGGTTCGACTATATATATTTGCAAAAGTACTAAAAACAATTTCAATAAATCATAATTTTAATAAAGTAAAAAAACAAGTAATTTTGAAAAATTCTATAGAAACTATTAGAATAGCAGAACAAAATTAAATTTTTTTTTTTAAGTGCATTGACATAACTAGATCAAGGTGCCAGGGTGGACGAGATCAACCCTAGAAACATTCGATTACACCAGTTTCAAAAAAACTTTAATAACATGCACTTTATTTTAAACTTACTGATTATAATATAAAGACTAGAATTTCTGTAGAGTGGCCCTGGCTCAACCTACAGAAATTTTTTAGTCATGTCAATGCCCACTAAAAGTATGAAGAAAAAAAAAACAAATTAACTTAAGAAAATGAGTTGTGGTAATAATCTCTTTATAAATGGTTGTGAAACTCACCTTTCAACTCTTTCGTCGCGTGGCAATGGACGAGACCAGTCCTCTTCCTCATCATCATTGCGCATTCCAGTGCGACGATCCCACCTATTTGAATCTCTACTATCAACTTTAGCTTCTCCATCTCTCCAACCTCGTGATCTAAAAATAAATCATGTAAATAAGGGAATCGCCCATGAATGATAGTATGAGAGCTACCTAAAAAATATTTAGTAGAACGTATACAATTATAAAAATTGCAACAAACAGCAGATAACTAAAAAATAAAAAAAAAAACATTTTATGCATGAAAGGTCAGGCCGGTTCATTGCTATGCAAAAAGCTTATTCAGGGTTCATGCTCTACTTTAAAAATAAAATTCAAGTACTTTTCTAGGACATTTTAAGACTTATTATAAAATTCTCAAGGACTTAAATTTCAGTAAAAGATGGACTAAAATTTAACATTTTAAACTAAAATGTTTTGACGATAATAGTTAGTTGACAATAGATGTCAGACGATAACAGCAGTACTGAAAAATAAGACTTCCATTGCTCTCTCTCTCTCGGAAAGTGATCCAAGTATAAAAAAAGCAAGGGTGATTGGCATCAAGTCAAGAATAAAATTCATGATGAATAAAAACGTTGGATTTGAATTTTGCATAAGGCCTATTTTAAGCTAGGTATACAACCTCTGAATAAGCAAAGATTCGGGCAGAGGACGGGGATGTTCTATATAATACAGTGATATCAATTAGATATTTAAAAACAACTCTGCCGGGAGATTTTTATTTAATATTTAAAGTGGCAAAAGCATTTAGACAGTGAAATTTAAATTGTTCTTAAATATAATTTTGAAATTTTGACCACTTTCAGTTCCACTTAAATCAGTTTAATATGAAGATCGATGATTGATATTAAAATCGCCTGAATAAGAATAGAGATTTTGTCAGAATCTGGGGCAGTTCCCAATATTTAAAATTCCTAAAATCAGCCGAACATACATAAAATCCTAAAATCAAACAGTACATGTCATCAGATAGGAGGGAAAGTCGTTCTCTCACACTTACGCACGTCAAAAGTTAAACACAGAAATAGATCTGTTTTCCTGAGTTTTCGATACTTTTCAAGGTAATTTTGAATTTTTCAAGGATTTATTATCATTTTCAAGTACTCCTAGGGGCCCTTGAAAATCAAAATAAAATTCAAGTACTTTTCAAGGTTTTTTCAAGGCCGCGAGAACCCTGCTTATTTTAACCATATAAATATTGAAATGTAAGTAAAGAATAGAAGAGGTAATATGAAACACTCAGATTAATGTGGGATACCATTATAGATATGTAAAAAAGAAAAAAGCTTTTCATTAAAGTTCATGAGTTTTAGCAATCTCGAACAAGTATACCAGTTCCATTCTTAGTTAATATTTTTTAATGAGAATTTCTTTTGAGAAAGTTTGCTGTAATGAAACATTGAATGTTTGAAGCAGAAAGTTCATATTAAATGCAACAGGGTGCGATCAAGGAGATTCTGATTACAAATTATTTTAATTGATTTTTAACAAATATTTAACAAAAAGTCTAAAAATTGACTATAAATATTAATTATCAAATACTTTTTAATGATAAAGAAACATATATACATACCCATCATTCTTTCTAGGCTGATACGTATTTGTACGAAACTGTTCAGACCCTGGTTTTTTGTTTCGATTATATGTATTATTGAAGTTTCTCACAGTCTTATCACCTGAACATTAAGAAAAAAAAAAAAAAGGTTAGACAATTTATATTTTTTTAATGCATACATTAAGAAAGTAAACTATTCTAACCAGAAGTTGGATCATCTTGAACTCCCAGCTTAAGAGCATCACTTTGGTCAGTAGGCATGCTAGACTGCAAATACTGTTCTTGAATATTCTGTCCCATTTGAGAATAAGTTTGGTTGGCAGAATTATCTTTGTAATTACCTGTAAACAATGGTTTATCAACACATTTTCAAGAAAAGAACTATTATTATTGTTCACATTTAATTCATTTTCTCTATTGAAAAAAAAATTATTTTCTATTTCATAATTTTTTGATAGTGTGCAAATTATAAAGCTCAAAGACCATTGAGTCCTAATTTTTCCAAATTTCTTCAAAAAAAAATTCCAATATAAAAAGAATATCTAAGAAATATTGGAAAATTCCAAAATATTTGGGGAAGGGGGAAAAAAACAAGATGAAAAGAATAAGATGTAAGAAACAAAAAACACTCATGCTTCTAAAATAATTTGTTTTCTGAATTCCAAATTCTCAAATATACAGGAAATATCATTACATAACAATCGAATGTAACGCAAAAATTACTTAATAAAATATGCATAACCTTCTAAGAATTGTACATAAAACTGAGTATACTAGTCAAAAATATAGAGAAGAAAAATGCATTGAAATATATTTTGTAATAAATGTAAATATATTTTTAATGTATTATCATATGTAAAAGTAAAAACTTAACAAATCTGTAAAGTGAAAGTGAAATCTAAATAATAATAATAAAAAAATTCTGTTAAGTTACTGATGAGTTTTTTATTTTTAGACTTCGAAACTTGTTTAAATTTAATGGGTTACTTTTAGCCTACAAGCTATAAATAGCCTGTTAAGGCAGAGTGAAAATAAAATTTTCCAAATTTGTTTTCCAATAGCAACCATAACTTGATCCAACTTTTCAAAAAATATAGCCTAAAATATTTTTTATTTCCTATTAACTGATTCATCTGATTTAAATAAAAAATTTCAAATATGGCCTTTCCTCAATTTCTTATCCAAAATCATTTTTAACGTCTCTAAGCAAGGAATAAATCGCAAACATGCGAACAAAACTGCTCTATAGTGAGAGGGAGAAGAGATTTTGTGTGTCATCTTCATTATATCTAGGCAAACTGTTTTCGTTTCCTTATAAAAAAATAAAAAAAATTATATAAAAAAAAAAATAGGCCTGATCTAGGTTATTTGTATAATATTTTATTGGCTGTAATAAGTTCAAATGATCTACTGATCTGGTAAACAGAAATGCTGAAAAATTTTTCCCAGGCTCAATGGTTTAAAAGAGCTAACTGATTATTAGATTTCACAAGTAAGCCTATATAAACCGATTTGACAATAATGGTAAAGACAAAAAAAAAAAAAAAAAAAAAAAAAAAAAAAAAAAAAAAANGATTAAGAAATATGATCTTTAAGACATTGCTCAATGCAAACAAATTAAAAAATAGGATTAAGAAAATTTAAGCCAAAACTGTACTCAAAGCAAGATATAAAAGTTTGATTTGTATAGTTTTTTGTTTAATATGCTTAAACTAATATATTTTTCAATTTCTTTAGTATATTTAAAAAATAAATAGCACATATAGAATCTCAAAACGGTATGTTTGTTTTAACTTATATTGCCGCAGATACATAAATTAAGACAAATGCTCCAGTAGAAGATCTAAAACACCTTTTTTAAAGTAAATTAAAATCAAAATACGGTGAATCAAACTTTCTTCACTAAAAATAAACATATAACCCTATTCACTGTCCCTACAATACATTGTTTGGATAAATTGTAATCTAATCGAGTCTCATTTTGATATCTTGAATTGTAATAAACTGAAACATTGCAAACTTTCTTAATCACAAACTCTAATACTGAAATACTAAGAATTGAACTAATACATTTTACAAACAATGTAAGAATAATTAATTGGACAACTTACCTCTAGGCTTATACTGATTTTTTCTGTCCCAATCTTGCACTTGATTGTGCCACTCTGGAGATCTCTTCTGTTCTGAAGGTTGACCATATTGATTCATATTCCAGTGTGTGGGGTTAACAACTCCAGGATCTGTTGGGCGATTACGCATGTGAGGAGGAACATATCTTTGTGCTGGGTGGCCTAGATTTTGTCATTAAACATAAATATATTACAGTTTAATGGCTTCATCTACTAGCCTTTATCAAATCTAACCTATTTATCAAACACATGGGAGGTAAATTTAACTCCATTATTTTTACTAACTTTAATTTTTGAAATAATTTTAATAACAAGTTATGACCTATTCCCAGTAATGTTGCATGTGACAATCACTCTATATGAGATATGTTTTACTATCTGATATTGTATGTATAAATGTAGTAAAAAGACAAATATTAATTTTGTTAAACAGGTTAAAAGGCCATCCAGCAAAAAGTAATAAAAGTTATACCAATATTTGATTTTTTTTAGTTGGTCTTGAATGTGGCAAAAAAATTATTTGAAAACATTAAGTTTCAAAAAAGTCCGTGAATTACATACATGAAATTTGTTTAAAAATTGTCTACAATAAAAAAGGATTAATGAAGCCAAATTAATAACTATTTCAAATATTTCAGTTTTTATCAGATTATAATTTTGCTGGTAATTGTATGAGACTTTTTGTCTTGCAAAACTGAAATTAGAAATTTTATAATATCGTGACTGTTAACTTTTGGTGAAGACAACACTAATTATAATATTGAATAGGTCTCATAGTTTTTTTGAATTCAGACACTTGCTTAAAAAAAACTACATAAATATACCAGTTTCATTGACAGCGGATATTTTCTCACCATAGGGTTTCCAAGACTTTTTTCTAAACACGTTTACAAGCACATTTGAAATACACTTTCTAATTTTCTTTATAGAAAATGGATATCGAGAATGCAATATTTGAGAATGGGTTGACAGATTTTCTTTTTCATATTTTAAACCCAAAGTTTCTTAATAAGTAATATCTTACTCACTCTTTTGGGATTATTTATTTGATATTAGTATACATATAATTTTTTAATAATAATCTATTATATTTAATTTAATGACAAAGATACAAGAAGCATGAATAATAGTCCTATTTCTGACTTCCCAGAACATAAAAATTTTGATCGCTTGAAAAAAAGGAGTTTCTTCAATGTATTCTTAGTAAAAATATATTAGTAATTGAAAATTAAAATATGGTAAGTACAGATTACAAGTGTTAAGAAATATTAAGATTAATAAAACAAGTGTACTTTATAGCTTTTGAAATTCACTAATTTTTGTTGAAAACAAAATTTTTAAACAAAAATAAAGTCAAATACAAGAAAGATCATATATTTTTCTTTAAAAATATATGTCATAATCATGATAAATTATAATAACCAGCCTCTCAAAATTATTGGAATGAACCTTAAGTTACAAATTCTAACCATATTAGAGATTTCCACACTGTTTTAATTATACTCACATGAGACTATGGGTATTATGTGCACTCAAAAGGTAGCTGTGATCTTACATCTACTCATATAAGGGAACCAGTGATAGAAATGTGAAAAATTAACAGTAAAAATGGGCAAAATTGATATCCTAAAAGATAAATATCTAACTTTTGATTTTGATCAAGTTATTTTACAGATTTTGTTTATTATTCAGATATCTGCAAAATAAATTAAAGCTACAAAGTTTAACATGGCTACTATCTTTATACCTAAAAATTTAAAATAGTTAAATACATAATCTGAGTATCTGACCATGAATAATAATCAACAAATACTATATAAATTAAGTGCTGCTTCACACATTAAATTATAGGTAAACAAGGGATTTAACTCATACCATTAGGTTGCTTTCCATTTTGTCCTCCATTAATATCCATGTTTGCAAACTAGGAAGGAAAAAAAATGCAAATTCTAGAATTACACAATATCAAATAGAAACTAGATTTAAAATGTTGAAACATGTCTTAGCCATGAGAATATAGCCTTTACAATTTACACAAAAAGAATATCCAAGGAGTAGAATCATATTTAATATTCTGTAACAAAACTTATGATAATTTTGCAAAAATCATAAAAATATTAAATTTGTGTTCTTAATATTAATTTAGGAATCTTAAACAAGAATCAAACTAATAAACTTTTATAAAATAATTTCAGCACGCCTGAATATAATTTTCCAATAACTGACAGTTAAATATTATTATATAATCTTTCTTTACCACCCTATAAGTATTCAACTTTCAATAACACTGGTACATGGAACAATAAATTTTTTAATCATATGCCTCTTAAATAATGCTGACTTGATGACAGACATTATTCTTCATAAACACATAATTTTATGAAGCATAATAAAATTTCTTTGATCTAAACATAAAAATTTAAATTAAGTATCCTATCTAAGAAAGTTCAACATATAACAATGTGAACTACAAGAGCTACATACTTAACATAACGTATAAAAGGGATAAGAAATGTTAAATAAAAAACTTAGAAATCAGTAGAAATTGTGAAATGGTGATAAAATTTAAAAATGTTGGCAGCTAAATACGTATACGTATTGAATATATGATACATAAACATTCAATTAAAATAAATGAGATGTTTAAAGAGATATTTGCATTTAATTAAATCGAAACATAAAGAGATCATAAAATATTAATTTAATAATTAAGGCAAAAGTAACATAAATCAATAATAAAATTTAAAACAACTTTAAAATACAACGTAGTCAAAAATTTTTGAGCCCTACAATGACGGTAAATTTGAGAAAAATACCTAATTATTAAATAGGTTTAAAGAAAAAATAACTTGCGATCAACAGTTATTGATCAAATTAAATTACAAGGAAAAATAAAAAGAATTAAGTTCAAATCCGCTTAGAACTGGGTCAAGTTATTAATTACGATTTTTCACATCGTACTCAAAATATTATTTTACTTATTAAAAGTATAATGATTTCTTTTCTTTCATGAAAAATAAGATTTTATTATTCATAAATTATCCAGGATTTTAATAAAATTCTGATAACACTCGATTACATTGTTTGCCTTCATTGATGACAATGACAGGTTTGACAAACGTTTAGGTTTTATATAAAAATAAATCACCAAATTAGAAATATTGATGCAACAGAAAAATATTACTGCATGACAATAATAACAAATAATTAAACTTACGTTGTTGTATAAGACCCAACATGCCATGTCAACTGGAACAGGTCTGCTCCATAACATAGGCATACCGGTATTTTTATCCCAAGTTGGAGTCGGGCTCATATGCGCCATCTTGTCTTCTTTAAACTGTTATCAAATCAGAACGATAAAATATCAGAAAAGTATGAATTATTCTTGTTTGATGACCAATTATAAACACGTTTCTTTAAAATAAATTAATAATTAAAATTAAATAAAATAGCTTGAATATGTTTTGTTGGAATCATTTAGCAAGTGACACAGTGACATGTAACTAATTCAACTGCAGCACTTAAAAGGAAAAAAAAAAGTAATAGAACAGCAGAAAGGAAGATCGATTGAGTTGCCATTTTTAATAATGAAAAAATTATTGAGATAATTTTTTCAGATTTGATTTTAACCATAATTTAACATAAGATTAGAGTTTAATCAAATGAGCTTTGATTTTTTTCGTTTTTTTTTCTAAAAATGCTTTATTTTTCACTTCAATGTAAAGTTCCCTTGTCTGAGTTGAGTTTTAATTCAAGCTCATTCTTGAAAAATAAAGAGAATTTTTTCTCATAATAAGCTTAAATTTAAAGTTTTAAATAGGACTTCTCAAAATTTTATTTATGGAGTGAATAATGTTTTGGTGCCAAAGTATAATTTCATTAGAATGTTTTGGCAATATATTTCGCACTGCTGATAAATATATTAGGTTTTTTAATGTTGGCAACATCTAGTTTATTTACAAAATGAAACCTTGCAATTAGGATCGTAGCTGTCAAAATAGTGATAATTTTTACCTACCCTTTTATTAGCAACCCAATATTTTGTTCTAAATGTTTGAAGCATATATCTTGCACAGTCTTAACTGCCTTATTTTCTTAGACAATGTCTTTTTCAAATAATTTAACTACACATATTTTTCGACGCATTTGGAAATATATTCTTAGCTGGTGCGTTTGCTTTCATTTTGAAATTTTCTGTCTTTAGTTACCATATTTTGATAGATTATGCTTTAGACAATGTATAAGTATAGTCTATCTCTTTGGTTGAAAAGTTATACTGCCAGTACAGGTAATAGTTTACAATCGGGGGCTCCTCTCATTTTTGGCGATTTGTAAATAAGCGAATATATATGTAAATAAACTAAAAACCAATCGTAAACAAAAATTCCGGTAACCCGAAGGTGACGTCATTGAAAGCAAAGACCGCAAAGTATATTAAGGTAAATAGAAATGGAATTTCAGCATAACTGACCGAAAATTATCACCAAACCATGGATCCCCGATTATACACTATAGTCCCTGTCTGTTTTCCAGCTGTTTGGTATAATAACTTTTTGTTCTTTTTAATGTCATATAGGCACAGAGACAGTCAACCGTAATAAATATTTGATTTCTTAACTACTACGATTCAGATTGTAAGATGCCGAAAAGAAGGTACGATGAAGATCCAGAAGGTTTGTCTGTTCCTCTACCAATTCAGAATTTCTTATGGAGACAGACTAGGTAAATATAGAAAAGGTTCTATATCTGGGAAAAGCTGAAAATTTCACGGTATCTTATTAATGTTTGACATATTCTTAATAAAATTGAAAGAGTTTAATTATTAAGAGTTTCCTTTTCTTAAGGTTTACTATCTAACTTACTTGGCATTCAATAACACTTAAATAATATTTTTATGTTCTTATTTCATTAGCCATAGTGTCAAATTTTAGGGAATAGTGCATTTCCTTAATAGAACTGGCAAAATAATTGTTGAGTTTTGGTAACAACTAGCCAGTAAAATGCATAAAACTAAAAAAGTAATTTATATAAAACCCCATAAAATTTGTAAATTTACAAGCTTGAAAGTTAAAACGTGTTGTCGGAGTTAAATCAAAGGAAAAACTTTCTGTGAACACAAAATCTTAATTAAAAAACTTTATGCAAGCATTGATTCAGTCTTGCAGCTAATCTGTATATTTTATTCATCCTTTGTCCCACCTCATTTTCATGTAATTCATTTGAAAATCACTCTTTTTTTAAAAAAGGAAATATAAAAATCTAATAGACAAAATAGGAAAGCCTTGCTCACTTCTTGTATTTCTTCAAGAAGTTGGAGGAATAGCTTAGACTAAAATATTTCAGATAAGCCCTGTTGTGGAATTCAGTCTCGCGGTAGGCCATGACTGCCTATAGAACCACTTTCACCGAATTGGCATTTTCCCGAGTCCTAATTGGCTACTTTGTGGAATAGACAAAATTATGGACATGAACCATTTGTAAGGATGCACAGCTCTGTGTGGGGGCTCTGAGATGAAGAGGTTCTGGAGCACTTGACATCTGCTAATGGGACATTGACTTTTTTCTTTTATTGTGTTCGATTTTATTCATGTTCTTTGTTAATATTGTAAGAGTTTGTCATTTTCCTTTGTTATTGGAAATAAAATAAAAAAATTTTAAAATGTTTAATTTCTGTATTCTTTATTAATATTTTGTAATTAATATAGGTGATGTATAAAATTTTATATCCTCTGTTTGACATGGCGATATATCATATGATCAAAAATCTCTAAATCAATCAATAATAAATCTATAACCAAGCAAAATGTTAATTCTAAAAAAAGTGCTTCTATAACATCAATAGCATTGCTTGATTTTTAAAATTAAAATAATAAAGATGGATTGACTTAAGACTGACAACTTAAAGTAAAAGCAAGCACAAACCTTATTTTAATTTTTTTTTAAAAATTAAAAATGGCCTGAGGGTTATTAGTTTAAATATAGGAATAAAACTGTAACAAAGTATTTCACTTACATGTATTTAAAAAAAAATGAAAGTGAAAAACAAATCAAATCAAAGAAATGTTCATTTAAGTAAAACATTTGTTAAATGTGTTGGAAAAATCATACTTTTGAAACATTGTTAGACCTTTCAAATTCGTCAAATTCTGTACTTAATAATCATAAAAATAAGTTTGAAACATCATTAGATCTTTCAAATTCTGTACTTAATAAATATAGAAATAAATGTATGTCTTGTTTTATTTATTTATTATTATTATTTTCGTTTTTACTATACAATCGACTAAAGATTAATTAATTTAAAAGTAATACATTAAGCTAAAAAGATAATAGTTTGTTTAAAAATAATACATTTTTAAACAAACACATATTGAAAGGAAATTTTTTTAAAAAAACACTGTTGTTAAACTATTAAAAAGCATCAAAACATTACTTAACTTTTTATTTTATTAAAAAAAATTAGTCATTTTAACTAATAAAGAATTTTTTTTTAAAAGTAACTAATGCAAACATTGTTTTTAATTTTCTCAAAAATAAAAACAAATTAAATAAATATAGGCTTTGTTTTAATTTTTTTTATAATTTAAAAAGACTGAAGCTTTATGGGTTTAAAAAAAAATCAAATTATTATATACTTATGTGCATTGAATGACTTTTCTCCGTTAATAAATTTTCTCAGTAATTAAAATTCTGCAAGTAAAATTTGAATGGCGCTTTTAAATCACTTTCTAATGCCCTCAATTTATGCCGATAATATCACAAATCCATGCCACAGGGTTTCTCTTTAATATTATGAAAAATTTAAGTAAAAGAAAATTTTTGTTGATGAAAACTTCATTTAATTCATAATTAAAGTGAAAAATAGTAGACATGTTTTAAGTGCTCAGAAATAGTGTTCATTAGCACATGATTGGACAATACAAGAAGGATGAGAACAGGTTTAAAATTAAAGATGATAGTACTAGACATTTCTTGACTATTCTTTAAATGTCTTTTATTCAGTCTTGAAGAGTCCATTCTATTTAATGATGCAAGCTTTATATTTTTTATTACTTCTTATTATATTTTTAACAATTTTAAAATGATAGTGAGATTAAGTAATTGTTTCTTACCTTGCTAACTATCTTTTCTTTCATTTATATTTTTTGTTGCAATTTTTAATGTTCACTTGGAAATTGTTTAATATCTTAAAACATATGTTATTCCTCTTATTTAGTCCATTTATTCGACCCAAATATGGAAAACTTCATGAAGCATCTTGTATGGTAAGTTCTTTGAACTTTTAGTGCACTTTTATTAATGAGCTTAATATAATTTATTAATTCCCATTATTAATTTTATTCTTAAAATGTTAAATCATAAAAAAAATTATTTCAGTATTTTTTGGATTTTTTTTCCTCTGAAATTTATAATGTAATTTTTATCATTTTGTCGCTCATGTTTTCTCAAAATGTTTGTATTTCTATAAATGATTTGTATAAGTGATTATGCTATAATTTTTTCAGGAGCAACGTGAAGCATGCAAAGTAAGCTTTTTATAAATATTTTAAAGTTTATATTATAAAATCGATAAACATGTACATTTTAAAATAAATAATTTCCATTTCAGTCCTTTGAAAAAGTACTTGTGCAAAATATTCAGTTCGGTCTTTCACCTAGTCTCACCCAAGCAATTAAAAGTATTAGTAGGTTAGTATAGTTTGATTTTTTTTTTTTTTTTTTAAATTTGTGTAAAATGTTTTTTTTAAATGAAGCTTGTTTCCTTAATTTTTTCATCATTTGTTACTTAATGTAATTTATAACCTTATAAAAAAAGAAACTTCTATATGAATGCCATATGAAAATAATTTTTGAAAATAAAAATTTTTTATTTGTAAAGTAGTAATGTCTCTATCGGTAATTAAGTAATACTGTGAGCGTCGGTGTAAGGGTCCCAGTTTTAAGGAGGACAAAATTAAAGCACAGTATCAATAGTTCTCTAAATTTTAAATTTTTTTAAAAAAAATTATTAAATCTACTAAATATCTGTAAAAAGGTTAATTATTTTTATCTTTTGCCTATTTCTAATACTAAGATGCATTTAAATAATTCATGAAAATTTTCTTTATTTGTCTGAAGTATTAAAAGGGACTTTTTGTGATTTCTAATTATTGCAGGGGTTATGTACCCAANTTTTTCCATCATTTGTTAATTAATGTAATTTATAACCTTATAAAAAAGAAACTTCTATATGAATGCCATATAGAAATAATTTTTGAAAATAAAAAATGTTTATTAGTAAAGTAGTAATGTCTCTATCGGTAATTAAGTAATACTGTGAGCGTCGGTGTAAGAGCCCCATTTTTAAGGAGGACGAAATTAAAGCACAGTATCAATAGTTCTCTAAATTTTACATTTTTTTAAAAAAAATTATTAAATCTACTAAATATCTGTAAAAAGGTTAATTATTTTTATCTTATGCCTATTTCTAATACTGAAATGCATTTAAATAATTCATGAAAATTTTCTTTATTTGTCTGAAGTATTAAAAGGGACTTTTTGTGATTTCTAATTATTGCAGGGGTTATGTACCCAATATCCCCCACCAATTATGCTCATTAGTAGTAATGTTATTAAATCACATCATTAAGTACTAAATTACTGCCATTGACTTCCATATCACAGCTATATAAACAAAACAAATAGGAACAAAATATTTTATGGAGCCATAGAATTTTTAGTTATTGTAGTTGCTTTAAAATAGTCTTAAAAAAACAAAAAACGTTTACTTATAAGAATTCAAAGCTTTGAAAAATATAAGTATATATAGTTTCCTTTTAGTGTAATGTCACTAGAATAACATTACTGTAAATTTTATTTTTAGATGGCGATTAATTCAAGCTGCATTTCCCCATGTAATGCATTGCTGTGCTGCTCTTCTTTATCGACGTAAAGATAGATGCCTTGATAAACTTGGTACAGCTGAAACTAAATTGCTGTATACGCTGCAATGGATAATATTAGATGCTATTGAGGAATGTGCTGATGCAGAAGCAGAACAAGGCTTTTATCATCCACCTAGTCATTACCTATTCCCTATTTCTTCAATTCAGGTACATTACAATTTTAATTTCATGTGTATATTCTATTGAACTATTTTTTTTTTTGTTATTTATTTATTTTGTTTCAAGTATTTTCTGATAGGGCAGAAAAAAAACTTTGTGTAATTTATTGAATGAAATAACTTAAAATATTGAGTACTACTATTGTTATAAAGTTAATTTTTTCCTTTAAATACACTTTTTATTCACTCATGTCATCTGTCTGGTGTTACATACAGTGTCTGAACAATTTTGGTTTTCATATTCCTTTCCCAATTGAAGTATTTCTTCATTTTTGAGGAGAATATGAAATAATTGTTGTAAAGAAAGTATAACACAGGGTGCATAACTTTTTTAAAAAGTGCCTAAAGATGCTTATTTTTCATTTACATTTTTAAAAGGCCCTTAAAGGTGCTTTTTTTTATTCAGGATTTGTAAACAGTGCTTAATTTTCTATCTTTTAAAAATAGATTTTTTCTTTGCCGTGTCGATTATAGTTCTAAATTACAAAAAATGCATGATTTTTGCAATTTTTACTGCAATATTTATCAAAAACTAGTTGTTCTATCATGATTATGTAAAGTTTTTGAAAACGTTTTTGAATTTTATTGGTTTTATGTTTATAAATTAAGAACTTTGAACGATAGAAAAAAATAATTTTTATTACTGCACAGATCTTAATTCTGTTTTTTGTAAAGTGATGAAAAATATTTTTTGAGTGCTTAAAAGGTGCTTATATTTTGTTCAAAAATCTGGCTACCCACCCTGTAACATTTTTAGCATTATTTATCTTTACCTTAAATTTCAAAGATTGTCTTGATTGAAATCTTGATTCTTAAATGAAAAATTTTATTTGCTTTGTGATTAGGTCAAGGGCGCCGGCAGCGGGGTGCAAGAGTAACACTCACGACAAGTATCTCAATTCTGGTNGAATTTTATTGGTTTTATGTTTATAAATTAAGAACTTTGAATGATAGAAAAAAATAATTTTTATTACTGCACAGATCTTAATTCTGTTTTTTGTAAAGTGATGAAAAATATTTTTTGAGTGCTTAAAAGGTGCTTATATTTTGTTCAAAAATCTGGCTACCCACCCTGTAACATTTTTAGCATTATTTATCTTTACCTTAAATTTCAAAGATTGTCTTGATTGAAATCTTGATTCTTAAATTAAAAATTTTATTTGCTTTGTGATTAGGTCTTTTTAAATTTTCCTTATTAATTTATCCTTTTAGGTCAGATTATGTATCTTATGCACTACTATTATCATTTCTAGAAGATAATTCCCTCATTACATATCTCAAATTATAAGAATAACTGCTTTCAGATTAAATTTTCAAAAATAATTTAATCACAACAGTTTTTTAATGAAAATAGTTTTTTTTTATGTTTATGTACTATTACTAAATAGTTAACAACTAATTAAGATAAAACAACCTCTTAGAAATAAGCTCAATTAACATGTTTGGGTAAGTAATCAGTATTCTGAAGAAATGCTGTGACACCAGAAGTTTTAAAACTATTCAAAAGTTTGAAATCTATACATTTTACAGAAATATCAAAGAAGGGCCTCACTGTCCAGGCTATGTACATAAAGCAATCTGTATATAAATAATAAAAACTTATTTAATACTCACAGTTTGTGTCTGTATTTTTAAATTTTTCCACAAAACTTCCTACTTGAGTTTTTTCACAAAAACCTACAATTTTTGAGCGGTTTAAAAAAAATTAAGTCAATGATGCACCTAAATTGATGTTTTTCAATGAGATCAGAGAAAAAAGTTTTAGTCTTAAATATAAGCTAATTTTCTGCAACTATTTATCAATAATTTATTGCTTTGACTATGTAATCTAGATATTTTGTTTGGTATCATTAAGCAAAGCATTATATTTATTAATTGCACATATTATTAAATATAATTTAGTGATAAATATAACTTTTCCTATTAAAAATTTTGAAACTTCTTAAAAATATTAATTTTTTTAAAGTAAAAATTGCAATAAAAATATTTGGGGTATCATAATGAAAACAGGTGACATAATATTGCAATCAAATAATAATATAATTATAATCCAAAAGTGTATTATAAACCATGAAAAATGTATTCAATTTGTACTTCTGATGAAATGTAAAGTTTTATCAAATTTTAATCCAAGCATGAAAATTTAAAAACACCCAATAGGTTCTCTGTGCACTACTGTATTCTTTAGATGAGCAGATTTCGTGTTTTTATCTTTATCAAAATTACATTAGTGCACTTTGATAACATATAGCCTACATTTAACTTATGTGAATTGGTAACGTTTTATAGTTTTTCAAATGATCTCAATTGTTTTGTCATAAAATTTTGAGGAAACCCACTTAGCCAATAATGGTTATTTCTTTTAAAATGGGCCTATCCAAAGAAAAAAAATTTACAGTTTTGTTTCCTGATTTATTTGAAGACAAAATGACTTAAAACAGTTTTTCAGTAAGTTCTTTTAACCAGCAAACAGTGTTGCCACCATTGTCTAACAATTGTAAAGTACTCATCCAAAATGAAGGCAGTATTTATATTCTATTCTAATTTGTAATGTAGAAGCCATTATAATTTATATAAAAAATTTATAAAAGTTTATCTTGAACTTGGGGAGAAATGCAAGTTATTTAATTACTTATCCTAATATGCATCCAACAACTTCATCATGCTACATACTATCTAACAAGAGGTAAAATTGATATAATCCCCAATGTTAACAAAGCATTAGCAAGTAGCACCTGTGGATTGGTGCATTTGATGCCGCGAATCCACAGATCTGCCCAAAGTATTAGTTAAAACAGTTTTATAATACTAAAAAAATGAATAGTAAAATTAAAAGAAAGCTTCATATATGGAATATTATATTTTAAATCTTCCAAGCCTTGTGCCCTTAGGATATATTTATACTGAAATTTTCTTTCTATGCCCCTTTTTCCCATGGGATAATATGGGTAACAATCAGGTAATTAGTTGGTTTTCTGATGAATCTGAAAGTTTGTGCAAGGCTAAGACTAATGTTCAGAGTGTTAATGCAAATGATATTTAAATTTATGAATTGCATAAAAAATGCTGTTAAAAATAATTGAAATTGCTTAAATTGATATGATTGTTATGATCTTTAGTTACGAATTAAAACATTTAATTCATAATTTTTTTGTTGCTACTAAAGACTAACGATGTTTGTTTTTTATAAAATTGTCTATTAAAATTTCTTCATTCAACAATAAATGAATAAGGCATTTCATATGACGTTTCAGAATATTCCCTCTATATATTGTGCTTGGGGTAAAAATAATTATTAAAAAAAAAAATTCCTATTAATTTTTCAAGTGCTTTTGATCACCATAATAATAATATTTTAAATGAATTTTTCAATATTATCTGAACTGCTGTAGTCATTCATTTTTTATTTAATGAGGAAGTTTGATATCATTTCTCTGTTGAAATTGAGAAATTCTTCCTATTTGTAGAATTCTTTTTAGTTGGAAACCCATGTCTTATTTAATGTATCTTCTTCAGGAAAATAAGTTATAAATTTCGTGACCCTAGGCACTCTGATTTTTTTATTTCATTTTATTTTTCACTTCTTTTATTTTTATACCAGACTCTGTATGTAACCCTATTTAATTTCATTACCTGAGTATGTAATAACATGAGAGTTTTGCATATCCATTTCTAGATTTTATACCACCAAATATTTAATTGAATCAATTTTGATTTTTAATTGGTCAATTCTGCATTTTTTTCTTAAATTTATAAATTTCAACAATTTGTTCGGTTTTTCTTCTAAATTTATAAGTATTAACAGTATTTGATGATTTTCTAATAAACTTTTTTTTCATCCTAGGTTTTTGTTTACTTGTTTGCACCATTAGGAGATTTTTTGAGACACTCAGACTTTATGACAAGTTTCCGTTTGGAAAATGGCTTAAAATTGTGGGAATCTCTTTGGGAATATAGGCACCCAAATGTTGCTTGTTTTACTACTCATGTGCTCCCAAAGCGCACATTTTTAAAAGGAAGAAGAGAAAAACAAACTGCCACCAAATTTGGAGATGTTTTTATTGGTGGGGGTATGTAAACATGCATGTTTTATCGTACTGTTTTTGACTTCTACTTAATATGATTGTGAGCAATTTCTTAATCTTTTTTGAATGGAGATTGAGTTTAAACTTTATAAATAATTTGTACCAAGTGGGTGTAATCTGTACTTTAAAATTCTATCATAGCTTTAATTTAAACATAGATATGCCATATTTATAATAATCAGGATATGTGACTTTTTTTTAAAATAATTTGAAAAATTTTGTTTTACAATTGGTTACATTTTATAATTATAATTGAAATATTATTATGATAAATCATTACAATATATTGGAAACTATATCAATTCATTAAAAATTGTTTGTAGTAATACATAATAAATGAAAATTTCAAGAATCAAAATTATTGAAAATGAAGGTATATCATTATAAATGACTAAAAAACAGCCTAAAATAAGCAAATATTACAAAATAATTTTTTTAAATAAACCTTTTAAAACAATTAAATAGTGAGGCCTTATACTTTAAGGGCAGGTTGATAAAATATTACATTGCAGAACAACTTAGTTCACCAATTGAAAAAAAAATTACTCTATGAGAAAGGAAAATTTAAATTTATCTTAAAACAGCTGTTTTTTTTTAAATGTAATTTCCTTTTAAAATTGTATGTACTTTAAGATTCAGAAATATATTTGCAGTTTTAAAATTGAGAATTGGTAGAAATTTCATTGTTATTACAATTTTTGCAAAAATATCTTTTTTACTTTTTACAGAAGTAAAAAAAAAGAAAAAAATGCAGTAAAATTTCACTCTTCTTTATTTCCATTCTGAAGAATAATAAGATTTTTAAAATTTCATTGAAAAAGGTACCAGGTAGTTATATAATTTTGTTAATTGAAGCTTATAGCACTGCAATATATTTACAATAAATTTTAAAAATATAAAACTGATAAAAAAAATGTAAATAATCTCATGTTACTATGCTTTATACATTTTTTAAATCAAAGATTTTTTATTGAAAAATAAGTTAATATAAATCATGATTTAAATCAACGAACCCTGATATTAATATTAGTAAACAATTGATTGGTTTTAAAATAAATTATTGCATACTGCCCATGATAAACAAATTGAAATCTGGTCATTTGGATGAAAAGTTATTCAGGTTATTTGCTTTTTTGTATGCTGTACACTATCTGATTTAATAATAGCTGCAAGTTTGATTATTAAATAATGTGCTAAACACTTATTGCTTATTTACATTCTTCTCTAAGTTCCAGAGTTTTAAAGTGGGTGTCACTAATTTTTCTGTTCTTTTATTGTTTTTACGTCAAAGATAAATCTTTTGCATAAAATGTAACCACCTATATTATCATAAAAAAATAAATGGTGTTCACAAACTTTGTGAAAATTGATTTTTATTACCTTTAAGTTGTTATTTAGCATCACACTTAGCAAAAAATATTAAACCTTGATATTTAGTTTGGGATTAAGAAAAACATAGCCATATGTTGTGCAACATCTGTATTTTTAAGATATTGGAAACTTTCTATGCTTTTAAATGTTATAGTCTCTTTGAATTTCATTTCTTATGGTGAAATATTAATTTATGAATTTGAACAATGCTCATGATGTTTTATTTATTTCTATCAAAATTTATGGGCTTAAGTTGAACTTATTTTTATTTTCAGGTGCTGCAAAACGCTTGAGTAAAGATCAATGCACCACATCTGTTGATAGTAGTGACACTGGGCCTACTGTAACAAGTCCTGCATCAACTGGATCTGAAAATGTAAACTTTTCTTTGAGATTTTTTGAAATCTTTTTTCTTTCTTTTTTTTGTAGTTCTCTTTTTAAAGTTTCATCGTAATTTAGTAACTTTTATTGTATTTATTCCCGGTTTTATTTATACATGTAAACTAGTGTCTACAAATACCTGGTACCCAGTCCCCGTAACTGCTAGAAAATAATAGCAATGTGTTTTAACTTTTTATAAATATACAGCTTCAAAAAGTACTAGAACTAGTAATTAAATAAAAAAATGAATAGTACTTTTTGAAAGAAAAACAATTAACTTTTAAGATATACTATTCATTGCATTGAATTTAAAAATTTTTGCAATTTAAAAATTATGTTTTTAAAACTTTTACAAAATTGATATCTTAGAAAAGAATTTTTAAAAAATTTATTGGGAATCATGTAAGCATTTTGCATATCACTTTTTCTGTGTGTGAAATGTTTTATGCTTTCAAGAATAGTTATATGTTCTTTTAAAATACAGAAAGGAGAAACAGAAAGTGACAAATCATCGCCTAAAGAACTTGAGCCTAAGAAAGATGATTTTTTTTGTGAGTTATGCTCCACTCCAGCTGTAAAATTAAAGGTACGTTATATTCTAATTTTTTTTCACATTACATTTTTTTCCTCAAATGTAGTAATTTCAGTTTATAAGTTACGAATAGTGAAAGATCTACTTTTACAAAAAAAAGTAAGATGTTTTTGAGGTTGACAGATGTAAAAATATACACCTAAGGTAGAAAATGGGGTTATGTTTTGCACCCAAAATAACAATTTATAAACCTCTATTTCAATCTCATTTACTCCTCATGAAATTATCTACACCTCAAGTATACTTATTCGCTTGAAGTGTAGAAAAAATAGCCTGTACACATCAAAAATTAATCTCTTTAAGCTGCTTGCTCTAAAGTAGATTTCCAACAACCTGAAGTGTGAACAAAACAACTTCATACTCCTTGATTATACACCTTGAGAGGTTGATCTCTAAAACTGTTTTTGAAGTCAACTTCAAATAAACCTTAAATCAACCTTGACTCCTCAAGACAACTTCAAAAACACCTTGCATTTTTGTAAGGATCATCATGTATAATCAAAGATGACATTAACTGCTCAATTGGAAGCAAAGATTCTAAGTTTAAATTGTTTAGGGTACTGAAATAATAGGAGTTAGTAAATTGAAGGGAAAGAACTGTAAATAATCTCCAAAGTGACTGTATTATTAATAGTTGATGGAGGACAAAGTTACCCAATACACTAGATAAGTTACATAAAAATCGAATATATATGATCAGGATAAGAAGAGATTATAAACAAATATTTACATTATGAGGTTGCATATTAGGGTGCATATGAGGTTGCATAAACTGCATTGCCCAACATGCATGTGAACATTTCAATCAAGCAAGTAGTTTTCATCTTAACTTGCCCAGCAGGGCAGGTATGTATATATAATAATAAAAGTCTTAAATAAGACCTCCAAATTTTAAGGTTCCTCAAAATTTGAGGGTAAATTATGACCCTCAAAAGATCGTCGAGGTTTCAGATGGGATGAATAAACGGCACCTAAGGAAGGGGGAAAATAAAATCGATTATATTTGAAAAGTCCTTATTGTTATTGAGTTTTAATTATATAAATAAAAATTTATAAATTAAAATTCTTTGCTTTTTTTATTCACTTAGTCATACTTATTTTTATTAAAAATCAATTTCCCCTAGCTCTGTGCATGAGAAAATAATTAACATAATGTAAATAATGAAAATAAATATGTTTAGATGGCAATGTGAAAGCAAGCAAACACAAGCAAAACATCATGTCTATCACATTGTTTTAAAATCACTTGGTCACTTGATGACAATCTTCTGAACACTCGTGGAATAAATCATTTGAACTGGTTCAGTCAGTTTCTCTCTTATCAAAATTATGCAAAGATTTGAAATTCAATTAAAGGTGCAATTGTACATTTTATAATCTTGTTTTTTTTTACTCTATATTGACTCTTTATCTTAAAATTTCTATATTAAACCAATAAACTATTTATTAATTACAATATTCAAATTTATGATACTCCAAAAAGCAAACGAATGTATACTAATGGTTAGTCGAATTTCTGCTAGATCATAGTTTTTCTTCCCCTCAGATTTGAGTTATGGTGAATTGATTATAACTACGGTTGGTTGTTTCTACTTCATTTTTCAAAAATATCCCTTAAGTTTCCTATTATATACCCATCCAAAATTGAGTAAAATGTGATTTTTTTTCAAACTTTTACTAAAATTAAAAATCCATTTGTAAGGAATGTCTCATAATCATCTTCATTTCATAAATAAAGCAAAAGGCAAGGATGTAAAATGAAAACAATCAATTAAACTAAGGTATCAGGAGAACTGGGACCTGCGCTCCTGCAATTGACTGGGCGTCATTTACGGATTCATTTATGCAATTATGTTATTTTATTTCTGGTGAATATTTTAAGCCATTTTTGTAAGGTAGATTAATCCATAATCAAGTCTGCTCACTATCTTAAAAGCATTCTGAAAATTATGGGTTTATTTACAGAAATACATAATAAACATACTATACTTCTGTAAATATTAGATTGTGTTCAAACTGATTTTTTTCTTCTTTTTTTTAACGGTATTTAGAGCAGCAATTATCACTCTTATTTTTATTATAACTATTTTTTAGGATGATTCCAATGTCATTAAATGCAGTTGTGGGAATATTTCAATTCACGACACACCTGATGTAAAATTGCCTGAAACAGCTCTTGAATCTGCACTCAAGTGTACTCCATTAAAAACAGAAAAAATTGACATAGCAATGGCAACATATCTAGATGTGGCAGTCTTACGCTGTTTATTTATTTCACAATGGTTGGAAGAAGGAATATTTTGGGCTCTTAAATACCTATTTCAAAGGTAAAACTCCTTTAAAACCTCTGTTTTATGCATTTATTGTTGAAGTTTCTAATTCTTTCAACTTTATTAAGTATGTTAATAATTGGACCTAAAGTTTTAATGTTCATTAGATTGAAAGAGATCAAGGAGTTATCTTCTGACGTTTCTTGCATTCGTAAGCGAAGTTTTTCCCTTCCCATTCCTGAAATTGAAATATCACTTTACCAGTCTCCGGAACAAAATAAGAAAGAGTACACTCCATCAGGTCTAGAAAATATATTCACTGTTGACAACTCCTACCAACCTCCTAGTCACCATACCAGCATGCATGAACTTCACCAAACTACATTTGACATCCCCCAAGAAAAGCAAAGGTCAAAGAGAATGAAAGTGAGTGACTTCAAGTCATTTGTGGAAGAAAAACTCCTGGACAGGGCTTCTGGTAACTATTCATCTTCACCTCCTGAAGCGCCTGGAGTATCAGTATCAGAGCCATACCATGGGTCTGGATTTAAGTCTTGCCTCTCATCAGAGCATTTGGAGATGCAAAGGCCTAAATCAGCTCTTGCAATGCTCGACCACAAGCATTCGGAAGACACGGATTCAGCAGAGATGATTAAAGTAGAAATGGTGAGGGGACGCAGTATGCCAAGTTTACATCATTATGGCGAGCATAAGTTTGATTCGATTCCAACGAGTGTCATACACCAACCTCTATCTTTGGGTGTGAAAAAAATGCCAGCTTATCATACATTCAGTGTACCAAATCCAATAATTACTGTTACAGAACATTCTCCAGTTGCTTCAGTACAGTTTTTTCTGAATCAGGTGAGATCCCTTTGTTCAGTATAATTTGAATTTCAGTCACATAACGTTAGGAATTAGGTGTTTAAATTCTTGGAAAAACTTTTGTTGCAAGTATTTTATTGTTGATTTGATCTCAGCAATTTTTTCCCCTTTCTTTTAAAGTTAAACTTAGGTTGCTCTTTTGCTAATAAAAGTTGAAGCCTCTCTTAACTGATTTAGTTACTTTTTAATAACAAATTGATTAACCGTCTATTAAGTCCCATTTGTTGATATTACAATCATCTTTACTGCCAACTTAGATGGTGGTTAAGAAAGTTAGCAGTTTTAGGTAAATTAAAAAAAAAAAAGGGAAATTTCCTACAACTTAGAAAAATTCCTGTCAGCCAAGTTGTTTAGCTATGTATATATCTACCTACTTATAAAATGGTTGGGATATATATATATATATAAAATGTAGCAATTATATATATCTTATAAATAATAAATTATTATAAAATTATAGTTGAAGTATTATATTTATTAATATTTCAGGGATAATATATTCTTTGTTGTTGTTGTTGCTAATTCCCATCTGGTCTGACGGGGTCAGAGCAGATCAATAAATCCGTTGACATTAAGAAAATCCGAAACCAGACTGGGAGAGGAATGAATGTCATTCCAGTCCAGCCCTAAACAGTTTAAGATGTGCTCAGGTGATACCTGGTTTTGTTGGCATTTAGGGCAAAGAGGAAAGATCTTTTGATTAACAGAAAATGTGAGACTCAGGTGTCCACTGGCCAGTCGGGATAAGCAAGTGTTGGTTTGCCTGTCACCAGGAAGAGATAGAGAGAGTCCTGGTCTTTTTGCTTTATACCAGTAGTGAGTAGGTGGAAGCAGCCACTTTTGTTTGTTCTGGGCCTTTTGCCTTGCGAAAAGTTCAAGGTATGTAAGCTCTGAGGTGGAGGGGACTGAATGGTCTAGTCCCTTCTTTGCGAGAGTGTCAGCCAACTCGTTGCCGTGGATATCGATGTGGGACGGGATCCATTGAAAGTGGGCCTCATGCTGCTGGGAAATGAGCTTTACTTTTTGTAAGATCGAAAAACTGGTTTTATCTCCAATGAGGGGCCCAATTTTTGAGGTGTTGAATTGAACTACGGCTGTCAGATAGTATCCAAGTATTTCCAAGGCTCCCTTCACTCAAGATTTTCTCTAGTCCCCTGTCGATTGCAATTAGTTTGCTTCGATAGACGGAGCAAAAATCGGGATTTCGTTGATGAAGAGTGTAGTTCTCTCGAGGTGTTTCAATAAATAGAAACAACGATGGTTCATATTTATAAAGTCGCTTATTAGTAGTGAAGAAGATGGTTATCGATTTGGTTGGGTTGAAGCTCAATTTGAGTTCATCTGTGTACTTGGACAGGGCTTCTAGTGAGTTGTTGAGTCTCGACTCAATCTCAGCAACATCGTCACCGCTACCCCAAAGAGCAATAATATATTCTTTGTTGATTTTTTAATCAATTCAGAGTTGTGAGTGAACCTCGTTCAATCACATAATTACTCAGAAATTAACCGTATTGTAAGACTTTTATCTCTTTTGAGGGGGGGAAAAAACATAACATTCTTAGAAATGTTTTAATGTGTAAAGAAATCCTCAAGAACAAATTAAAAAAAGATTAAAATTAATAATTTGTTATTTTTTATAATTTTAATTAGTTTTGTAAGTTTTCATTACAGTTGAAGAAGCTCAGTTTATTATCTCAAATCAGTTTATTATTTCAAATCAGTTTATTATTTCAAATATCAGTTTATTATTTCAAATATAATTGTTAAAAAAATTAGTTTTAAAAAAATTTAAAGCAGTTAAAATATAAAACACAATAAAATAATTTTAAAGTTTTGAAGTAAACTCTCCATTTTTTTTCCTCCCCTCTCTCTCTCTCTCTCTTTGAATTCCTCTTATCATATAAGGTCAGACTCAATTTACACAAAACTGTAAATTCAATTGAGTATTTGCCAGTTTTTTTTTTAATATTTTTTGTCGTAATTCTTGAATGTGTTACATGATTTTCACTCTGTAACAAATGAGATAGAAAGCATGCAATTCGAACTCAAATAAATAATTTTAATGTGGTATTAACATTTATATCCAGATTTTTTTTCTTCTTTTGTTTGAAATTTAATGATGTAAAGAAAAGTTTTTCTGTCTCCTTATTTTCAAAACTTAACAACTCAGTTTTTAAAAAATATTATTATATTTGTATATTTTTTATCATATATTTTAAACTGTCAATTTTTTTTTAAATAAAATAATTTGATTAAATGTTTTCTAGAGTTACTAATTACACCAATAAATGTTAATTTCAGGATTCTGTTAATGGTCAAAATGATAGTTCTCCTCCTGCAACTCCTAATCCATCAAATCAACATTTCACAATAACACGAAGCCAAACTGACTCAAATATTAAATATGATTCAGAGAGCAGTTGTGAGGCAACAGGGTCTACTTATTATATTACTTCAGATGGCGAAATAAACTTGGAAGTTGTCTTAAAGGTGCTTTTTTATGGTTTTCATTTGTTCATATTTAATTTCAGAAATTAATGTTGTGTGAAATAAATGAAATTTATTTATTTTTAAAATTAAATTGCTGTGTATATTATTTTATATTACTTATTTATATTTGTAGTAGTTGGCGGGAACTGTCTGAAAAGCATTTAGGTTCGAACATAAAAATTATTCAAAGTTAAATTTTTATAATTTTTAACCAGTCAGTTCAACATGAAAGTAAATTTTATGAAGAAAAGTGGACTTAAATGAATTATTTTGAAACTGCAGTTGAAACTTGAGTTTATGAATACTAGTTTAACCCTTTATTTACTCCCAAATTAATAAAAAAATTATTGGTAATGTGTGAAACTTTTGTCCCATTAAATAATGTTTATTTTACACTTTGACAAATATTTTTTTAATATTTAACAATATTTACTTATTTTTCATGAATTTTTTGATTTGAGACTTATGACACATTATAAAGTTTTAACTAAAGTTAAACATTTAAAAAAGCAATTTTATTTATAACTAGTTAAAAATATTATCAAATCAATGAAAAAAAAAAGACCAAAATTAATCAAGGTAGAGAGATGAGAATTGAAGAATCATAAAATGGCATTCTCAAATGAAATTTCCGCTCTTAAATAGTTCCTTAGATAGTTGGTGTTCAACTTCAAATAATCATGTGTTGTCAACTAGTAATGATAGGAGGAAAATCATATTGTAGGGATTCGAGTGGGATATTTTGTCCTATATCACTGTTATATGGAAATAATATTAATAGGACTACTATGCATAAAGGGTTAAAATAACTTATATGAATTATATCTTATGGAAGCAGTTTTTTTCTGTCATGAAACTTCACAAAATTGTATGAGTTAAAACTGTTTATGCATTTCATAAAAAAATGGATTTACATTTTGTGAGATTCTCATCAAAGTAGTCAGTAATGAAAGTGCGCATCTCTAGTAAATTTGTATAAACCCGAATGCATTGAAGAAGTTACATCTTATTTTATGAAAATCTTTGTGATAAAATGGTAGCCAATTTTTTTAAAATATTAGGACAGAGGGTAGTTACTAAAAAAATTAACAAGCTTAACTTTTTAAAAAATAAGAATTTTAGAAAACTGCTTATTAAATAAAATGCTGAAATAGACTACACAATTTTGCTATTACCTTATGATGAAAAGAAAAGTATTGTGTTTTTACGAAAGAATGAAATTTTTTTCATATAAAAGACAAATGTTCAATTCAATGTGTACTGGTGATTTTTTACCTAGATAATAGCTGTTCATTTTTCAAAGCTTTGTCTGGTACCTAGTTAACTGATAAGTAGGGAAAAAAACTTATAGTTTGCATAATTATATAAATCTGGTTGTTGATATGTATAGCATATAAAAATTTTTACTGAAAAATAAAGATTCTATGAATTTTTGAATTTTAAAATTATTATAAATTTGAGCATAGTAAGATTTATTTTAAATATTTTTTGCTGTTGTTTATTTCAGGCTGTTCATTCTGTTACGCTTGGTGATAGCGCATTATCACTTCGTGTGTGTGAAATAGCTCTTAATTTGCTTGATCTTTTACTGTCCTTTGGTATAATTACGAAACAATCAGAAAAAGAACGTGATCAAATTGACAAATCTGAGGAAGCGTTGATAAGCACTCCTGGAACTGACATAAGCACTATGAACCAATCAGAAAAGTCTAAATCTAGTTTTGATAAGAAAAAAGATGAGCTGACTTTGCATCATCTTTTTATGGACAGTTTATGGAGGTAAAATATGCATTTATTTTATCTATTTGTTGATTTATTTTATTGCAAGACGACACTAAATAAGCTATGAAAGAGATAGGAAAAATGTATGTCATGTCATAATCCTTCACATAATATGTAGGTAGTCCATATTTACTATTTGAAAACTAAATTATATTTCCTTTTATCTTCTCAATAAATACAATATTTTTTTTGGGGTAAACCTTAGCATTTGAGTGGAAAATTAAATTCCAGAAATAAATATTTTTTCTTTAATACCTTACATACATGCATAAGTTTTTAGAAATTGTTAAATGCTTGTTGCAATGTTTTAATCTTACTACCTTGGACATATAGCAATTTTTAGCTAAATCACTGATTCTTTATTCATTCTTCATGAAGTATATGTTTAATTATCACTACATTTTTTGCCCGGAAAAAGCGCCTTGATTGGTTTAGCCTTTGTTATTCTATCCTTATTTCAAAAATGAATAATTTTCTAATTTCAATCATGAAATTTTTTCTTTTTTTTTTGCTACTGACTGTTTATTAACAAAGTACAATGATCTTTTTATAAATTTTATTGTTCTTATTGGATTAAAGAAATAATAAACACATAGCAAATTTCAGTCGTCATATTTTGAATTTTTTTACCAAATTTTCAAATTTAAATACAATTTTAAATCTGTATTCAATTCATGAATAGGAATTTTTCTACATTGTATTTATCTTTGTAGCATATTTGTGTCTTCCTTTGGGTATGATAACTATACATATTTTCAAAAATATATTTTCAGATAAAAGTTTGTCATATGCAACTAATTTTTTGTTTAAATCTATTCTTTTTTGTTTAATCTATATTGGATAATGTTTTGAAATGTAACTTAATTTTTTTTTCTTTTAAAAGAGGCCAAAATTTTAAATTAATATTATTTGGAGGAATAAATATTAATTACAAAATAAATACTAATTACAGTACAGAACCCGTTATTCGGAAATCAGAAAACCGTAAAACCAAAAAACCGGAACGAAATTCGGTACATTTTCCCGCCATTTTTAAAAACATTTTTTTTTTATTTTGCCCTTAAGATTTTAGGATTTTTCTTTCTTTTTTGAAAGATGTTTACCTTACCATCATTTTGGAAATAATCATTAGTGTATTACTTCATATTTTTTTCTTCTTTTTAAGATTATTTCCAAATATTTTTTTTTAGTTGGGTTTAACAATAAAAAAAACGGCCTTTTGTAGCGATTCAGAAAACCGGAAAAATCAGTTATCTGGAATACCGATCGTTCCGGATAATCGGTTCCCTACTGTACAAACATAATATGATTTGAAACTAAAGTTTCAAATTAACGGTATATATTATAGACAAGTGAGTAAAATTTCACAAATTATTTTTTTGTTAACTATAAAATTATTTATAGCCAATTGTTTAAGCCTTCTTCAACTATTCTTTAAATACTTATTAATTATGTCAATATTTACTTAAGTTTTTTGCTTTGTTCATTTTTAGTTTTATTAAATTTTGCCTTTATTTATTAAACTCAAATTGTGTTTTTGTCAAATTTTTTTTTATTTCTAAAAATTGAAATAAAACTGGAATTTCTTGCAGAATTTGCAAATATCTTGGTTGTCCACTAAGCTGTCAAGAAGGACATCGTAGTCGACCAACTGCTGAGTTACTTCGCATGCAAATATTGAATGCATTTAATGGACTATTTGAAGCAGATAAGCAACAGTTCAGAAGTTTTCTAAGAGAAGTAATAAATTCACGTCCTCTGACTGAAGTGATAGATTTTTTTCACAGTTTTGTTGGATTCTGCATGGAGTCAGGATCTCCAGTTTCTCCCTTAAGTATGTTTTAATACACATTCAAGATTTATTTACTCAATTTAATTTGTTTCACTCAATTTGCTTTTATACCACTGAACTCTAATAACAAAAAGTAATCCAGGGCTGATTGTGCTCCGGAAAAAACCGGATTTCCGGAATTTTCGCTAACAGTGATCCGGAAGTTTCCGGAGATCGATGGTCCAGACGTTTAAAAAAATCATTGATTACAGAAGTTTCCGGAAATTAAATTTTCAAATGTGGAACTTAAAAACACAGTTTATTTTATTTGTTTGTAAGGGAGAGCCAGAGAGATACTTTATAAGTTTATATTCATGATTAATATTCATTTTTCATCAGTAAATAGTTGTTATAATTATAAAACTCAAGAACGAAAGACATATTTGCAAATTATAATTACTTCTCCAGGTCATCATAGGCATGTGTAAATGGTATAGATATGTGTGAAATTTTAAACATATTTTAAGTAAACTAAGAAATGTTGAGAAAAGGGAAAAAAACTTGTTTAAATTTTTTTCTAATTTTTCAATTTAAACTGTTTTATTTTTTTAACTCAAGAAATTTTCCGGAATTTTGACTTGGGTTCACAATCACCCCTGGTGATCTGAATAATAGCTCATTTGGAATCTTTGAAATAACTTACACAACTCTTTAACTTCGTATAAACTCACAGATGGATGTTTTAATGTTTAATCAAAATAGAAAAGAAACTGATTAAAAATAAATTGAAGTAATTCTTAATCAAAAATGAAGATAGTGTTTAAGAATATAAAAGACCCACACGATTATATCAACAAAAAAGAGCATGTATATATATATCTAAGGTTTGCAGTCATGTATGTGTAAGCAGAACAAACAGGCACAGGATTTATTTTATTTAATCATTTTGTGATGTTTGACGAGAGAGAACGAGCCACCATTTCATCTTGCTCCAGCTTAAATGTTAGGGAAAATTTTGCAAAGAAAATCCATGAAATGCTTCGATTTAGGGGGAAATGGACATCTTAGTAATTATAATTGGTTTTTAAATAGTCGTGCGATTCCCACAAAGAGTAAAGGGGAAAATGTATTACTTTTAACTAATGCATGCTTGAGCCAAATATAGATTTAAGGACAGGATGTGAATTTAAAAGTGTGAGAAAGTGTTCCGATTAGAATAATAAATTAAGGAAAGAATTTTCAGAAAAGGAATAATATAAAAAGATTATTTGAAGCTTTTTATACATATATACACACAGTGATGCTCCTGTTATGGACACTCCTGCAAAACAGACGCCTCTCAATATGGACATATTTTTAATTCCTTGTGAATTTCTATGAATAAACCATTATGTACATTCTCTGCAAAGCGGACACTTGCATAACCGGATGCGGACAGTCATTTTTGCCCTGAAACTTTATCTTCTCTTCAAACCGGACACTTCTTTTTCTAAATTTGAAATAATAACTATTTCTGCTTTAAATTACAAGAAAAAAAACTATGCAACTTGACACCATTTTTAAAACTAGTAAATTGTTAAACTATTTCACTACTGAAGAATCAATCTTTCTCCTGTCACCTTGCCCTAACTTTGAAAAGAAAGGAGAGAAAACGATACTGCTCTTGTGAAATAATTCAGACAGCTGCATCTTTTGATCTTTTCATCTGGACTACACAGGTTATGTGACCCCTCAAGTTGAAATGAAGTCTTACATGCTCTCAATGCTTCTTCCCCACTGAAAATTTCTTTCATTTTCTTATTAATTTGAAGACTGTATTTAATACAGCTGGGTTAAAAAAAATGGTCTGACGCTGGATAGGCTTCAAGCCACTGCTGGGGGAGGGGACTCTCATCCAAAAGTGTACAAATGTGCTCTAGTATTGACTTCAATGGCAATTTTTAATATTTTTAGAAATTTTAAAATTTATGTATTAATATTTTAAATTTTAGATCAAAAGAGAGCAAGTACATCCGGTAGCCAAGAAAACAACTCCCGACATTCTTACGCTAATAATTTTGGTGCTGGATTTGGAAAACCAATTTCAAGAGATGCTGAAAGTCTAGTTATTCAAAATTCCTTTAAAGCTGTAGTTTCTCGCTTGGTGGTTGCTAGAAAAGATTTGAAAAGTCAAGAAAACTTAGTAAGAAGATTTTCTTTTCTTTATATTAAATTTCAAATGTGTTTTTTGTCATATATTTTTTTTTATTATGTGATACTTTCTTATTAACTTGTTAGAATGAATATCTTGAAAATCTACTTGTAACTTACTCGTAAAAAAGTTTGGAAGAACTATTATATATAAGATTGCATCAGTAAAACTTATTAAAATTGTGTTGTAATTGAATCAACATGTCACATTTAAAAGTCTATTTTCAACTGCAAAATACCGCAAATAAAAAATGATGGTGATAGGCTGTTCTTTTCTATTATGGAACATATTTTTAATTAACTTTAATGGAACATATTTTGAATTATGGTTTCAACCTAAAAATTGATTAATAATTATGGTGAAATGTCCAAACAAAGTTCAATTGTGAGATTGTACTTGAGTGATTAATGTTAAGAGATAGCCACTATTCAGAGTTATCAACAAATTGATTATTTGAAAATTAAAGAAAACTGAGACATTAGATTCGTTCTACTAAAATACTTATTAAATAATGATCACTTTTATGTTAAATATTTCCATTTTACCACAGTGATGTAATGTCGTTAATTTTCACATGCTTTTTTACTACCCTCCATAACATCAGAGCAAGAAAATCTTTACTTGCGATAACGACTCATATTTTGCTTATTCATTTACCAAAGTTCTCCTTCAAGCATCTCAACCCTTGTTTAGAACTTAAATTAAAAATAAAAAAAATTAAATTGGTCAAAAAATATTGGGTCAGGTGCATGCTTTTATACATTGCTTTAAGTTGCCTAAAATAAAAACAAACTGATCAATAATTTCTGCCCAATCGTGAATGCTGGAGGAATAAAATTCATAAAAGATGCAAGTTATCTGTTCTAGGCCGAATTGAACTGCCAAGTGGTATTTACGATCGCCTTCTATACGCATGTGCAAAAATTGTCCTATAACAGTTATTGGAATGGAATGTGATGACAATTGAGAAAATTTATTTAGTTATAATTAATTTTATTTTATTTCATAACCGACATTGCACAAGGAGTCCAATTCTGAATTCCAAACCTGGGTCACCTCATTGGGAGGCAAACAATTTATCCCCAGAGCCTTCACAGCACTAGTTATTATCAATTAAAATTATTGCAAGCTAAAGTAAAAAAAAAATAGTTGATTAAGTTATACCCAGAAGCAAAATTCATGCTTACAATAGGTGGCCTTTGTTCAAAAAGCGCTGTTTTGAGGTTTAAATCTCATTGAAGATGTTCAGTTTCATAAGTATATGGCCATTATTTGGTGGTTGATGCTGTTCTAAGGGATAATTTAAGGAGATTTAACTGTATTATAAGAAAAAGCACTCCAGCAACAGCCACTTGTTGTCAAAGGGTTTCATGGAAATGCTCTATGATTCCGAGACCCACCCCATGATAGTGGCAATGTCACTTACAGCATTAAACACTGGCTAACTTTATATCTCAAACAAGTGCATTTTTATCAAACTGAAGCAGAGAAGGGTTCATTCTACCATACGGATATTACCCTAGCTCTACAGTAACATTGTGTTTTAATCACTATACCATTGTGTCTCAATTACCATTGTGCTATGTCAAAATCATTTAACTCAAATTTATTAATAGAAGAAAAAAATTATAAGTGTTACAACGATAAGTTTTTCCACCCCTTTAAATATTTGTTATTTTTGCAGAAAAGAACAAGTTAAAATTTTATCTTCGTTTCTCATTTTAAATCACTGTAATTAATCAAATTGGTTTTTTCTTGTTCATTTTTAAGAGACTAAAATAGAAAAAAAGTATTGGGGTAAGAAAAGAAAAGTTTCACTTATATTTATTACATGTAGATTTTTTTAAACTTGTGTATTGATAATATAATATATGTGTCATCCAGTTTACTGCTTTGTAAGCAATAATTCAATTTTTGTTCTTTTTAGTTTGCATGAAAATAATTTTTGATACAGAAGCTATTTTTAGTTTCTGTGTTTATGAATAAAAATAATTTTATTGTAAAAAAAAAACATAAATTATTTTCTGTATGCCACTGACTCGGTCTATTTGGTTTGCAACTGAGTTTATTTTATGTAAACTAGACAAATATATAGATAGAACAAATGAACTTTGTGACTGGATGACTTATATACTACATTTATAATTTTTTTGATGTTTTTGTTGGTATTTTCACTTTATTTTCTCATTTTTTATTCTTTCCTGATTTTTGTATTTTGCTTTCCAATTTATAGTCGTTATATCGAAACATTAGACAATTTATGGCATACGTTCGAGAATATCATGGAGGTGTGTTTAGAAGAGTGGCTCTGAGTGGGTTGCTAGATAGTGCAGAAAGACCCCACAAAAAGAATAAAAGTACAATTGCTACTACCAGGATTGTAAGGTAAAATAAATTATACAATTATAAATATTATATAAGAGTTATATTTAATGTACCCTTTTACTCTATAATATTTTGTGCATTAACTATATTATGGTATCTAAGATAACTATGTTATGGTATTATCTCTTGCAATATGTTTTATTCTGCAGAAAACGTTTTGGCCACAATTTTATTTTATTGTATATCTCCTTTGTGGTTAGCTTTTAACTTTTTATCGTTACCTTTGCTAGCTTTGATCCTAAAATAGACACCTTGTTCTGTGGCAGAACGTTGCTTAAGTTAGTGATATTTTTCAATTCTCGCTCTTCATAGTCCGCATTTATTATATTTTGTGTAATACTTTTAACTTTTTCAATAATTGGAATTATGTTTGATTTGCATTGAAAATATATTTAAGTTAGAGCATGGAGAGGGGAGTAAAGTTGAGATAGCATTTTAGGCCGGGATAAGGTATCATGTGGGTTTCTGCCAAACAATATGCTTTAAAGGCTACTTTCCTCAGAGCAAGAAGTGATCATCTAGATGCAAAATAAAGTAATAATCAAGAAATCTTAATGGAAAGTGTTGATCCTTTATTGATCAAGGTGAATAAAACCTTGTGCTATGTAAACCTATTGCTTTTTCATTTAGACAAGCTATCTATGCCATATATTAAATGATATGAAACCAAATGGGAAATTACATGCGTTAAACCAATTCTAAACATCATATACGAGCTGCGCTAATGGGCTACTGGCTATTGTCTCAGATTCATCCTTAATGACGATCCAAAGACAATACTAGTCCATACACATAATACTCTACCACAAATTTGATCGGTAGCCAGATGTGCTCATAATCACCCAGCCTCTGCATCAAGCTTCCCAACTGTTTGTGGACTTTTCTGGCTCATAAAGCACTAGAAACATTATATAAGAGTTGATTTTGAGTCTCAAAGAAAAGATTGAAAGAAGTGCAGTCTTCCAAAATACCTAGCTTTTAGCATAGGGAATTCAACCTCAGTCTTAGCTGTATTAAACAAAGGCTATATCCACTGCACTGACAGGGAAGCTGCATTCAAATAATTTCTTTAAGACACAAATAAACACTGTTCTTTTAAAGATACAAAAAAAATTGCTCTTAAATTAAACTTGTAAATAAAAATAGTTACAATGGTTTCTTTGCATTGCATGAAGTTAATTTGATAAATTTCTTTTATTTAGACACACAAAATCTGTTGATCATGATGATTACAGGGAAGCGTTTTCTCCAACTGTAGTCTTAGTGGATGAAACTGCTCTATCAAAAAGTACTAGAAAGTCTTTTTTTAGGAAGCGAGGTGTTCGCAAAGTTCCAAGTGCACAGGTAATTAAATTCTTTTAGATTTCTCATATTTTATATTCTTCATTTCTAATCATAATAACATGTATATTATGATTAGTATAAACAAAAGTATAAACATATATTAGTATGAACATATGTTAGTATAAACGTATTAGTATTAACATATGTTAGTATAAACATATTATGATATGTATAAACAAAACTATTTTTGTTTATACATATAAGCTGCATTACAGATATTAAAAACTATTGATTTTATCTATTAAGATTTCAATTTAGCACCTTCATTTACATATTTGTATATACTTGGTAAAGTAAACAATTGTTAGATTGGTAAATATAACTAAAATAAGATATTTCTGTGAGAAATCTCAAATTTCATCCTTTCAAAAATGTCATTTGGAACCTTTATCCACTGAGCTCCTAATTTCTGTTTTCTTTGATAGAGTGTCTTTGATGACAGAGAGGACCTTTCTTCATGTCCTAGTCCTGCACCTGGGCAAGTTGCGCCACCTCTCTTAAGGTGTGAAAAGATGGGGACACCAAGATTGAGTGTCTCTGATGATGAGAATTTGTCTCTTCAACCAACTCCGAAGCATAAGAGCAATAGGTTCCAAATTGGTAAGATAAACATCTATAAGTGAATAATTCAGTAAGATGTTGGCATTTTTAAAACTAAAAAACTTGTGTAAATTATTTGAATTTATAGCACATATTTTAATTTTATTTATTGGAGTGTCAAAATTTAGTGTCTTAAACTCAATATCCATGGTTAATTATGTGAAGATGTACCTTTGTTCCATTATGGTAAAAAATTATAATATGGATATAATAAACTCTATAAATATTGTTAGAATTTTTGTCTGAAATGAAGTGGAAAGTATGCACATCTAGAGTTGTAAACTAATATTTATGCATAAATGCTATTGGTATCTGTTCAATTTCTTCTGGAAAAAGGCAGAATAAGAAACATCAAAACCAGTTTGATTGCACAATGAAGCTATCTATCAATTGCTTTCTACATAAAAGCATACTAACTAACCTAATTTCATTTTCCGAGTATAAAAATCCCTTTCAAGTCCTCTCTGTTTCCACCAGCAAACAAACATGTGCAAACAACATGTTTTCAACACTGCATTCCCCAATAGTGATTTGTTATATTTTAATTGAATTTCAATACAAACATTGGCTAAAATATCAATTTGAAACCGATTTTTTAAAATTATTGAAGTACTGTATATGCTTTTTTTTTACATTTCTGAAAATTTCTCTAAAAATATTTACTATACCACACCCTGTTTAAAGATTTTAAATGATTTGCAGTTGATTTTTAAATTCTTTGTAATGAAAATTAATTATTTGTTTTAGTGAACTGGTTGAAAGGAGATAAAATGAAGCAAAATGATTTCTCTTTATGTGAGGATGATAACAACTTTCCATCAGCACTCCTTGAAGGATATTCTTTGCCAGAAAAACTTTCAAGGGGATCAAGTATCATTAGTAGAACTCCAAAGCTCTCTCAGAAATCCTCAAGCCATGTAGGTGTGACTCTTTCGAAAGCTAAAAAGCGAATGGAGGACCATTTGACAAAAATAGGCTTTGGACGCAATAAAAACAAACATGGGAGTTTTGAAGAGCCATTAGGTAAACTCCATAATTATGTTTATTTTTGTTGATGAATTTATTATTGGAACTGTTACTGTAAGGAAAAATGCCATATTATATTAGAAAAATTTTATTTTGGAATTAATTAAACTACTTTATTTTATTTAAAATTGAATTAGCCATTTCATTTAATTGAAATTGAACTAATTAATTGATCTCTAAAATAATTAAAAGCAGGATACATTTAAAAAATTGTTATGCATTAAAACATTTAAAACAGATGCTAAGCAACAGACACAATACCATGGAAACAAACCGAGCAAGATATTATTCTTGTGACCACCAGACTCATATTATTAAAATATCTGTGGGAGTACTTAGCAGAATGCGCTTCGTACAGCGGTACTCGTGACCTGAAGGAGATTTCACTTTAAACGCGTGCAACAGTCAACGTGTTAAATGGTGCATGAAATTTAAATAAAAATGCAGAAATTGAAAAAAATAGTTAAAATTTAAGTTTAAATGTTACAATTTTAACTTTAAACTTAGTTATTTTGTGTTTTTTATTATCAGCAATCAAAAAAATTTTTTAAGTGCCTGAAATTCGTATATTTTCCCTCTTTAAGATATTAGTCGGAGAAATTCTTGTGATTTTGATCATGGATTGAAAGAAGGTGAATTTCTAGTTGCGAAGGAGAGTAAGCTTGTGAATATCACAGCAGTGAAAGATGGCATGATGCGACTTTCATTTCAAATGGAAGCTTGTTTGCCCGGTACTACTCCCGATCCTCCCCTTTTAGCAGCAGCTCTGGACTTAGTATGTTTCATCTCTCTGTTCCATCTACCTCTGTAACGTATTGATTTTGGCCTTTAATTTAGTTTTATTGTTTCAGAAAGCACCAGTTGTTGCTAGAGCTGCCTTATACTTAGAATGTGCTCATTTTGTTCATCGTTGTAACAAAGGATGCTGGCCTACTTGGATGCGAACCAACTTACCCATTATCCGTACTTCGAATCCTCATGCCAACAGAATAACGCATGCTGATTTACGAAGAACTGATGCTTTACAGAAAGCTTCTGGAAAGTTGTTCTACCAGTGGGCTGAAGTTAGTAGAAAATGTTTTATCTGAAATTTATAAAATATTTTAAACTTACAATTTAACAATATTTTGCACCTTTTTTTGGATTGAAATTTATAAATCACTTAGTAATTTTGTTAAATGTTTTCTGTTTGGTTTAAATAATCATAGTACATAGTTTGTACATTAACATAGTTAAACATAGTTTGTACATTTGTACAAACTTAGTTGTAAATTTTTGGTGTTGAAGGATTGAAACTAATTTGTGCTGATGCACCAGTAAATGCTCAATTGTATCATTTACTCGTTTTATACTTTTTTGCTGGTATATTTTCTTTTGTTAGATAGCATTTGTTGCCCTCAAAAACTATTCGATTGTATTATGATAATAACTGTCTGCAGTTTAAACTGTTTTTCAAAAAAAGGTTAAGTCATTTATCTCCTTAAAGCAAGGCACACCAAAAAAATTTTCTTTTTTACTGTAAAGTAAAATTTTGCTCTGTGGAAAATGGTAATCATGTAATAAATAGCATAAGATATTCTTATGCTGTTATCGCTAGGCAATAATTCTCTAAAGTATTATTTTTTAAGATATTTTTTTCATTTTTTGTATTTTCTATTTCATTCTTTATTTTGTAGCTAAATATTGTTTATAGAATTGGGTTTTTTTTAGTATTCACCAGCATAGTAGATTTTTAAAAGATTCACACTCATAAATTATAATAAGAAGTAATAACAATTTAAATAAGAAATAAACTTTCAAAAAATATTTTCATATAATACTTTTTTTTTTAACCCAAAAAGCTAATTTTAATTGCAAAATGCTGTGGGAAAGTCAGTATTTATCAAATGTGTTTATTTCCATTAGGCTATTGGCTATAGATTGGAAGAGCTGTTAGAGAAAAATGATAAAGAACAAGGCCTCAGTACTAATGATGAAAACAAAAAACGGCAGTTGAGATTAGAAGATGAAGAAGAAGATTTTTTGGATGAAGGTAGCCAGTAGTTCTTAAAATATTATTCATTTTATAGAGTTTAAAATATCTCATTATTTGTTATAAATGTGTTTTAATATAACAAAGTTTTTTTTTTTGCGATGATCTTATTCCTGACCAATCTTTTGAGTTCCTTTTTATCTCATTTCTAACTTGAATTGATCAGTAGTAAACAGATGCATTTCATCAAGTCCCGCTGTCTGGCCACATAATTTGGCACACACCGATATTCATTTTGAAATTTAACCCGTCTGACGACCTTTCTATTCTGAATTGATTTTTGAATTTGAACTATGTGGAATTTGCTTGTACTCTTTCAAACAATTCTGTAGGATTTTTTTTAACACATCCAAATTTATATGGTTCTTAATACCTTAGGTCTCTTAATTGACCTAAAAGCAGCTTTGAAATTATCACTTAGGAAACATTTTAATTTCGCTCCTTTTTTTCTTAAGTTTTGGATTACAATCTCAGAAGTTCTTATTTTAGTTCAATTACCACTTGGATCATTTCTCATTTGTTCATTTAAGTTTTTGTCACTCAAAATTGTATAAATATTAGCATTACTTAACAGTATATCCCAAAATTCACTTTTAATTGTGCCAAATTTATATTTTTGTTTATAATTCATCCTATCTAATCTATGCTAAAAGTTAAATGCTTAAATTTTATTGTATTATGGATGTAAATGATTTTTGCTTATAATATTTAAATTTTTTGGATTGCACTTAGCAAATTATGCATCAAGAAATGATGTTCTTTTTAGCATGTGTCAATCCTGGTGGGTCAGATTGTCCATTTGCTCTCCAAGTGGCAGCGTGTCAGCTTCTTTTAGAAATCACTGCATTCATGCGAGAGACATATCAGTACTTGCCTCATAAGGGTGGACGACTGATGTCAATGAGAGATAAACCTATGTTTGAACCCAGAAGTACCACAAACCGACGTTGGAGTATGGCACTCAGCAGCGTTGGTTCAATATCAGAGCCTCAAAGTAAGACATTTTTTTTTCTGTAACTTAATTATTTAAAAAAAATGTGCTTGAACTAATTCAGCTTCCCATTACTTGTAAAAAATAATTGCAACAAGTGGGTTAAATTATTATTTTGGAAAAATGTGAAGGTTTAGTAAAAAGAAAAATTTGCTTCAATAAGAAAAAATCAAATTTCTAACAGCCAATCTATCACAAATGTTCAATTCATTAATTTTTGAATTTGACTCAAAAGGTAATGATACTTCACAATACGTCCATATTTAAAAATGATTAATTACTAATCATAATAAATAATAATCGTGTCATAAATAATACGATAGAAGGTGAAAGCCTTATTTGTTTGCATATCAAAATTACTACATTATTTTAAGGTTTTAGAAAAATTACATTTAAATTAAAATGAAGCTCTTGTAAGACATAATGAGAAAAAAAAATGTAATAAAACTTCATTTCCCAGTTGCTACTGCATATAACAAACAGTGTTGACCATGATGAAATTGGTCATACAGCTACGTTTGTGTACATTAACCCATCTTATTATCATTCATCTTTGTAAGAAACATCAACAGTTATAAATTGGTTATGCATAAAATATAACCTATTTAATTCTTGCTGAGAGGGACTAAAAGAATTTTCAGTACAGAGTCTGGAAGCATACCTAAAATCAGGTACAACAAATTTTATTGATTATTCGACACTATTTGTTATATGCTAAGCACGACAACTAACGTACAACTATGTTTGATTTCGCTAACCTGTTTTATTATTAATCATCTTCGTAAGAAATATCATTGAGGGAAATAAAATAAAATATACAACATGTGTAATTCTTGCTGAGTGGTGCTAAATGAATTTCTGGTGCAGAGTCATGAAGCATACGGAAAGTCAGGTATAAAAGTTTTTATTGATTGCGATGGGAAGCTAAAATCTTTTGATTGTACATGTCTACTGTTGGCGAAGAGCAATCCTGAAAATTAGTCGGTCAACAAGTTGCAAGAGGAAGTTATCAACCTTTTTTTAGAAGTTGCTCGATTTTTTTGCTAGAGGACAACACAGCTATATATCCCAGTGGTTGCTTGCCTTGATGAGAACGTCTTTAAAATGCCTTCCTTTAAGAGAAATCAGGTAAGCATTTGATGAAAAAATCAATCCTGAAAATTAGTCGGTCTGCAAGAGGAAGTTATCAACCTTTTTTTAGAAGTTGCTCGATTTTTTTGCTAGAGGACAACACAGCTATATATCCCAGTGGTTACCTGCCTTGATGAGAACGTCTTTAAAATTCCTTCCTTTAAGAGAAATCAGGTAAGCATTTGATGAAAAAATCAATCCTGAAAATTAGTCGGTCAGCAAGCTGCAAGAGGAAGTTATCAACCTTTTTTTAGAAGTTGCTCGATTTTTTTGCTAGAGGACAACACAGCTATATATCCCAGTGGTTACTTGCCTTGATAAGAACGTCTTTAAAATTCCTTCCTTTAAGAGAAATCAGGTAAGCATTTGATGAAAAAATCAATCCTGAAAATTAGTCGGTCAACAAGCTGCAAGAGGAAGTTATCAACCTTTTTTTAGAAGTTGCTAGAGGACAACACAGCTATATATCCCAGTGGTTACTTGCCTTGATGAGAACGTCTTTAAAATTCCTTCCTTTAAGAGAAATCAGGTAAGCATTTGATGAAAAAATGTCACAATCATCTGCAGGGTTGAGCTCACATAGTCAATATAGGCGTATCAACAAAAAAAGAATGAAAGAAAGAGGTTAGGATATTAATCTCTAAGTCATCTTTAGGATGGTCAATGTGTGAATGAATATTCTCTGGGAACGTTTCCGTTTTTATATTCCCAGCTGGCTTTTGCCAGCTATTGAAGTAAAATATTAAACTATTTCTTCTTAAGCATAAGGTAAAATAAGGCTTTGGTTAAGGTACCCCTTCAGTTTTTACAGGCTTTATTTGTACATCTTATTGCCACCTATGCATAAAATTGTTTTTAGAATCTATCAACTTTGTATTCCATATAATTTGCATGTAGTTCCTTTTTATCTGTTCTTTGTTTCAATCCATAAAATGCTAAGAATCCAATTTTAAAATTTACTGTTTGATTGGTGCACACATATCATAAATTAAATATCAAGAAAGTTTTCATTAAGTTCATGTTTTATTGAATTAAAATATTCTTTAATTAAGTTTATGCTATGACTTTAGTGCTTTCTAAACGAGGTGCATAGCGTTTTTAAAAAGTACTTAAAGGTACTTATTTTCGATTTGCGTTTTTTAAAAGCCCTTGAAGGTGCTTTTTTTATTCGGTGTTTGTAAAATGTGCTTAATTTTCTATCATTTAAAAAGAAATTTTTTCTTTGCCGTGTCGATTGTCGTTTTAAAGTACAAAAAATTAATGATTTTCACAATTTTCTCTGCAATATTTATCAGAAAATAGCTATTTTATCATGATTATGTGAAGTTTTTGAAAATGTTTTTTAATTTTATTGATTATATGTTTATAAATTAAAAACTTTAAATGACGGAAAAATTTTTAATTACTGCACAGATCCTAATTATGGTCCTAATAATTTTTGGAAAGTGATTAAAAATATTTTTTAAGTCCTTCAAAAGTACTTAAAAGGTGCTACTTTTTGTTGAAAAATATGGCTATGCATCCTGTATAATAAAAAATCTTTAATTCTTAACAAATTTCACTAAATCTAAATTTCAAAAACTATTTACGTAATTAGTTTACAGTAAGCAATAAAATTAAAAATTATTCTTTGTGACTTAAAAATTATTCTTTGTGACAAATGATAATCCCCCTTTGTATAAAGTGTATTTATTTGAGCTTTGTGACATTGAAGTTTTTGATTTGATTTGTTTTATCTTCTTAGTTGGGGAGCGCAGGATTAGTTTTCTTCTTCAACAAGATACTGATAAATATATTGACTTTGATGGTGAATCAGAAAATAGCAGTAATACCACTCTAACTGTTCAAGAGGAGGAAGATAAGAAAGGTTAACATTATTCCTTATTATTTTTTGAAAAGATGGTTTTTTATTTTTGCTTCTTTTAAAGTTTCAAGCATTACTATGGCATATCAAAATGAAACTAATTTAAAAATAAAGATTACCTAAAAAAAATAAACAATAATTTGATATTTGGTTCAGTTGCATAAGATTTTATTTTTCTTGTCATAAAATTTCGTTCACTTTATGCTTATTACTACCTCTTTTCCAAAATATTTGTCCAAAACTAACGAAATTGAATTACTGCAAGTCTGAATGATGAGGCAGATATGTTATGCATGCATTAGTAAAAGCATAATATGTTAAAATTCATGTGACTAATACTATTTTTTAATAGCTAACAAAAGCTATTATTTATCAAAGTACGAGTGTGATGCTTTATGAAAACTATTTATGTAATGAGTAACACTGAATAAATCATTAAAATACATTACAAAAAAATATTAAGTCGAAAAAGGAAGTTATGTGTCTCAATAAATCATTAAAATACTGTATGGGGCAGATATTAGACAAAAAAATATAAGTTATAATTTAAAGATATTGTGTGGCTAAACTACTGACAGTGCCAACCACCATTTATCTAAAGGTACCTCTAGATAGAATTGAGTTAACATGTCTTCTATGCACTTGTAAAATAGAATTGAATAATTGTAGTGGTAGCTACGCTACAATACTCCCCCACCAGAATTTTATCTGGGTTAGAATTCGATGAATGGGTATCACTAGTTAATTCATTGTTGTACGCCAGCGCTGTATTAAATTCACCAGACTAGAGCGCAAGTCGTGAGAGTTGTAATAAGATCACGGTTGTGTGCATGGCTCTTATGTTACTATTACCAGTTGAGTGTGTACACGCTCGCAATGTGTGTGATCAAAACTGAGTATCAACAGCACGAGGAGGATAATGTGCTGAGTTACAAATAGCAAGTCAACTGTTCAATGTGTTCCATTCATCAAAGTAGACATATTCATATTGAAGTTGGCGTTTCTATTACGAAAGACATGTTCAGATTACTTCCAAAAGTCAGTGTGTCAGTGAAACAAGGGCATCTTACTTTGTGCAATAATTCAAATTTAATACCTGTAACTCACTTTTTGCCTTAATAACAGAAAAAGTGCCTTTATATGTTTTAAATAATACCTCAATCACTTTTTTTATAGGAAGACGGCTAACTGGAAGACCTCGTTTGTTAAGAAGAGGGTTGGGCTCATCGGCTGGCAATAGCTCAAGCTTCAAGAGAAGAAGTCTTAAACTGAAGAAACCGAGTGAGAGACGGAGTCGAGCTAGATCTTCTACTTTTGCTGAAGATGAAGAAGACATAGCTTCTAGTAAGGTTTCCTTTTGTTAAAAAAATGTTTTATTGATTGTGGCATACAGTGAGCCGAAAAAATAGGTATCATCCTAAATAACTTTTATTCTAATGACCTGATTTTCATGTACTATGTTCCAATCTTATTGGTTAAAAAGTTATAAAGTAATTAAATAGTGATAACTAACACTTCTCACTTTTACTTTCTCTCAATAAATACTCCTTTTCTAGAGATTTGAATTCTTGATTATCAAAATATGGAATTGAGCCATAATCTGGAAAATATGGTGCCTATGGTTTAAATGGGAGACTTAATTGTAAGACTTAATCCAATCAGAGATTTAATGGTTGTAACTGAATTTATGATTAGCACCAGTTAGTTAGCATATTTGAAATCTATGATCTTTTTAGATTGCCCCTTAGTTTGTAAAATTCTGATCATTGCAATAAAAGCTACTCAAGGTCAAAAGGGAAAATTTACTCTTTGGTGCATTTCCATTTTCCCATTGTAAATTCAGCTATTTTATTTATTTATTTATTTACTTTTTTGTGAAATAGCAGTTTTATAAAAGGAAAAACGGTTGAATTTACTTTTATCTGGTGGCATTGCTTTTGGAACTTTATTACCTATCATGCAACTTTATCGCCTTTAATGTACTTATTATTTTAGCATGCAGCTTTGTATGAATACAATCAGGCTAATTACAGATAATATGATTATTTGTAGTGTTGCAGCGAACAGATAGTATTCGTTCCAAAAGAAAAGTGAGTGCTGTATCAGATCGAAGTGACACTAGCGATAAGGTTGATTTGTCTGGAGAAGAATCTCCGGGAGTACTCAGCGACGACTTAGCTCCTGAGAGTCCACCCGATGTTCCTGAAAGTGATGATACCATGCTGACAAAGAATTTTCCTTGGCTGAAAGTAATTACTTAATATATTTTTATTGATTTTGTTCGTTGCCTTTTTGTGTGTTTCTAATATTAAAAATAAGTGTTATAAGTTTGATCTGTGATCAACAGGGAATGAGTCAGGAGAACAAAAATCTGAAATTATCAGGGAATTACATTTTATTTCCGAAAGTCAGGGAAAGTTGCAATTTTTTTACAAAATCCTGGAATATTCCTGTATCTTACCTAGAAAATAACCTAGAAATATTTTCATATGACACTTTTACTTACTTTTAAGGTGTTAGTTAAAGTCCTGAAAAGCTTGAATTATGATTGTCAGCATCAATACTTTTGCCCTTCCAATTGCTACAGAAGACAGATGCGATCCTGCAACCGTTTGGTCAATGCTGTTCGAAAGGTAAAATAATTCATCTATACCATTATTAATTTTTTTAAACTTTATAATTTCTAACAACAACAGTATTTAATATTGTAAAGTAATCAAGTAATGATTTAGACCATTTGCTATACTTATGTACTACTTACATATTTATGTACTAGTATTTGAAGTTTTGTAAATGTATGTGGAAAGAGTGGAGGTTTATTATTGTTTTAAATCTATAAAAAGAAATTTAAATCATTATTATTTTGCGACTGGCCATTTGAATCTTATTTCAAATTAAAAATAGGCTTATTTTTATATTTACTTTATTTCAAAAAATTAGCATACTTTATGCTCTTGAATTTTTTATTAAAATTAATTCCATTAACTGATAAAATTTAATGTCTACAATCTTTAAAAATGTTGAAGCATTATGGCAAATCAATATTATTCTGACTCATAGACTACAAATTAAATACATGCTCACTTTTATATTTCCTTTATTTGTGCCCAGTGTAACCAAACATTTTAATTTTATGCTTAACTTCTAAAAGTGGCCTTATTTTTTATTAATTTATTTAGTTTTATTTTGTACCAGACATTTTATTGCATAATATAACCTTTTAAAAAATTAATTTCATTTAATAATTCAGTTTAAGAATTATTTTTTGCATTAAATTGTTAATTTACTTTATCAAAATTTATTTTTGCTAGAAGTATTAGTGTATTCATTTTTTAATTAAACTGTATTTTGAAATTCTCTTGGAATGGTTTTAAAGTCAAAAATGTTTTCTGATTTTTTTGTTTAGGTCTATGGAGATACTTTTGGTATGATGGTTGATGCTGAAAAGCAGGAAGAAGATAAAGGCGAGTTGAAGAAAGAGAAGAAAATAAAAAAGGTATTAATTTTATCTGTTAGCACATCATTTTTAGTTCTTAGTTTTTATTGAACATGAAATGATAACTCAGATTTATATTTCATATGTTTTTTTAAGAATACATAGTTACTTATTTATTTTTTGCAAGAGCTATTCAAATATTATAATCTTTATTGTAAGTTTCCATTGCGGCATTATGTTAATGCTTGTTTCATACTTTTTTGTAAAATAGATGGAACAACATTTTAAATCAATTCTTAGATTAATCTAAAGATCATAATTGTTTTGAGAAATAATAAGATACAGTATTTTTCTTTGAAGATAAGTATTATAAGTGTTTAAAATTTTCTATCATTGCATTTTTTTGTTGTTTGCTTCTCAATTTTACATAACTCCTTGTCTGTCAAAAAACTGGTATAGCTTATTCAAATGTTTTTTAATTTTGTATTATTATTTAGAGAGAAGTATATGTTAGTATTATGACATATACTGATATTTTCCCTTGCTTTAAACTGTTTGAAGCTTGAATTCCAAGTTTGGTTTACTGAACCAGTAACATTAAAATATGTATCCCCTTATTATTTTATTTTTAAGTACTTTAAATGACTAATCCTTTTACTTGGGAGAGTTTGAATTAATCAATGTCAATAGTTTGGAAGCAAAGTTTATTGTATGTCTTTGATTAGACTATGGGAAACTTTAGTGTTTAAATAGTAATTGGTATAGTTTTATAATTGTTCTTATTTTCTTTCGTTTGGAGTAAACAAATATCAGATTTTTTCATTGGGTTTCTAACTTAATAAAAAAGCAGACAAAGTAAACTGTTCATTATAATATTGCAAACGATGGTTTTTAAAAGTACTTTATTGGTCATCAAGATTTATCACTTATCGCATTAAGTCAAGCCCCTATTTTCGACTAAGGGATAACAAGTTTGTGTATGTCAGCTGTATAATTCGTTGGTTAAAACTTTCTAAAATTAAAAAATATATATATTAATTCTACAAAATTTCACTTCGACTTTTCATTCTACAAAATTTACCTCTTTGAACCATTAAGATTGAGTCCTAAAACGTAAAGATCTGATCATTAGATCAAAAGTTATTCAGGGTAGTCTTTTTTCTTTGGCGTACGGTACAAGTAGACACCTGATTCTTATAAAAATAAAAAATTTGGGGGGAGGGGGTTGAAAAGTCTACTTATACACCTGAATTTATAGTAATTTAAAATTCAAGGAACTTGTCACATCAAATTAAGATTTTCTTATCTCTTCTAAGTCAAGTATAAACAGTTTTAGACTATTTATTAATTCTTATAATAACTTGTACAGTTGAAACTGACTTATTTTTGTATATATGAGGGTGAAATAATGTGTATACAAATATAAATGAGACTTTTTTATTAACTAAATAATAAAAGTTTACTTTCCAAAAATACAAAAATGTTATTTTTCAAATGCTTTCCACGTGCTTCTCCACACTTATTCTAAAGTTTCGGAATCCTGGTGGCATAGAAAGAAGTAGGACGTGCAGTGAACCATTAGGCACAAAATGTTCTATCTTTTTGTTGAAGAAAAATATCCCTCCCCAAAGGCTTCTTTAGGAGGTCCAAACAAATGGTAGTCCACAGGTGCCAAGTCCAATCATTATGGAGAATGTTCAACTGTTTCCCTGTGTAATGTGTGTAACTTTTGTTGTGTTACTGTGGCTTTCGATGAACTTCTTCATTTTCTTACATCCTTTTGGTTTGTGGTCAAAAAGACATCCACCTTGCTAAGGTTTTTCGATATTCCAAATCATCCTGAATTATGCTATGCTTACTGCCATAACTCATATCCGTGATGACACTAATTTCTCAAACTTTCCTTTGTCAGTCCTTATGAATAAGGACACAAACTTGGTCAATTTTCACTGTTGTATGACTCATTTTTGGTGAAAGAGCGGGAGACAAATTTTCAGCTTCTTCATGGCCTTGTTTAAATATTGTTGCCTTGTTGTGCTGTTTGCGTGCTTGAGCCCTCGACCGGGTAACATTGCCGAACTGTGCGCCTGAAATCTGTGCAAAATTTCAATAGGTTTAACATATACTCTTGGTAAAAATTTGATTATGTGTTGTGCAACTGCATTAGGAGCATTACGCTAACTTATTCAAGTTGCTAAAAAAAGAAAAAAGAAAGAACTTGCGAAGTACACTGCCAAGCAATTTTTCAGAGTCTAGTTAAAGTTCTATTGTTGCCATGACAATAAGAATTAAAAAAGCCTGCTGCTATTAAAAAAGTTTCCTTTATATTTGATCCACCTACGTAGCTACAATTAACAATTTATACATTGTGCCTTAAATTGTAGTAAATTTTTGATACATTTTGCGTACTAATGCGTTAAAACTTCCAAACAGTCCAATAAAATAACAAGGTTTCACTTACCTTGTTATTTTATTTGATAGTTGGGAAATAGTAACGCCATCAGTATGCAAAAATATAAATTCTCAATTTTATTGTCACGATTTTAGATCATAACTGCTCCAAGTTCACCTCTTCGGCGAAAAGCTAGTGTTGCACACATTGACAAATTAGAACGGCCTAGTGATGTCCCACATTTAGCAGCTTTTAGATCTCTTCATAGCAGCACAACTTTTTTAGCCCATGACATTGAAGCGGGTATCCATTTGAAAGAAGCAGAAGGAAAAGTCCAACCTCCTGGAAATGGAAAAGATAAAAGCAAATCCAAAGAAGAACTATCCGTGTTGAAATACATTAAATCTCAGGTATTAACTTTGTAAAATGTGATATTAGCTTTTGAAGATTGTGAAGTTAGTAATTTTTCTGTAAATTTTGATTTAGAAAAAATCTAGCTTTTTCTTAAAGTGCAGTAAAAGCTTAACAATCTGGAATGCAAGGGAATAGTTAAATTTCAGTTTAATGAAAACTACTAATGAGTGAGGGACAAAATACTTTTTTTTTCTGCATTTCTTTATTTTTTGGAAAAAGTGCAGTTCTATAAAAAAAAGTCAAGTATATCAGAATCAAAATAATATTTATAACAGCTTGTTGTTTTCAATTACTATTAAAGATGAATAAAAAAAATTATGTAAAAAAGAAAGCACAACTGTGCAACAGAAAGAAAATTGTTTATAATTTATTTAACATGATTTGTTTAACCATAAGTGTGTATGTATTTATTTAAGAAAGTGAGGATAACATAATTTTATTCTAATTTAAAGTAATTAAAATGTAAAATACTTTTTTTTTAAATAGTAAGTATGTAAATTTTGTACTTTCTGATACTAAATAAGAATTTTATTTTTCTAGTTCTAACGCTTCTAATTTTTTTCATATATACATAGTTACTGTGACTAGAACCGGTAAATAAAACTTACTTTAATGACTTGTAAAAAGAAATCTTGCTTGCCATTTGTTATGATTGTTTAATTCCAAATATCTCCAAATTACCACATACTAGAAAAATGCCACAAAGTGAAATAAAACTATAATAGTTATCCATGCAAGATATTAATGATAAAGAAAAGCTATAATAATGTAAGTGAAATTAAGTGAAATTGTTGAGTGTAAAAAAAAGAGAAACGGAAAACATTGTTATTAATTCTTAAAATAAAATTAAGTCAAAAATCTCAGTTTTTCATATTGTATTTTCTGAAAAAATAAAAATTCGGATAAAAACATAAACTTCACTGTTGAAAAAGATAAAGGGAAGTAAAACTGTAATAGTTATCTATAAGAAATTTTAACCACTGATTAACAGCTATAATAATCAATTTCTTATCATTATCTTGAGTATCGTAAGCATTAACTAAACTGGCCTACTCTCTTGGCTTTGTCCTGAGTCTCAAGCTTTTATATCAAAACTAAGGATTTCTGCCCACCGAATTGTTTTCTAAGGCTCTTTTTCTAATAAGAGTTGGCAGGCAGATGCATACTTTGCATGTATCTCCGAAAACAATTAGCAGATCAGTATCATCTCCTGATCAGCTATTTTGTTGTGTAAGTGTATTTGGCTTATCGTTCATCCCTTTTCAGAACGATTTCTTGAAATTTTTAAATGTCTGATAAAAAGAAGTATTTTAATTTATCCAAAGATAGTTAATTAGAGTTATATTTTTTACTTTACTCACTTTGTTTTTACTTTGAGCATCAAGTTTTCTGTTGTAATTTTTTCTGTGATTATTGAATTTTAGAAAAACAGCTATCAATGCTTGTTTTTTTTATGTTCTAGAAATTCAGTTTCATCCTTTTCAGTGCAGAAATAATTTGGAATTTTTTATTCGTTTGATAAGATTGATACAAAATGGTGTAAAGTCAGCAGCAGGAAAAGTAATGCCTACTGTGTGTTGGCCAAGTTAAAGCTGACGATATTAATCATTCTGTATAGTGATGTAACTTGTAAGAGAAACAACGAAACCATTTTTTTTGTCAAAACAAATTTTGAATAATTTTTTGACCGGGTAAACAAACCAGAGAAAGTTTCAGAAAAGCTTTTATATAAAGCTTTCAAAAAATGCTACAAATTTTTTAGGGGTAAAAAAGCCACTTAAATGAGAATTTTATTTAAAGATAGTGTAAATTTATTATTTATTTTCGATTTTTATCATTGTTTTGTTTATTATGATTTGCAGTGGTTTCAAAAAGTCTCTAGTTTTTTGAATTTCTGAGGTTGACCTGTCTAAGTATCGACTCATTTTTTATATAAAAAATGTGGAGTCAAGGTAAAAGTTTTCAAAGTTGACATTTAACAAATTTAAAACATGTCACTGGATATTAGAATTAGTAGAAGAAAATGTCATGCTGCCATTTGGCTTTACGACCAAGTCAAGAATCTATCAAATTATCTTTTTAAAAGTATATGGTTATGAGTAAATATAATCTGATTGGATCTCGGTTTTTCTTGTAAACGTTAAAATTATAGCTGGAAGGTAATTGTAGATTAATGTTGTAAAAAATCTGAGTTATTACATTATGTTTTATTGATTGTTTCTTAAACATTTTACTAATTTGAAAATTAGCTCAGACAATATGTTAAGATTATCAAGGGAAATATAATCTGAAAAATTTATATATGGTTTAATCATTTTTCAAGTTTTACCCCCTGAATTTTATCAAAATGCTTATTATAATGTGTTCAAAATTAGTTCTAAAATCTGCTGCAAATTTCTTTAGTCAAAGTTATGGGAAACATTTTTTAAAAAAAGTGTTGAAATTCTGTTTACTCTTAAAAAAATCTTTTGAGTTTTTTTTATTCCAAATTAAAATTTTCTGTGATAGACATATTTATAATCTTTACTAGAAACCAATTTTATCTCATTTGCATAAAACATATCTAATATCTTTGATAATAAGTAAAGTAGAAGCAGAAAGAAAATTTAATGAAAAAGTTTAGGATTCTATTAAAGTTATGTTTTATAGCTTTTTTTGTGATTATTACTGTTTCTACATTATTACTTTTAGCCCTGAGTTAACCATTTTTTGATTACTTTAACTATGTTAGACTTTATAACTATTCATCCAAATAGCTTGAGGAGTAGCAAAATTACAATATTCAATGGGAAAGCTGTGTATAACAGGGAAATTTCAGAGAAGTTTTGCTCTTGCAGGCTCTATGCTCTAAAAGTTTATATTCTGAAATTAAAAATAATTTACTATATTATCATTACTAAATTAATTTGTTAGTATGGTGGATAGTGTTCTCTTACAATACTTCTCCTACAACTTCCTATGCTAAAAATTTTCTGTATGTTGAAAGTTTAGTTTAAAGTTTAAAAGTTATCAGATTGTACATTCGCTGTTTATGTCTTAGTGGTTTGGAATCCACTTTAATATAATAATCCCAGTGATTTCAGGATCGTAAAAGTACAAACAAAGTGAGACAATTGTGAAACTTGGTATGGAGACTGAGCGATTACTATCATTGACTCTTCAAACTATAATGCGCTAGTGTTGTGCACTTCATAATTGTTTTCAAATAATCACTTAGAATATATCCCAAACCATACCAATACCTAATAGTTTAGCTCTAGTGTGACAGTTAGTCATCAAATAGTTAAAAAACATATATGTGTATGTCACATTACATTAAATGAGATACCCACTCATTACATACATTTACATTTGTTTAGTACATCACACATGTAGAGTATGATGTAATGAGTGAAGTTATTTTTTGTTTCATATAATAAAACTCTCCATTTTCTATTTTTTTTCCTTTCCTAGGTGAAGAGTTTGTTCCATTGTAGTATATCGACTATAATCAAAGGTGCCGTAGTATTGCCTGAAGAACTATTTACTGAAATTATGAGTGTGTCTTGGGAGTTATTACTAGAATGGGATTATCAGCTCACAGCTTCAGCTGGTAAATGATATGTAGTTATTGCAAATATAATTTGAATTTTAAAGAATTCCATATCACTTTATTAGTGGATTTATTACTGAACCATTAATTTTCATAAAATAAATTTAACTTCATGTAATTTTTTTTCCTGTAACCTTACTTATTTTTTATTTGAACAAAAATTATACTTCATAACAGTATGTAATATTATTTTTGAATATTGTTAAAATAAATTTATTAGTGGTCGAAATTAATGTTGATCATTTGTTCTGAGAGTGCTACAATTCAACTCGGACCACTTTAAAATAATTATCAGTAGTCTCTTAGACCACCAGTCAATATAAAGGGGTGGTATGCTGATTTAGTTTTTAATTTTCGGTTTCATGTTATGGTCTGTATTGTTGTTAAAAAATAGTATATTTTATCATAATTGTGATATTGCACATTCTTTATATTGTAATTTTTCATTTAAATTCATTTTATTATTTAAAAAAAAGTCTAATAGTGACATGTAAGTAGACCAGTGAAAATGTGTATGGACTAGTAATATCTATTAGTTTCTGGCCCCTCAGATGAGTGTTTTAATTTTCTTAATTTCTACACCCGCTTGTTTAATTAACCATATAACATATGTCTTATGGAAATATAGTCTGTCTCTGCATGGAACTTCCCTCGCCATTTGTCTGGAGTAATGGCTGTGACTACGGTTACGAGGTTTAACTATTTCAAATAGGGGTGTTAGATCAATATTTTTAGGGCTGTGCTCAATGCCTTTGGTCCCATTTAACTTGTAGTTTTCAGCACTTGTCAAACGAGAACAACAACAGATCAATATTTAAGGCAGGGTTTGTCTCAGGTTTGCAACAGAGAATCAGGGTAGAGAGAAGCTCCCCTTTTTGAAATGCACTATTTCTTGTTTCCATAGTGGTAGACGACCTTAGACTTTGAGGTGAGGGGAGTTCTTTCTATAGACAAATTATACCTATTTGAAATTGCATGCCTAGTTCATTTTTAGAGGGGAGTTCTTTCTATAGGCAAATTATACCTATTTCATTTTTGGAGGGGAGTTCTTTCTATAGGCAAATTATACCTATTTGAATTTACCTGCCTAGTTCATTTTTGCTTGTCAAAATTTAATAAATCTGATTATGTTTATGATTTAAATATTGGTCAAAGTCTTAAATGTTTTAAAAATCATTGTCTCTCTGAGTAAAATGTAAAATATTCTAAAAATATTTTTTCCTGGTATTTATTGATGTAATTAGGTAATATTCAAAGATAATTTCCATGAAAACATTTTTTAAATAGTTTGGGTTTAATAAAGTGACTAAGTTTTTGAGACATCATTATCTCTATAATCGACTAATTTTTAACTTTTAGCTGTTGCTTTTATCCTGGCATCTGTAAAAGCTCCTGAATTTGCTACTCAATTATTAAAAAATGAATTAAAACATGATGACCCTACACATAGAGTAAATGCTATTTTAAAGTAAGTTGCTGCAGTATTTCATTCTTAAATTCCATATTTCGTATTAAACTTAAATATAATTTCCTGATATACAAATTTACGAATCTTTGGGTAATTTCAGATTTCAAGTCTTATGGAGAAATAGGTATCAGTGTTGGCCGAGAATGGAAGATGGCGCCCATATAACTTTCAAGGTATAATGTTTGTGACAACTGTAGACATTTATGTGGTTAAGAAATATTGACCCTTCTAATCTGTGGAGTAATTATTTATATTAAAATAATATTTGCAAGTTTTTTGGCTGTTTTAAAATAACCAATGCCCTCCAAATAAATGTATATAATGTCGACAATGAAATAAAAAATATGCATATTAGGAATTGTTAATCAATACTATATATTTTCGAATTTAGGTCAAGAATTTTTGGAAAAATTTTGAGTGCTAAAGCAGTGGGGGTAGCTTAAAATTGGATCCATTAACTTTGTAAACTTCCATGTCAGGCATTCGTGCTATTATTAGTACTCTCCGCACATGTGATAGCCTGTAAGTTTTAACTTGTCATATAACATTTTCTTCTACCACTCCTTTTTTCTCATAAAATCGCAAATGATCAGAAAAAGTTTAATGTGTTAGCTGCAGTTATATGTATTTTGAATTAGAATTTCTTCAAACTGATTCAATATATTACGTCAAAAAATTTTCCTATTATTTTTACTTTGAATTTCTATCAGACTATAAAAAATATTTACAATTACAAATAATTTAGATTTATGATATCATCTATTTAATCGAAATATTAGATACTTTTTGTAAAAATACTCATTTGTTAAATATATATTTTTTTCGTAACAGGTGCCTCCACCTAATATTGAATTCACTCTACCTTCTCCAAAAATCGCCTCAGATCATGTACCTGTTGCAGATACCCCCTGGATGCCCCAAGTTAAAGCTAAGGTTCAAGAAGTCACAATTAACCAAGAGCAAGCGGTAAAAAACTATTTATTCTATTTTCTCCCTTCAAAATATGTTTAAAACAGCTGTCACCAATCTTTTAATCCTAACAGACAACCAAGCAAAAAATATTTAAATTCCTACACAGCTACCTCATTTTGTGATAGGAGGGGGAAAGTTTAGCGGTTAATTAGGGAGCAGTTTTGAAATGTCTCCCTTCAAAAACAAAATCAACATGTTTCAGTAGTTTTTAAAAATTGTACTAATTAAAAAATTATTTAAGGTAGCGAGTTTTCATGGGAGAAAAACAAAAAAAAACATGAGAGTGATTAAGTAAAGTTTACTTAATAATTATCTTAAAAGTAATATAGCAGGAGATCTTAATAATGCCAACCTTGAAGCATGAGCTTTGCATTATATAGGATTTTGAGTTATACAGTTATATAGTTGAGCTATATATTTTCATATATTAATAAACTTATTTACTAAATATGGCAATATGTATATGAAACAGACCAATAATGCTTCAAAATAATCTTTATGCACAAATGGTTTAAATCATATGCATTCAAGCATTCATTATTTGCAGAAAAAAATTAACATTCCAGAGCAATTGAAGTAAACCTCTAACAATTTTATCAATTGGTTCACTTCAGAGATTGTAAAATTAATTCAGTTTATAGAATTTCATAATGCAGAACTTCTACTATGATACTCAATCAGTGTGAATTTACAACTTCACATAAAGGAAAATATTAGATATGTGACTGATGAAGAAAAAAAAAAAGCCTTGTTCATGAATTAACAAATCTTTTGCATGCATAAAAAAAATATTTTTTCTGATCATTGGTTAGGCAACAGTTATTTTAGATAATTGATAAAGGGAAATATTAAATTTAATATATAAAATTTTATGTTTGGTTTTTCAGTTACAAAGATCATTTGTGACTGCCACCAAAACAAGACGAAAGCAACAAATGGAAAGTGTGCAACGTGCCTTGCAAAATGAAGAGGAGAAAAAACGAACCGAGCGACAGAACTACCATATAACAACAGCGGCTGCTACCTTACAAGCAGCATATGAACCTGCTTTGTTTCATTCTATTGAAGATCATGAAGAGGGTAATGATTTATTTAAATTTCAATTATACTGAAACTGGATGCCTAAATTTAAAGTTGTAAACATAAGTAACATAAGTTGTTAGTTTATCAGTTATGCTAGTTGTCAAAGTTGAGCTCATTTTCTTTCTTCTACCAATTAACTGAAAAAATTATTTACAAAATCTTCCGAGTTTACACTTTCAACTATGGATTTCTAAAGTTCAAACAAGTTCAAATTTTATCACAATAATCTCTTAGTCAATACTCAATATCCTTACTCAATACTTAGTTTTACTCAATAGTCTTCTTTCTTACGTTTTGCAAGGTACCTCATATTTCTAGTTTTGAATAAGAACAGTTCAGCTCAAAATAACTGGACCACAAGTAAATTAGTTAAAAATCCTGTATGAATGTAACAATGTGGTAACTTTGGTTACCGCATTGTTATGGACTTATTTTACGTTATGAACTTATCCATTGTTATGGATTTATTTTGAGAAATAACAAAATTAAGCTTTGCGAATATTTTATTGAAACCAAAAGAAAATCATTATATACAATAAATATTACGACAGAAAAACCTCACTTATTGTGTTCGTCAGAATAATACTTTTTAGAAGGAGGTTATAATCAAAATCAAATGGGATGGTAGCGCCATTACTGCATTATAATAAATATTAAGTTCTAATGTCACAGGCATAAATGTGATATTTATTAAATTTGCATTAAAAAAAATTATTTTATTTAAGAGAATTTTATCATTCTACTTTCATATGTAGCATGTATATTTTGTGTATTCTTTTATTATTTTTATGTTCAGTGATTCTGTTAGACCTCAGCAACTGCAAGTCCTTAGAACCCTGGACTTCCGTATTTCTTGGTCCTTTTTTACTAAAAGTGGGTCCCTTTGTGAAATATATAAAATATCTATTTTAAGTTGTACATAAAAAGTGAATATTTAGGAAATATATATTATTAGCTAATGATACAGTAATAATAATTCAGCAAAAAATTAAAAGCAAAATTTCTACATCAATTCAACTCAAAATCATATTCATTTTTGCCGTTTGATATTAATTAAAAAAAAAAAAGATTTTTTTAAAAATTTTGTTGTATTTTTTCTCTTTTTTTACATAAATCTCCTAGCACTTTTTTTTTTGGCCATGGAGAATTACTCATTGTAAATTTCTTCCCACCCTCTACAATGGCTTATTTTATGCTTTGTAACACGTAAACATAATCACTGTATGTTATACATACTCAGTTTAGAAGTAAATGATTAAGACTTGTTTGAGGTATTTTAAATTATTAATTTTATGCAAAAATCATTTTAGATCAAGATTTGTCCATTGAAAGAAATATTACTCACCACATACAAGCAGCTCAAGCTCTCTTTCCCTCATGTCTTTGTTCTGCTGCTATTCCGATTATAGAGTCTTTAGAAGATGCTCAAGTTAATAGCGAAGCAATTTCAGGTATTTTTTTAAAGCTTTATAACTTACTGAGTGTTTTAAAAGTGTCACCACATTGAAAAATTATTATCATGAGTTTATTTATAATTTTGTTATTTTATAGCGTGCAATAGTTTCGAACAAAGTATTTACTATCACGAAACAGATCTACAGTGCAAAAGAAAAATAATAAAAACACCCGGGATAGCTTTTAATTATTGGATTTTCCCATACTGGAACTCAATGGTTTGAGGGTTCTAAGAATTCAAATTCTAACTGCACAACTTTTTTAAAAATTGATAATTCAGAATCTGTTCAACTGATTTCATTAAAATTTTTCATTTGCCATTGAAAATTACATTCTTTAAAATTATTAAAAAAAATTATACTCATTCAAATATTGATTAATATAAAATAATTAGTAAAAGTTATTTTTTGCATGATTTTTTTTTCCTTCAATAACCACGTTTTTATTATTGTGTTCAAAAAATTTTTTTAATTTGTTCAATATATTGCAATCTATGCAAAAAATAAAATTAATAAAATTCAAAACTTGAGACTACTCTCTTGACCAAACTACTGGGACCATATTTCCCAGATTGCGGTTACCCCACATATTTTGAGGGTCAAAATTCCAAAGAGAGTCTGCTTTGATGTCTGATTTTGTAAATTGAAGTATTGCATGCACTAATTTAAATTAATTAACATGTTTAAAGTTAGCCCCCTGAGCTATTAAGATATAATTTTTTTCTCACACTGTACATATAAAATAAATGAGTTATTTTTATTAAAAGAAGTTTTAAATGTAAGTTTGATTTTAATAAGGATTAAACATTTTCATTCAAAACTTAAACTACAAGAAGATTTTGAAGATTACAAGTATATGCTTATGATTTATATTGCCAGGGAACAATTAATAGGATCAAACATATTATATATTTTCTTCTACCAATTCAGTTAAGAGTTTATTTTAACAAAACTGTAAGCATTGATGATTGTGTTGAGAAAATGTTTATTATAATTTGTTCTAAAGTTTAATGTAATAATCTGCTTTTTTTGTTAATTACAACTTTTATGGGACAATTTGATTGAAATTTTATCTAAACAACGTTTATAGAAGACACTAAACTCCCTTTTATAAAATTCAATGTGAAATGACATTCATTGTTTCCCTTTCATAACTGTATTTTCTATAAGTTCAAAAACATTTGTCTTATTCTATTATAACTTATTTTTACATTTCACATTAATTATTTAAATTTTTCTTAAACATTTTTTGTAGGTTTTAAAGATTTGAGCATGAATTCATTTAAATCTTCTTAAACAGTAATGTTATTAATTTATAAAATGCTAATTAAACATCAACGCATTAGAAAATACAATTAAAATTTATCATTGTTTAATAAATATCCTAACAAAATGAGTTTTCTTGATATTATACTTTTTTTCTTTCCTAGTTCATGAAGCTGCCCTCAAAGTTACATATCTTTGTTTGATAGAAGACACTGCATTGTTTTTGAGACATATTTTAGAGAAGTTGACTAGAGAAAGACAAAATGAAATGTTTCAGATTTTAAGAAAACTTCTTCGCTTCATACCTCAGTTACCCCCGCAATCTGCTTGTGCCCTTTATAATTATTTGGTATGATAATTTTGATACATTTGTTTGCAAACATTCAGTTTATCAGCCTTTAAGGGTCTTTAAACTTGCTACCTTACTGAACTCTTAGAGAGATGGGGATATGGGGAAAATTGAGACATGGGATTAATCAGTGTGGTATGTCTACCACTATGAAATTCCAATTCACTAGTATATTAGACATATTAACTCGATTCTATGACGGGGTACCTTTTAATAGATGAAGGTTGACATTGTTGATAACTACTCTCCCCACATTGGTGACCTTCGGACGTTATGTGAACATGCCTACCTTGACAGAAACTCCCACTTTGATATGAACACGCCTGTCTTGACAGTCACTTCGATTTGAACATGCCTACTTCTATGGATGGACCCCATTGAACAGTTGACTTGTGACTGCAACTTTATCCACCTCCTCCTGCTGTTGCTACTCAGTCTCGATCACACACAACATATTCACTCGACTGCTATCGGCGACCACGTTCGTGAACTTAATACAGCTCTCACGATCAGCACTCAAAAGTACGGTGATCTTAATACAGCTCTCCCAGCTTCTCAAACAAACTGCAATGAATCAACTAGTGGTATCCATTCATCTAATTCTATCACATCTATAATTCTGATGGGGTAGTACTGTAGTGTGTCTACCACTACAAAATTACAATTCCAATTCACTAGTATATAAGACATGTTAACTCAATTCTATGATTGGGTACCTTTTCATAGATGAAGGTTGACATTGTAGATAACAACTATCCCCCACAATCAGCTTTTGACTACTAACTGCTCTAATTTGAATCACTTCTCGTGAGCTGTGCTCTGCCAGCAGTAGTGTATTAACACATTACAATGTAGTGCACAATCCAGTGACTATTTTTATTACTTTGTCCACAGAAATAAAACGATCCAAACATTTTTATTTTCAATATATATTCACCATTTTCAATATATATTCACTTCAATATATATTTTCAATATATATTCTATTTCAATATATATTCCAATCTATATTCAATGTTTATTCACCAAGAGAAGAGTTTTAAAATGCATTAATTTGATAGTTAAAATGTATGTATTTGGATTCTGAGAACAGAACAAATAACAACACAAATACTCTTTATTTAAACAAAATATTTATTTCAAGAAATTAGAAAACTAATAAAGCATTTCCTCCGCTTCTAAACTCCAATTTGAATTTAAATTCTCTTCTTCTGTAGAAATGCTAATTATTCTTCCCCAATTATTTTTCCTTTTATACGTAACTGTTGCATTATTGATTTCAATATATTTGATTAGTGGACGGTGAAATATCTTGATGCGTTACATGCATTTTCCCTTCATTGCTACCACTTAAGTTTGAGATTTCATCTAAGTCTCTGTTGTATCCAATAACAAATTCTTGACTTTTAAATTATATGACATTTTCGTCACATAATTATTATTAAGTACTATTATATTATGAATATACATTGGAATTGGACCAAAGTAAAAAAATCTTTTTGTTGCCATGTCACAGATTTTTATGAAATGTTGTTGTGAAAAAGTACATGATGAATAAAAACTAAAGTAGTTTTTTTTCCCCACATTTTTTGGACCATTAGGGAGAGGGATGCACTTAGAAATTTTTAACAAATTAACATGATTAGCAGAAGGTAGCTCATGTCTTCTTAATATCTGTAACTTTTTATGTTTCAAGCCAGTTTTCTAAATTTTGGTGTCATTACAAAGAAAAAAAGGAACAACATTATTAAAATGTTGGAAATTGTATTGAAACAATTTTTGGGGAAATTATTTTGAAAATCTCAAAACATTTTTACAAGAAAATTACAGTTTTTACCACCTCTTGTTTTTTGCATTATGTTAAATATCATACTTTTCAGCATAGAGAAATATATTTTTTTTTGTCATTAAAAAAGTAAAAAGTGATTTTTAGCCAAAATACTTCAATATTTTTTACACAAAAGCAGCTTCTGGATGTTTTTTTGCTAAAATATTACTAAACTTGCAAAAATATTTCAAAAATTGCTAAAATATAATATGACATTTAATATTATGAGGAAAAAAATTTAAATTAAAAACCTTTTTTTTTTGTACTATAAAAAATTTTAAATATTTTAGCTAAAAATTACATTTTGGTTTTTTAATGACAATAATCAACTCCATAATTTATTTTCATGTTTAAAAACAGGCTTATATATGACTGATTCAATATTTTCAGTTATAAATAAATATTTAATTTATTTTGTGTTTAACTTTCCTGTTTTTTTTCTCCAGATTGGTTATGTTATGTTTTATGTTCGAGCTCCTGTTGAAGGAGGGCAAGATCATATTGGTAATGCACTTTCTGTTCTTTGGCAAGTAAGTATTGCTTTTAGAAAACTTCTCGGGGCCAGCCCAACCTTCTTTGGCACCATTAAGGGAAAAAAAATTTCAGCCTCATATATATGCACGCACTATATATATCTTGCGAATTACATTATATTTTATGAATTGATTCTGAAAATTTTTGTTTGCGTAATTTTATCTGATTGATTGTCATGAATAATTATTGTATTTCCCAACTGTATAAAAAAATTTTTTTCGCATGAAGCAGTAACAAATTCAAAATAAAATACATATCAAATGTAATACGATTTGTTGAAGGAAAAAATTAATTCTAAGCATTAAGAAATATTCCTAAACAATACATTATGAATTAAAAAAAATTTTAATTTTCCTTATTAGCCAATAAAAATATAATATTTTATGTGAAAAATATTTTTTTTCTTTTGTGTTTGTACATTCCAGATTATAAAAAACATTGAAATGAATATTTTTTAAAAATATTTTAAACAAATCAAATTTTGAATTTTCCACCCTAATTCTCTAGCATTGCTAGGCGATTGCTTGGATTCTCCTAATGGAAGGTTGGGCTCTGATACTTATCATTCAAGACCCTTTATTCAATGTGATTTTAACATTGTTTCTCTTCTTTGCTAAATGTAATTTTTCTGTTTAAGGTTGCCCCGAGTGTTAATGGATTATTTCTAAAAGATTTAAAACAAGTTTTGAGAAAAGAGCAGTGTGATGTAAGTCAGTTAAAAATTAATTTATCCTGTTCTTAAAATATTTTTATTTGACACTGAAGTTTTGTTAATTAGTTTTTAATCTCTAACAGTTTTCATATAATACTTAAAGTTATTATGTTTCTTCAGGCAACACTTTTAATTACTGCAAATGTGCCTAGTGCAAAGAAAATAATTATACATGGCCCAGATGCAAGTGGTATACCATCACAGTATCCTATTCATGAGGTTTGCTACAGTTCTTTATATTTCTATAATGTATTGAGTTGTATGAGTAATAGGCAGTACATATTACCTAGCTTTTAAATGTCATTTAATACTTAAAAATTATATTGATTCCTCTAATGCTTTGATTAATAAGTATATTGATTAAACATTTTTCTTAACTGAACATGTCTGATAAAAATATTCTTCAAATAGATTCTAATTGCAAAATAAGTATTAATTAATGAGACATCAATACTTTTAGTAAAAGTTGAAGGCCTTCTTTACTGTAATGTGTTTGCTTAAAACTGTCTGTTAAGTTTCACTTTTTGGCCAAATCATTAAAATTAAGTTTTCCTTTTTTATTGCATTTGGCTCAAAATCATGTTTTCTATGTTTAAATGGACAAAACCATCTCCATGATCATTTTTATTGAAAATTATCACGCTTTAAGAAGTATGAATTATTATTATTATTTTTTTTTTAATTTTTTCACTAGCATTGAAAGTTATTCACAACAATTATTTGTAATCCCTGCATATAATACTTTGTGAGTTCAAGAAGGAATTATTTCAATACTTCTGTTTTAGTCAAATTAAATATTAATTTAAACAGAGGTAATGTTTAATACTCAGACTTTAATACTGTTTTCATCAACAACAACAAAAAAATTCTATTTGCATTTTATGTTCATGGTATATAAATACAGTGACCTTGATTAATTTAATTAATGACCTTGCTGTTTTACAGCAAGCAATGTTTCCTATGATAAGATTGTTGCCAACTCTAATAATTATTGTTAACTCTAATGGTTATTGTCTAATTTTAGTTATCCCCAAATTGTAAGCACCTAACTTCAAAGTGTTTGACTTTTGAAACCGAGAAAATAGTGCATGTTTTTAAATAATGAATCATTATATTAAATGGTCAAAAATAATTAATCTGCATGCTAAAAACTTAAATTTTATTGAAAACTATTTTCACATTATGGTTATGAGTTTTAACTGGTTGTTATAATATCAGATTGCAAATATTTTAATGTATGTTTAGAGAAGGTATTAAAAGCTTTTTATAAATGTTACTGTTAGCATTTTCTATTGATTATATTCACAGTTGTATTGGATTTAAAAATCATGAAGAGAGCTTTAAAATTGTGTTTTGGTTCAAATTAGTTCTTAGCCTGTTTGTAACTTGCTATTTTCAAGAAAAATTGCTCTTGATAAATAAAATTTAAGGAAAAATATATCTAGTCTAAGAAAAAAAAAGGTATTTTATGTTGAAAATTCATGAGGAATTTTAAATTATGGATTGTAATGAATTTATTAGATTTGAAGTGTTTATGCTGAATTTATAAAAGTATGCTGCGATCTATAAATTGACTATGTAATTAAATGGACTGAGTCATTTAATGTTTGTTACAAAAGTTAAATCAACTTTATCATAAAAGTCAATTTTGTATTTTTAACCTATTTTCTTGATTTAAATTTACTTTTGCAGGATACACAGTTTTCACTTATTTTGCAAGATAGCTTAGATTTCTTTAGTATTGAAGAAAACCAGCAAAATTCTTATTTCTTAGTTGACACCAAAACAAGTGAGAAGGATTCTTTCTATATTCAAATAAAATTAAAAAATTTGCAAAACTTTTTACTGTAATAATTTGAATTAGTTATGAATTATATAAATAAACTCTGTTTCCTGGACTACTATGTATGTTAACATTGTAATATTGCCATTGATAATTATACCACATCTTCAGACCACGAACTGTTACAACCTACTATATATATATATATATAGTTTACGTGTCATATAGATCAAGCTTGACGTTATTTTTGCTACTAAATTTAAAATCTGCATATGTTGATGCATTGAAAAACTTATTAGTTTTTGCTCAATATAGAAATTTTGTTTATAAATTATTTACTTGCAAATGAGCCAATTTAATTTTTCTGAAATACTAGTGATTTTTTCTCTTTTATTTATTTATTTATTATCTTTTTGTCTCATCTTTTTATTTTTGTCTTAAATATAGTTTCTGGCACTGACTTCTAAACCATAAGTATATAATGTTATTTATGATTGGTGCGATGCGATTACCTATTTTGATAAATTTTTAATTTGATAAATAAATTTTTGAGCATAATAATCTGTTTAACATATAATGTTTAACAACATAATTTTTTTTTTTAATATGAAGTATTGAAATTAATGAATTATGAAAAAACAATGTTAGAAAAAACTGTTCTGAGATATGTAGATGATCTCCTCAATTTAATCTCCTCAAAAAAGTATAAGATTTTATTATTTGTAAAAAATTGCATCACATGTATCTAAATATTTATTTGAAATAATTTTTATTCATGTTCTATAATAATTTTAAAAAAGTTAATACACATTACAGATTCATATTATCTACATTAATATCATAGAAAAAAAAAGATTATTGCAGGTTGTACATATAATTGATTTTTCAAGCAATAAACGAATAATAAAATATATAATTATAATAATATGTATTAATAAAAGATTTGTCAAGAGATTTACATGTTATGATATAAATCAAATGAAGTAATATTTTTAAAAAATATTTTATTTTGCAGATATGATGCACTGTCCTGAAAGTTATGTTCGAGATTTTTACTTTTTCAAGCGTTCCCAATACCCTCAGTTATCATTAGTTCATATAAACCCTGATTCAGCTTTTGAATTAATGCAAAGTCAATCATTTAAACTACGCTTTCTAGAATTAGGAAAAGTAAGTAGAGTTTTACGTGTAAAGTAGTATTTTAATTCCTGCGTAAGTAATTCTCTTGAATGTAAAAAATTTTTAAAAAAAATTGTTTTTTAACTTCAAATTTTGTTTTTAATGATTTTACATACTTTTAAATCTCTTTGAAATAATTGAAGCATTTCTGCATTGTTTTAAAATTACAAGAAGTTGGTTTTCATGAAACAAATCTATGCTTGCAATATAAGTTTCATATAAAATGTACTCACACTTATTTTTACTATATTTACTAGGAGAATCAAAGTTTATTACTAAATATGTTTTATCTTCAGCTGTTTATATAATAACAAAAAATTTCACTTGCAATGTATTTAAATTGTATCAAGAAATTTACTATTTCATACTGTAACTGGTTAATGTCAACAGCATTATTGTTCACCTTTTAAATATTTCATATGTTTACGTTATTCTGAAATAATTTAAAACTGGAAAGACATTTTAAAAAGATGTTCTGTTGATTATTACCTTTCAGTATTATATAATTTAAGATGTAAGTAATGGGTAAAATGTTTATTAGCTAAAGTAAATAAAATACTGAAAAGCATGAAAATGTAATTTGATTTGGCAATATTTTAAAAAAAGTACATCACACCTTTGACATTTAGATTTATTAAATTATTGTTTCTATATTAAACTTGTCTTTAGTTTCTATTTCTTTTTTGTTTTCAATTAAATAATTACTAGTATATTATTTTAAATATTTGTTATTCAAAAAGAGCTATGTGTCAAAAAATTTTATTGCTGAAGAGTTTAGTGAAAATCAATTTGTGTAACAAATGTACCTAACTTCTATTTTTTTTAATCTCAGAATTATATATTACTTGCAACAGTGTTTTTTGTTACACACAATTTATGAAATGACAGCATTCTTTGAATGATATTTTCTGAGAATTATTATTAATTTACTTGATTTTATAGAAAGCCTGAAAGTGTGAAATATGAGATTTATTATTATCCTTTTTAATTTTATAGAATTCCTGGCAGTTTTAGGCGAAGTATTAAGTATGAGAATTATTAATTTACTTAATTTTATGAAATGTCTGACAAATTAAAGTGTGAAGCATTATAATTATTTTAAATTTACTTAATTTTATAGAATGCCTCACAGTATTAATTAAAGTATGAAATATGAGAATTATTATTAATTTATTTAATTTTATAGAATGTCTGACAGTTTTAGGCAAAGGATGGAATATGAGAATTTTTCTTATTCTACCTGAGCTTTAAATGTAATTGGTGGGCATTCTGTAAATGGCAAAAGCTCTTTAGACCAAGCTTAAGAAAAAGGTCATGATAAGACAATTATTTCAAAAACGCTCAATCCTTACTCCTTAAAAACTCAAAAGTTTTGGTTTGATAAGAATAACATTAATATTTTAGAGAAAAAGAGCTTGTAGTTTGCCGGTTTGTAATTAGACTTTGCAATGTGTGTGATGTTTAACCCCTTACCTGCCGAGTAAAATTTACATGATTCACTCCCTAGTGCCACAGTTTTTCGCTCAAGTGCGCTTTGTTACTCTGTTTGGGGGGGGGGGGACTTTGTTTACTCTGGTACTTTGTTTTGGGGGGGGGAAAGATGCTCGCTTTGCAATTTAAAAACAGATTACTTTCGCAAAAGAAGAAAGGGGAAAAAAGAAAATACAAAACTTAAATTAAAGAATAAAAATACAATATAAAAGATGTTAAAACTTAGCTGTTGTATGATAAATCCTGAAACATGGTTGGACACATAAGCCAACATCACATTCATTGCACTGATAGCGGGATTCTCGATGAATATACACTGGAAACGAAAGCGAAAGAAGAATAAACCCGACCTTACTCAAATAGAAACACACAAGCAATAAATATTATGATATGACTTTTCCAACACAGCCCTTTCCCATTCCCCCTCCTCCGAAATTGGTAATACATTCAATGCAAACACTTTCATTGGCGAACACTTACAAGGTCATTTTACTGCATTCACAAGCCGGGAGTGTAGTTCTATTTATAGCAGCGCAATGCAAAGCATAGTACTTAGAGAAAGCGTATATATAAGCCTGCGGCAGTTAACGCATCGTCTGGCTGAGACATATATATACGACCGCGGCAGTTAAGGACTTAATCATTTTATACTTTGCCAGTTTGCCTTTTGACATTCTGTAGAATGCCTTGATAATTACTGAAATGCTAAATCGTTTCATATGTTGCTGTTTGTCATATTGCATTCTATAGAAGTTTTAACAATTTATGAAATGTTTATTCATCATTTTGCATTTTGTAGAATGCCTTGGCAGTTTATAATGTGCTTTACTGTATCATATTTTGCCAGTTTATCATTTGGCATTCCATTGAATGCCTTGGCGATGCATAAAGTCCTTACTCTTTTTCTTTGTTTTCCAGTTTATCATCTTGCATTTACAGAATGTCTTTCCAATATGTGACATGTTGAATTGTTTCATTCCTTACCGACCAATTTTAAATATCCTTTAGGATGATAAATTTTTAATTTTGCCAGTGAAATATCTATTTCTATTAAACTTTGTTACACCAATTTGATCATAAAATTTGTGTTTCTGTTTACGTTTTGTTCTCATTTCCAATATTAACATTCCAACAGGTCCTGATGAGCTTGGCAATTTCAAAATCTAACACTCAAGTTGCTCAAAGAGTTTTCTTTTTGCATGAGGAGCTTATGAAGCTTCCATCCTTTCCTCGTAAAGCTTTGGAATGCGATTTCAATCTGTATGCAGGCATTCTTGGAAAGGTGAAACATGTTAAATGTTCTAACATATTTTACTCTGAAGTTATTTATTAAAACAATAAGTTTACTATGTTTATTCTTACGTATTTAAATATAACATTTATTATAAATGTGTGATTATATATATATATATTTTAGGAAATGCTTAACATGGATACTCTTCATAAATTGGTATGGGTAAAAGTAAGTGTTATAATCTTTTATATTGTAATTGTTATTAGCCCAGCAGAGCCAACTTTTAGCTAGCACTTTATATCATTTTTTACCTGTGTGTACCAAAAAAAAACTGCTATTTATGAATTTTTTTGAATTAAGTCCCTTAGAAATATTTTTTGCTTATAATTTAATAAGAACGCATAAAATTACTGTAACAAAGATGTGTAAGTTAAAAATTGCCTGATCTTGAATTAAATATTTTCTTAATATAGATATTTTTTTTTAAATAAATGTTATTTTGGTTTCCCTCTTCTTTTTTTTCATCTGTATTTTATTTACTTATTTTCAATTTTATTTCATTTTTATTAAATTTAATTTTTCAGATAGATAAATGTCCTACACCTCTGAGTAACAGTAGCTATTTTTTTTTAATTTGATTTTTTCATTGTTTTAGCAGATTGGTGTTTTTTTTAACTCCATTTGATTGCTTTTCACTAAGCACATGATATAATATGTATTTAGATAAGTACAATAGCCATTTTTATCTCTTGTTAATTTATTCATTTATTTTTTTACATTACATTAGCCAAATCACGATTTTTGTAATAAAGATGAAATGTAATTTTGTAATAAAGAGATGAGTTATGATAGTTTTATGAGAATTTTAAAGAGGAGAAATAAATTGTTAGTTTCAGATGTACATAATACTCTTTTTTTTATATAACATTTAATTCATTCCAAAAACATAATTTCCAGAAAAGGTAATGTTGGCGTATAATTGTTTCTTTTGAAACATTGGATTTTTTTAAAGATAACTTTTGTTTCCAGTTATAAGTTTTTAACATAAATACTAAATTACTATAAATACTTTGTGAAATTTAGGGCTATCAAGATAAGGATTGATAAAGTAGGGTAATTCGAAGTAGTAAACATTTTTCCATAGTAAAAAGGAATCTGCTATCCTTATAAGAGAATGACAAGGACCTTGTAAATTTGGTCGCTGACTTCAGACTATTGCTTGAATGAAAAGGAAGTGACATGTACTGGTGTAATGAAAGTGATTTTTGAACTGTTAATTTTCAAGTTATAAAAAATTTAAAAGAAGCAAAAAAATATATTTTATAAATATTTTTTTAAAGAATGAGAAATATTAAAAATTGCCATTTGAAGAGTTTGAATCCCTTAAACACCTCCCTTACCTACGTCCCTGTTAAATACATTTCTTTACCAGGTTTATAGACTAACTCAAAATTGCAACATTTCAACTGTAAATAGACAATGGTTAACATTGTTGTTAAATAATTGTCTATTATTAACCATTGTTTATTGACAATACAATGGTTTTTTCAATATCGCAATAAAAGATTTATAATCTGTGAATATTTTAAATTTAGCATTCAAAACAAAGTTAGTAAATTTTCTTTTCAACCATAAAGTACTGCTAGGAGCTCTTCGTCAATGTGTGCACACTTTATAATCTGTTTTCTGTATTAAATTTATTATGTCATTAAAGATATTTTAAAACATATCTACTTCAAATAAAGTTTTATCATACAAATACAACATAGACAGTTAATTGGAATGCTTTAACCATCAGAAACTGTAATGTCATACATATTGTTTTCCAACACTTAATAATGCTTGAAAAAAATGCTTTTTTATTACTTATTTTGAAATTCCTAGTATCTATTGTCATTTGCACATATTATTTTTACTTCAACGATTATTTTTACTTTTTTTGACGTTGGAAAGCTACCTGTTGAAAGTTCAAAAAAGCTGAGACTAATGCCCAGAGGGTTAGATGTAAACTAGTGTAACTAAGTTTATGAAATATATATAATCTTTTTTACTGTGTATGATGTTATTGTTATTTTATTTTAGCTTGTTGCTCGGATGTTTGAAGCCATGGCTGGTCTCTTTGTTCATTCATCAGATATACATCTCTTTTTAAACGTTATTAATGGGGCCTTAGTTTTACATCCTGAAGATGCCATGATTTTACGTTTTTGTATGTCTACTTTTATGAATGCAGCTTTGCAGTTCAAAAATATTTTTGCTTCTAATGGGTAGTTAACTATTTATTTTTATTAACAAAATTGCAATATTACGTTTTATTTGTAATAATTCTAATGTAAATTATATTTTTTTACAGGTACTTACTTATTATGCCAACAATTTTACGTACTTATTCTAATCATCAAACGAATAATTTACTTTGCCGTACTTTGGAATTTGTTTGCAAGCAGTTCTATATTTTGCATCGAAAGCCATTTATACTGCAGGTTAGTTTTGCATTTTGTTTCAAAGAAGAATTATCTAAATGATCTAAATATGATTTATTTTTATTGCTTTTATGTAATTTAAACAAATTTATTGTAATTAATAATTTTATTTTTCTTAAATGCTATTTGTCATTCACTTTTTTCAAAGTGCAAAGTGAAAGATCAAGTAAATAAAATGTCTCAGCTCAAATTAAAAACTTTAACTTTCTTAATATTAACCAGTTTTTTTCATATATTTAGATGATATTGTATTTATTATAAAACACTTTCTTAGTATTTTTTTCATAAAAAATATAAAACAAAATTTAAAGACTAAAATAAAAATTTCTATGCATCATCATTTGTATGCATCTAACAGAATTTGTTTATGATACTTAATGTTATGGCAAATAGTAGTAGATTTATTAGTTCTAAGAACTATTATAGTGAAGATAATTTAGCTATATAAACACTGAATTTTATGTGAAGTCTTACACAGGGTTCCCCGGGTCAGGGATAACAGAGAAAACCTGGAATTTTCTGGGAATTTTATTTTGACTTCAAAAATCAGGGAATAGTCAGGTAAAGTTACAATTTGTTTTGAAAAAAAAACTGGAATATTCCTATATCATACCTGGAAAGTAACCAGACTTAAAATTGTCAGTAACAGTAATCAGCTATTGAGATTTAAATTAAATAATTCTAACACCTATTACAAATATTTTTTGCAAAAATTTCACATTTTAGTCAAACTGAAATGTTTCCTTCCTCTTTTCATAATATTTTTTAACACCGAAAATGTAATATTTCTCATTACAAATAAATGAATCAAAGTTTTCTGGTGAAAATACAATCTCAATTTTCATCGAAATTTACCTCGTATACATGGTAAAGTCAGGGATTTTTTTTCTGAAATTGAGTGGGAACCCTGCTTACAGAATTTGTCATTGATGTTTAATGTTACAACAAATTATATTGATTTTTTAATTCTAAAGAGTGTTTCAGGGTAGATAATTAGGTAAAAGGAACATTGAGTACCATGCAATAAATTCCATGTCATTAAGTCTTCGAGAATTTAATTGATACTAAATGCTATGGCAAAAAGTAACAGAATTTTGAGTTCTAAAAAAGATGTTTTAGTGAAGATAATTGAGATAAAACTAATACTACATTCCATGTAAAGTCCTATAGAATTTGTTATTGATGCTAAATGCTATGACAGATAGTAGCAGATTTTTTAGTTCTAAGAAATGTTTTAGTTCTAAAGAATATTTTTATTATTGATAATTTTATAAAGTGATTATTGAATTCTGTAGAAAGTCTTCCAGAATTTATTATAGAATGTTGTAACAGAAGCTAGTAGATTATTAGTTCTAAGGAATGTTTTGGTGAAGATAATTAAGATTAAAAAGATACTGAATTCCATGTAAAGTTGTGCAGAATTTTTTACTGGTGCTAAATGCTATGACAAATAGTAACAGATTTTTTAGTTTCAAGCAATGTACATAGATAATTAGATAAAATGAACATTGCATTCCACAGAAAGTCCTACAAAATTTGTTATAAAATGTCATAACAAATACTAGTAGAGTTATTAGTTCTAAGGAAGGAATGTTAGTGACGGTAATTGAGATAAAATAAACATTGAATTCCAAGAAAAGTCCTATGAAATTAGTTATTGATGCTGAATTTTATGACAAATTATATTAGATTTGCTAGTTCTGAGAAATGTTCTTGTGAAGAGACATTTAGTTTCATTTAAAGTTTTGCAGAATTACTTATTGATGATGAATGCTACGACAAATAATAGTAGGTTTATTAGTTTTTAGGAATGTTTCAGTGATTGTAATTAATATCTAAGAAACACGGAATTCCTTTAAAAGTATTATAGAATTTATTATTAAATTTAATGCTGACAGCAGTGACGAATTTATATTGCTTAACAAAACTTTCATTGTATTCATACAAAAGTTACAAATTATGTTAAGGGAATTATGTTAAAACATATAATTTTTCTTTAAGCTATTGTATAATTAAAAATTTGATAATTGCCTCTTTTCCTTTGCTGACCGCTGACCTTTGCTTTTTTTTTTTTTTTTCTAGTGAGTAAGTTGAACAAACTAAATCAATACTTAGTAAAATATCCTCTTATAATTATTAACACATTTCTAACTGTGGGAAGAGGAGTTGTCAACATACATCTATCTAAAGGTACCTCAGGATAGAATTGAGTTAACACGTCTTATATACTAGTGGTATATACTAGCGTCTTATATACTAGGAATAGGTTATTGTAGTGGTAGTCACACTACATTTCTCCCCCACCAGAATTTTATCTAGGATGGAATTCGATGTATAGGTATCACTAGTCAAATCATTGCTATTTTGCGAAAGACCGGGAGAGCTGTATTAAGTTCACCGGAGTTTGAGAGCTGATCATGACAGCTGTATTAAGTGCACGGTTGTGAAAGTGGTCACTCCTTTGTTGCTATTAGCAGTCGAGTAAATACAAGCTCCAGTGGTGTGTGATCAATACTAAGTAGCAACAGTGCGAGGAGAACAATGTCGCAGTCACAAATAGCAAGTCAACTGTTCAATGTTTACCATTTATCTAAGTAGATATTTTTATATCAAAGTGGGCGTTACTGTCAAGATAGGCGTGTTCAGATCACATCCGAAAGTCACCAATGTGTGGAGAGGAGTTATCAACAGTGTCAACTTTCATCTATCTGAGATACCTCAAGACAGAATTGAGTTAACACGCCTTATATACTAGTGAATTGAAATAGATTATTATAGTGGTAGTTACACTACACTAACACATTTTAAAAGTATAAGTAATCAATTCAGCGCTTCAAAAAAAATTAAATTTTAATGGTGACATACAGTTTCTCAATTGCTGGGAGTTGTAAAGTAATGTTATAAATATAATGTAACACTATAACTATTGATGTTTTTAGATGTTTGGAAGTGCAGCTCCCATTTTAGATATGGATGTTCAAAGCAGTTATGGTGATGCAAGCAAGGTGATTTTTATCTTTCATGTTATTCTTTTTTTGATAACTATTTAAAACTGGGGAAAATTTTCTTTCATCGGAAACTGAATTAGCGTCTTTTGTTTTTTGATACTTAATGCTAAAACTGTTTCAAATATTAGTTTAATAAAAATAGTTAATGATTAGTTTTAATTAAGTGGATTGGAAAATCATTTCTTTTAATAATCTCTTAAGAAAATTTATTCATAATAATTTTTTAAAAGTTCTTAGTATTATTTTTTTTTTTTTAAATATCAATTTTGTTGTAATTTGTGGATAATCTTTAACGATGATTTTTGAAACTCTTTACTTTAAAAATTTGCTTCAAGTTTTAGGTACTCGAACTGTGTACTTTAGTTTAAGCAATATGACAATTTTTTTTAAAACAATTGACGAGACTTTATACAATAGTTTTATACAACAGTTGATAAATAGTTTTAAAAAATATTAAAAATACCCAGTATGGCCCAATTTACTTTTAGACCTAGATAAAAATCAATAAAAACAATGAAAGATCTAATTGTTTTGTATATTTTTATGAGTTTAATCATGCAGCAATGAAATCACTTTCAAAGTATTAAATAATTAAATTGCTGACGCTTCTCACTTTCAAAAAAACTGTGGATTTTCTTTGTGTTATTTTTACATTAATCAAAGAGAGAACTGATTAGAGTTGAACTGCACCTAACGTTCATGGCCATGTTACAGATCCATAACAGCCTTAAAAATATGTTATTTATAAAGAGCATTATTTCATATGGCATAGAGATTTTATTCAGTTCGCTCTTTTTCTTTAATTATTTTCATAATTTCAGTAAATAATAGATTGTGGTTATCTTTATTTTTAAGGTTCAACCAAAAGCTTTCTTTCAACTACTGCAATCTCTGGAACAGTACGTGGTCGACCCACTGGATATTTTAGAATTAGTAGATTGTGAAAAACCCCTTCGCGCATTAGACTTTTGTTATCAAAATGATCCAGATACTCTTTCTATACTGGATGCTATCTCTCTGTGTATTACAGTGGTAGCTTATGCTGCCGATTCTCAAAGGGGTCATCAAATGCTTGTAAGTGTGTTTTTCTTGTCTTTTTTTTACGTTTTCAAAATTTATGTAAATATCAAGTTTTAAGAAAGATTAATTTTGCTCAAATGCAAAAGAAGAAAAAAAATTTATTTAAAAGGAATTTTAGAGAAGATATTTTCTTTTTTTTAATTTTTTAATTGTAGAAATATATATACCATTCCAACGAAATCATAAAACTAACTTAATCATTATAATTAATAGAAAATTTTTTAAAAAAAACAATGAAAATAATGAGAAATATAATAATTACAACTAAAATATAATATTTTTATGTCTTTCGGGGCTGTTACCCCTTGACAACGTCAGCTTTGGTTATCATTATTATATTTTTCATTTATTTATTTCTAAAATTTTCCATTGGTTTCAAATTTTCTTGTGGAATTTCTACTGCATTGTGCAACTTTCTTTTGGAATTATAGTTTTTAACTGTTTTTTACATGATTTTTGATTTCTCTTCTTATTAATTATTATAAAAGTTATTGAATGTGCCTTAGATTATTAGAGCTTGATAATTATTTCATGTAACTAGCTTTATCAGCAATTAAAGCTTTAATAGCTTCTTGGATTTTTCTGTTTCTAAAATTAATCCTGTACAGTTGCAAAGTCAATGATTGTTGTATAAAAAAGTTACAATTTATTTTAAAAGTAGCGAACAAAAGTTTTCTTTTAATTTTAAAACTATCAAAATATTTAATTTCTAGATTTCACTTTATTTTGAAAATGACATTTCCGTTTTAAAGCTAAATATTATTACTTACTAAATTGTGAAAATGCCACTGTAGTTAAAATATCTAGTTTCATCCAAAAATAAGCGGAAAATATAAGTCTCCTACCGCTATTTTATTTTTAATAAGAGGCTGTGATATGTAGGATGTTTTTAAATTTATAAATGTTTTTATTTTTTTTAATTATTGCTTAGCACGTGTTTTTACTTAAGCTTTATTCACTTTACGAATATAAAGTGAATAAAACTTTCCCCGCATTTATAAAATTCATGTTTTTTTAAAATATCTATTTTATGAACCTTTAGTGTTAACTCACACTAAAACTATCACACTAGAACTATACTTACGAAAAATGGTAAATATTTATATTTTTAATATTTTAAGCATACAGATTCTTGCTTGATTTAACTGGCATTCTTGTTTAAATATATGAAAGTTTTTATAAATTATCTTTCTAAATTTTTTTTAAAAATATTGTTACTGCCGAGCATTAAGTTTCCTTCTAAAATTATTGCCAACTGAAAAAATGTACTTTTTTTTCAGCTGTCTGTTTAAAAAAGATCAATAATTATGTAATGTACTTTTTTGTTTTTAATAGTTAATGAACACTGTTTAACAAGTTCATTATAAGTACTTAACAAAAATGGTGTTCTGAAAGGGGATTGAAGCAATGCTAAAATATTATGTCTTAAAAATTGTTCATATGCTTATATTTTTACAAGGAGGCTAACTCTTCTATACTATATAAATTTAACTATAAAATTACATTGTTTTTAAATTTTTGCTTAGTTAGAACTATTTGGAATTATTTACTTTTAGACAATTCTTGAGGCTATATTACCTTTCTACTTACGGCATCTGCAGAATCTGACTACGAAAAAGGAGACCCCTGGTGGTTCCCGATCTGAGCTGAGCATGATTCACAATATATCGATCTGTATGAAAACTCTTATTAGCAACTGTGAAGCTCTTGCCAGGTTAAATTACCTTCTGATTTCATGTTAATTTAATATTAAATATTTTATTTTGTTGCTACTTTTCTAAGTCGTGTAAATTTTCATTTGTATATAATGTCTAGAATTATTGATATTTGAATACTTTCCTATTTAACTAATTTACATTTCCTAATATATTCATTATTGGCGAAAAGTTTTACTCAGCATTATATTGTATTCCATAATTAAAATCATTGATAATGCATGTGATATTATCTTATTCAATATTTTACATTTTCGGTAATGATCCTGATATTATTTTGTTTCATAATTTTCATTATCGATGATATGCATTTATCCAAGTCAATATTGATCTTGATAGTATCCTCCTTAGTGTTTATAAGAAATTTGATATTTATTGTCCGACTAGACATTTGTGATACATCGTAAGAATACTTTTTAAAATGTTGTTATAATGATGTTTAAAAAATATTGATATTTAACAATATATTGCTCAGCTCTAATGACAACCCTTGGTAGATATTGCAATTTTTAAGTAATAAAAAATATCAATATAAATATTAATTCGTTTAAACAATTAATTATCTTCTTTAAATTATGTATAGTGTCATTCAAAACTCTTCTATTGTAAAAGAAAATACTGCTATAATTTTCTACAGAAAAAAATTTTTTTTTTCAGTGCACTTCATTTTTGTGTAACTATTAGCCCTGTAATATATATTGACTAATTTAACAATCATACACAAAATAATGATTCAGAATCTACAGATTGAGAAAGGCAAATTTATTTGACACACACAAGTTATTGATAACACAGAAGAAAAAAATTATTGATTAAAACACTTTACTGCACTAAATATTGTATGCAAAATTTTTGATATTTAGTTTGAAAGAAACTTTAATAATAACTGATATATTTGTAATTAATAATTAAAGCTTTTTATTTCTTATGAAACTAAAGAATGCTTCATAGTGCAAATTATTATTTTTAAAGTTTAAAGAGCTCTCTTCAAACCCTTTAGTGTTACAGCTATATTTTTATGTATGTTGTGATATTACGATGTTTTAAATTTATTAGCTTTTTTAATCTCACTAATGTTTAAATTTTTACTTCACTGGTGTAAAAAAATATTTTACCCATTTCTTTTGTTATTGAGTGTTCTGTAATCACTGCCCTTAATATAAATTTTTAAAATCTTTCTCAAAAATGAATTTAAAAAATTAATAATTAATGGAAGAAGATGAAAAGTATCAAAACTATTTTTATATTTTTTGATGAAACAAGGAGACATTTGAAATAATATTTTTATAATCCCTTGTGTTTTCTCTGGCAGCTTTGATTCAAACAGCTTTTGATGCTTACAGTCAGTAGTAATTCATAGCTGTTTTCTTTTTTCCGAATTATTTTGCGATAGGTAACATGTGCTCTTTTTACTTCATTTTTGATGAGGATTCTAAAATTATATAATAAGGGTATTTATTAGGGAACATTCTACTTGCATTGAATATAGGATGATCCTTAATGAATGTCCTTTTGTATTTTTCTTTTTTGTTTTGTTCTGACATCGGCAAACATGTAGGAACTACACAGGACCACAGCGTACAACTGATTTACGTGGATCCAGTATCAAAAATATGTCAAGAGGAGCTTATTCTCCTCCGTATGAAGTAGATGACGATAGCCAATCTAAGTAAGAAAAAAAAATTTTGTTCATATAAATTATTGCCGTTATTTGAAATTACAGTTTGGTTGAATATTGTTGTCTTTTTATGTCATTACATGTAATTTATGCATAAATACTTCATATCATTTTAATTAAAATTTATTAGTGTGTTGAAGTACTTTCTATGCATGCATAGAAAGTAGATAAGGTAAGTAAAGATAAGGTTAAGCTGCAGACATAAACCTAGTCCCCATTACTACGTGGAAGACATACAATCTTTCAAGATAAAATGTTCATACCTCAAATATATTTTAATGTAATAAAATAAATGTCTAAAATTTTTTGCAGGAACTTAAATATATTAAGATATATTTTAGATATATTTTATTATAATTTTTATCATTTTTGCGTCAATATTTTTAGTTACTAAACATCATTTCGTAAACAAAAAGGTTGATAAATTTTTTGTATACTACATTAGTAACTTTTATTGCCATTGTGTTTCCAATATTGCCTCATAATCTTATATTCAATTAAAAAATATTTTGCTGTATGAGTTACTTTTATTTATCTGCATGTTCATATTTGCTTATAAATAATATTTTTTTCTTTCAGATTTATGACTGACAGCTATTATAGTTCGCGCAAACCACTTACACAACCACAATATGATCGCCCAGCTGGAGACACTGACATTATGAAAACTGAATTTCGTCGTCCCAGAGATATTTTACTCAGTGTTGTATCAGAATTCCTTACTATATGCTCTGCTAGACTTGCAGAACTGGCAAAAATAATAAAAGATCTTTCCAGCAAAGCAACAGAATTGTTGGATCAAAAATGTCATTTTGTGAGTATTTCTATCTATGCTTTGAATATATTTATGTTTTATAATAGTTTGAATAAACTCTAGTATACTACTTCACTAAAAAATTTTAATCACTCTTTTAAAAATCTAAAAACTAATAAAAAACAACTTTGAAAGCACAGACTAAAAAAGATTGAGGTCAGGTAGCAACAATTAGGATTTTTCAACCTAGCTTATTATGAATTTGTGCACTAATAATCATATCAATTAAACGAAACTTCCATTTGTTAGTCTTGCTATGTTAATCTTACACTAATAGTTTTCTATTTTAATAGCAATTTAATTTTATTTAATTGAAATTTTATGTTATTAACATGTTATTCACAGTTAATAGGAACATTTCCCAAATGCTATATATATATTTTTATTTTTTTATTAGTAATAAATTGATTCTTTTTTTAAAAACTGTTACAAGTTATTGTTATTCAGATATTTCTAAATTTGATATCCGCCATCCCTAGCATTTCAAAATTATTATATTCATAAATTTCTAGCGTATTCTTTAAATTTTTTAAAAAAATGTTCTTCTTTTTTACAATTTTTGTATATATAATGTAATGGAACTTTGGTAGGTATGCCAAATTTATAATGAATAAGGTTAAATTTAATATACTTTACATTTTGCAATAATTTTATTACAATGCACAATTTCTTCATAGCAAATCCGTATACATTTCATTATAACAGCACTTTATCCTTACATTTTCATTAATGCTTTTTACAACAAAAAGTTTTTTTTTAGTTGTTTGACTGCCTTAGGTGCTGAAATTTCTTAATTATATTTATTCAAATATCCAAATTGATGTTACTAGATTCAATCCGAAAAATAAAATATTCCTATCATGGAGAAAATTAGTTTCTTTTGGAGGGAAGCAGAAAAAAAATTACAAATAGCGTTTAAAGTTAATGACTATACTAACAATTTCTACATTTGTGCAATATTTTCTTTTTCCTTGTTTTTTAGTTATGAATGTTAAAAAGTTACTTATGAGTGTAGTTCATTATCTTCCTGCTAGCTAACTTTATATTGCAATATTTATTCTGATTATTTTATGTATATTCTAAACTTATATAAATATGTTTAATTTCAGAGATTAGCTGAAGTGGCTCACAGTCTTTTGAAATTTGCACCATATGATCCAATTACAATGTCTTGCCGAGGTTTGCAGCGTTACATGAATGAAGTATTGCCTCATTCTGAGTGGGCACAGGAAACAATGCGACCAGCCCTCATAATGGTCTTGCGTCGGATCGATAAGACTTTTAACAAGATTGCTAAAAAGCCCGCTATTCGAGTAAGTCTATTAGGAATTTGGTTGTTATTTAACACAATTGTTATTTATTGTTATTCGGTACAATTGTTATTTACTGTACATATAGGGGAGAGTCGGGTAGCCCCGCCCACTGTCAATTTCATATGTATAGAATATTTTTTCAAGTCAATGGGCCATCGTACATTAATTGTTATATTAAAAGAAGATTATTTTCAAAGTTTCAAGTATTTATGCAGCTGTTAACATGGTAAGGAATAGTTTTGAAAATAAGTGTGATAGTCATGAAATTAAGAAAAATTTGTTGAATGTTTCGATTAAACTTCATTTTAATACTAAAAAAATAATTTTTTCTATACATACAGCATTAAAGTATGTAGTCTTAAGTTTAATTTGCACAAAGTAAGAAGTTTATGTGTGAAAAATTGTTCGAGTAATTACAAATTTACAAAAAAATTAGATTTCGGGGAGCCCCGCTCACATGAATGTCGGATATCACCGCACAATTTTATTTCGTCGATAAATGTACGGTTGCAAAGATTATTATTTTATTGCTTCAAATTTGAATGTTATATGCATTTTTAGCAACAAATATTGTTGTTATTAAATTATGGAATTCACTAAAAGTATATAAATATGTAATAAATAAAATAATTTTGTGATAAAAATGATAAATAAGGTTTATCTATTGTCAATACATTGGTCATTTTCCTTTACACCTGAAAAAACAGTCAAAAAACATAATTTTTGTAACTGGGCGGTGCTACTCGACACATTTTGAAAAGAGTTGAAAAATATGTTTTTTTAAATTTCTATTTTTTTAAGTTAAACTATTCTTTTTTTGGTTTATTCTTTTTGCATTATTTAATTAGATGATAAAACAATCGAAACATACAAAACTATTGAATATTACTCAATATTATACAGAAATATAAGCAATACTCCTTAAGTGGGCGGGGCTACCCGACTCTCCCCTACATCTTTTGTTTTCAATAATTTTAAAAGAGAAAACTTCATTTTTTAAGGGAATTTTTCCAATACGTTTTGGATAATATCTCAAGCAACTATTTTAAGATTGTTAAATTTAATTAAATGGAGAAACTTCATATAAAATATTAATCAACTAATTGATTTAGTTTATTTTATAGACTTTTAATGCTACTTAAATAAGATTATCATATTATCTATTTATTAGATTATCATAATTAACATAAAAGCAAGACCTGATTAAATGCTGTCCTCTCAGTTCCTTATATGCACTACTTTGAAGTGAAATTCTTCGATTTATTAATGTTCCCTTTTTATAGACGATTCGTTGACGATTGTTTTATAATGATGGACAATTCTGGCATTAATCACATTCTCAATATTATGAATTCCATAGATCATTGTGTACAATTCTTAGTTGAACAAGAAAATAATAAGTGTTTACCTTTCTTAGAAGTTCTTATTTCTCATAATTGCAATAAATTTCTCACTACTATTTATCAGAAACCATTTGAAAAAAGGATTATTGCATTTAGTAAAAAATTGAAATTTAAATTAAAATTTAATAGAATTACATTTCCATATTTATTTCCTATTGTTAAATTTCATAAATGTCCGGTCAAATTTAGGTTTATTGCGTGTGGTACTGATTGTTACAATTCTGTTATTAGTAAAAAGTTATTTAATTTTCTTAAAATTATTTTACTTAAAATTAAAAAAGAGAAAAATATCGTTATAAAAAGTAACGTTGATGTTTTGGACTATATTAATAATAATGTTATTTCTAGTAGTAATACTTTTGATTTTGAAAATTTGTTGAAACAGATTGTTGAAATTTGTAGTGGCATATATGATAAGTATTTAATTAATGAGAAAATTGATAAATCTTATTGGTTAGATTTATGCAGGTTTAATCTTTTTGAGAATATACTTTTTAATGGTTTAGATTTTTATAAACAAATTATTAGAATTCCACTAAGTAATTTCTTTTCTGGTTCTTTTGTTAATGTTTTTTTACATTTTTTTGAAGCTAAATTTCCGGAGTATAGTGATTTTAATGCATTTAGATATATTGATGATTTGATTTTGTTTAATTGTGATAATTATGCTTTTATTTATAGCATTCATCCTAAAGATTTGGTTTTGAAAAAAACTAATGAGAATTGCTTAAATGTTGAATATTTAGATTTTAAAATTGATATTGTTGATAAAATAATTAAAATTGGTGATTTTGATTAACGAAAAGCTTTTAAATTTGAAGTTATTTTTTTCTATAACTTTAATACTAATTTGTGCAATAAAATTTTCAAAAATTTGTTTTTTTAGCAAATGTTTAGAATTAAAAAAATTTGCAATAATGTTGAAAGTTTTTGGGAGGCTGCGAATAATTTTGTGAATAATTTGAGTAATAATGATTTTCCTTATAATTATTGTAATGTTAATTTTTTGATTAGGAAAATGATTGAGAAATACTAATTTATTTTAACAGGGCGAAATTAAAGTCTTGACTGAGCAGCCCCAGTTGAGCATTTCATTAATCTGTTTTGTAATCTACTTTTACTATCCTTTTTCCCTACTGCGCATTTTATAGAGGGCGTTTTCTTTTGTTTCAAATGTTTCTTTCACATTTAATTAGTTTGTGAGATTGCTGTTTGACCGGTTTGCTGTAAGTTTTTATTTCTTCACTTTTATATTATATTCTCAAGTTTTTGTTTGAAATTTCTCTTCTTATTTGATTTTATGTATTTCTTGTATTTCTCCCTGGACTTTTACAAAACCTTCGGGGTACTAAGAGAGCTAATTTTGACATTTGTCCACTTTATTTATACACACAATAGAAAAGGTTTTGTTCTGTGGCTTCCAGACCTGGTACTCACTGAAGATGTCGGCTTCAGTGGCCATATTTTTATTTTATTTCCATTTTTTTTTATTGCTTCAATTAGTCTTTCTTTTGAAAGTTCTGCTACTTATAAGCTCGTTGCTTTCAAAGAAAGTTCTGTTATTATAGAATTTTATATTTTGTATTCTTTTACTTCATATAGTTACCTATTCAAAGAAGAGCTCCTTCACTTTAAAGCTATCACAGTAGACTGCAGTTTCCTTCTACTATTATTGTTTCCATCTACAGAAAATTAATCTTTCATACCATCAAACTCTCTAATTTGAATTTTAACAATTTGATTGCTTTGCCTTGTTATCGAAAAATAAGTTCCCAAATTGCTACGATTATGAATAAATTTAAGTTTAAAGTAATTTTTTCCCTATGAATAAACTAAATTTCATGAAAATTGAAGACCATATTGCTGATATTAATTGCTAGAGTATTTATCAAAATCATGTTAATGTGTTCTTGGAAATTTCCTATGTTCAACTCAACTATAGCTAAAAAGGCATTTCATTGTATTTTTCCTTAATTATGATTATTCGTTTATTTTTTTAATGTTGCATTAACTTTTTCATATTTACTGTAATAAGCATAACACAAGTTTTCCTTTAATGTTAAGCTTAAACAAGTTTCCTCACAGTTTTATTCAAATGTTCATATTTTAGCGTTCAACCGATTGGAATGCTGCAAATGCTGCATTAACTTTTTTATATTTACTGTAATAAGCATAGCACACGTTTTACTTTAATGTTATGCTTAAACAATTTTCCTCTCAGTTTTATTCAAATGTTCATATTTTAGCGTTCAACCGATTGGAATGCTGCAAGATCCCTCCTAAAAGGTAAATATACAGCATTCTTCTTTGTTTTACACTTTTCTTACAATATTTATGTCAATTTATATTTGTATTACATATACTTATATTCTGTTAAAAGGTGTGTACCTCACATTATATAGACACCCGTACATAGTACATCTTCCTCATCTAAAAGTAAGCATATTTATTTTTATGAAATATTTGAATGTTTCTATTCACTTTAAATATTTTTTATCTGATCAATGTTATAAAAAAATGTGTGTTAATTTTTCTCTAAATAAAAAATTTGGATAAAATTGAAATAAAGTGTAACAATTATTTTTTAGTTTATATTACTTTTACTTAAACTTGTTATCCTTCTGTTCTTCTAAATGTTATTACATGAAAATGATATATAATGAGCAAATTACGAACTCTTCCAGGTAATTAATGTTGTAAGGGTTTTGAAAATTGCTAAAATTCTACACACGGCCAATTATCATTTTTTTCTTTTCTTCTTTTTTTTTTTAATTTTAGAATAAAAATTCAAATAACATATATTTTAAATAAGTCAGTACTGATTAATGTTGTGTGAGATTTTAAAAAAAACTTGTTTGAACGTTATCTAGTGTGAATTAATATAAATTAGATATAGTTTTTTTTTTCGCATTGGAAATTAATGTTGTAAATTAGTCGAAATCTCTTTTGCTTTTTAAATCAAATTCCAAAAGTATTTTTGTTTTTTACATAAACTGTTTGCAAAGTATGGTACTTTGTTAAAATTCTAAACATAAGTTTTGCTAAACTACTGAACGAAAAAAATTCTTTAGCTCCTATTTTTTTCTTTGAAGATAGGTGCATGTTTTAAAACCAATGAATGTAACAAAGTGTTTTTTTTTTTCTAAACTTTTAGTCTCTTGTGAGTTGCTGTCAAAGTATTATTCTTGGTGACCAAAGTACTCTAGCTGAAAGTTCTAGCAACCTTCCTTCCTCTTCCTCTGTTATGAATCAATCCCCACCCCCTGGATTTTGCTCTGTCGTTGTTCGTCTTATTGCTATGCAGATGATTGCATTAGGGGTAAGTTCTGCTCAGGTCCCTCATAATGATTCTGATTAAATTACAGCATGACCCAATTATGTAATTCCATTCTTGAGAAGATTTCAAAAATTTAATTTTGATGAAGCGTTACGTTTGGCTCAGTGTTATAAATGCATAAGATTATACTCTTTTAGCTAGAAATTATATCCCCCAAGAAATTCTTTCCCCCTATTTCCCCCGATTTAGTGAGGGAAAAAATTCAAGAAGCAAGATATATATATATATGATGTCAGAAAAAAAAACAATTTTAAAGCAAAAAAAAAAAAAAAAAAAAAAAAAAAAAAAAAAAAAAAAAAAAAGAAGAAAAAAGATCAGTGAATGTAGTAACTCAGAAAAAGAAGATTTACTTAAAATACTGATCTGAACTATAATGATGTAGATTCATATTCCCTTCTTACTATAAGATAATCTGAAAGCGATTCCTATGAGTTGTTTTTCCTTAGTAAAATTTTTGCACTTTTCTTAAATTTGGATTTAGCAAGTGAACTGATTTAATGAACATTAAGTACAGGTCTTAGGAAAGTTTGAATTCAGCTTTTTCTAATTTTTATATTCTTACATACAATAATTGATTTGTTAATTGTGATTATGATGTTATTTCACATTTTGAATTTTATTTCCGATGATGTTTACATTCAAAATTACTTTAATTTCTTAGATTTAGTGTTTAAAAAAGTTTCTGTTTAGAGCTGACATTTTTTGTAGTTAGCAATTTTTCTTAAGGCCATAATGTGGATCTTTTTTTTAAAATAGATTTTTAAAAATAAGTTACAAATTAGAATTTGTTTTTAATTTTAGTAACGCATATTTTAAATATTGGTGACAAAATAACATTGAAAAAAGGCTAAATCAAATTGTCATTTACTTGCTCAATAACTTTTGGTTGAATTGTTCTTAACAATGCTGTTAAAATTCTGTAATAAAAACAATGAAATCTCATAGTTTTTAAAAAATTTGCATTTGCATTGCTATTACATATATTTCCCATATTTTTCACTTTTTTTCCAATTGTTTTTTTGGTAATATTATTGGTTACATTTATATGTTTTTGAAAAAAATATTAGTTGTAAAAAATAGTTGTTCTCTTTTTTATAATATCAGTTTTCATTATTATTGCTCCATTATTTAGCAAAAATATGTCCAGATGCTGTATTTTAGTTTAATTTTTTTAATATAGTAATTTTTCCCCCATTCCTCTTCATTCAATGAAGATAATAGATTGCAAAGTGAAAACTTTTTTTGTAGTAGATGTAAAAATTAATTTTTAATGTATAAATGAAATTGAAGCATGTTTTGTGTATCAAAATGTAGGAATCCCAATCATTAGAGACTGTTTGTGGTGGAACTTCTGCTTTCTCCAGCCCTGAAAAACTAGAAATATATTTAATGAATTTGATTCTTCCCCTCTGTATTAGAATTAGTAGCAGCATAAAAGGTAATTCACTTGTAAAGTTCTATTTTATGTATAAATAATAGTGTCATTCTAGCTCTTGCAATGAAACTTTTGATGCAACCTATTATTTACTTATTTTATTTATCAAAGTCATGATGAAATAAATATTTTTCAGCTTAGTATTTATTTCTCGCTTTTAATTACATCTCATGACAATGTCTTTTTGTTAATATTCTGTTGTTGTTTTTAAAAATAAATTTTTTTTGTTTGCACTTAAACTTTTGTGATGAAGTGTATTTTAATACGAAATTCAATATATTTAAATTAGAATGCACATAAAAGCAAATAAATTTATTCTATATTGAGAACTCTTCACTTCAAAATATTTTATAAACTGTGTCTTACACTTTACTTAAATTAGAACAAACTAATATGTTTCTTGTTCATTATTTGTTCTTAAAAGAAGTATAGTAAAATAGATTCATTTAAACAAAAGTTTTGATCCACTTTTATTTCGTTTTAAACCACTTACATTTGGTTTTTATTTTATTGTTTCATTTATCTACTTTGTCACATCTGTGATTATAATTTTATTTAAATTAATTTAAATTCTTTATCATTACCTACTTAATAATTTTGTTCATCACATAACACATTTTGAACATTATTTAGCAATTTAAGATTTTTTTTTNTGTCGGTATTGCAGATAAAGTTCGATAAACAAATTCGTAAATTAAAATCCATATTAATAAAAGTGTAAAAAAAAAATATTCAAGAAAATTTCAGCATATATTTTGAAAAGAGGGGAGGAGTGGGGGAAGGAGGGGAGGGCCCAAAAACGGCTATGCCTAGGGCCTACGAAAGGTATAATCCGGCTATGTGCCTAGGGCCTACGAAAGGTATAATCCGGCTCTGCCTACTTAATAATTTTGTTCATTACATAACACATTTTGAACATTATTTAGCGATTTAAGATTTTTTTTTAATAACTGCAAATATATATTCAACTAGTTTTTAAATAATATAGTTTTACAGTTCACAATTTTATGCACTATACTGCACTGTGTTCTATAATATATGTTAGCATTTTTAACATTAATGGTAAGTCCCTGATTTAAACTGGTTAGTATGGATATATAATTGTATTATCTATTTACTTTTAAGATTTCTCTTTAATTTATGATTTAAATATTTTTTTTAGCATTATTAGACAGTGCATTTTAGGTTTTGATTTATGTTCTTATGTTAGCTGCTTGCTGTCAACTCATTAAAATACATGAAGAACTGAAATATTGTTTTTTAGATGTTCCTAAACTTCGACATAATGATATTGCATTTGCTTTGACCATGGTGCTGCATGCTTTAGCGCCTGTTTCACCACAAAGTAGCTCTTCAGCTAAAGGGGCTTCAGACAGCAGTAATTTTGGCAAATCTCCAAATAGATCAAAAATGTTTCTTTTTCATATTGGTTTCGTTGGTAAGTATTTATTTTGTAGTGTAATATTTTATGATCATTCTTACTAACATGGAACTGTACCATGAAGATATACTAAGTTTCTAAACTAGACTGACAGTTTTAAAAAATTTATTACGGGAAATCAGGAATTTTTATAAATTGGATTAGTAATTACTTCATTGAGTACATTAATATACTCTTACAAATGTTTTCTAAATGTTTCTTGGATTAATATTTGTAACAATGTGATTAACTGATTCTCGAAAATTTAGAATTTATTTTTTGTAAAAAATATAGTATTAAATTATTTTAGATTGATTTATATTTCACATTTTCAACTTTTCCATAATTAAGAATCTGTAAATTTGTTATTAAAAACCAATATGCACCTTATAATTAGCTATGTCAATTAATTTCTTTTTTTTTTCAGGACTGAAAGTTTTACTTGTCTGTTTTGAGAAACAGCTTTCTAATGACTGGCATCGAATTGCTGGTTGCATTCGAGAACTCGGAAACAGAATGCAAGGTAAATGTGATTGGTGTATTTTCTTAAATCCAATCCATATTTATTATTTTTTCTATACTTTGTATATTTTTCATTTTGAAATTAAAGTTTTTAGATTTTTAAACCCAATATGAAAATTGAAAATTACTGCTATTTATGCTTGAACCTTCTTTTATTTGTTATTAAATATATTCTCCTTTTTTATAGGTGGCTTAGGCTTGTGGAATTTTATTGATTTTATTGTTAGCCATCGCACACCTTTATATGTATTATTATATCCGATGATCAAATGTAGAGTAAGTTTTGAAATTGCATTTTTTATTCAACATTTTTTCCTTTTAATAATTTCAATTCACATAGAAGTTTAAGTTTAGAAGAAGAGTAGAATTGCTCTCAGGAAAATGTAATGCCTTTTTTATTGGTATTTATTTTCCTGAAATATTCTTTTTTCTAAGAATTTTACTTAAGATAAATTTTTTTACCATACTTGATTATAAATTAACAATCCGTTGGATTATCTGCATCAAATTACACAAAACCATGGACTATTGCTTGCTTAATTACGCTCTGCTTATGTTTTAAGTTTAGAAGAAGTTAGAATTGCTGTCTGGAAAATGTAATGCCTATTTATTTACTATTTATTGTCCTGAAATATTCATTTTTATAAGGATTTTGGTTAAAATACATTTTTTTTTACAATATTTTAATTCTAATTTATTATAAATTATCAATCCGTTACATTATCCACACCAAATTACATTTCTGGTGAAATCATGTTGCTTTGGATATAGAGACTTACTTCTGTTTGCTTGAAATATGCTATGCAAATGTAATTTGAATTGGCTATTGTATCCCAATATATGTGTCACATTTAGAATTGCTTTTACTTGTGAAACAACTACTTTTGCCTACGAACGCAACACAGGAAAAAGTTGAATTATGCAAATTATTAAGTTAGGAACTATGCTTACAAATTATTTATAGTTAATCGTGTCTTTTTGCACTGAAAATGAAAAGGACTGTTTACTTTTTTTACTTTAAAACTTGTTTAGCCACCCCTCAAGGTATCACATTATTTAATATTCTTCTTGCTGCTAGTCATCTATGTTGTTTGCAATTCATCTGTTTACTTCTATTGTACAGGCACAAAGCTTGTTAAAGCATAAAAGCAGCTCAGCTTTTGTTGTTTTGTAAACGTAATACAATAAAATATAATAAATAAATATTACCATTATTATTTAAAATTTCATTTGTTAATCTTGTAAGTGTTTCATATTTTTAGATGCTTAATACTATTTGTGACAACGAACAAGAATATTCTTTCCAACAAAGAATCAAAGGCAAACTTAATGGTCAAAATTTGCCGGTAGCAAAGAGTCATGGTGCCTTGTATGTTAACATGGTTCAAGAGCTGAAATCATTAAAAGAAGATTTAATTTCTTGGAAAATAGGTGTGTGTTTATTACTTCTGTTTGAATTTCTTTTGATTGTTTTTATATTAATGCATTTGACTCAGAATTTATTGCACGTTCATATGGCAGATTGATAATAAATAATTTTGTATGTTTTCATTAATATGAAATCAAGAAAGATTTTTGGGCTCTTTAAAGTTGTATTTTTGAAAGTTTATTTAAGAATGTAATCATGTAGAATTAAAGTATGTATTAAGAATGTAAGAATTTTTCGAGGTCTGGTATGTGTGATTATGTTGATTTATTTCATTAGGTTAAAATGAAAATTTATTGTAGGGGGAGGTAAAGTGGAACGATTAAAATCTACTGTATCAACTGATCACAGTAGCGATACTTCTCAACAAGCAGGATTCTTATATCAGATGTCTAGAAAAAGTGAACACTCTGGCCTAAATGATCCCTCCGATAAACCTGATATTACCGTAGAAATACCTGTTCCTGTGTCTCGTAAAGCTAGTACTCCTCTCATTAGTAAGCAATTATTTCTTGAAATATTTTAATCTTTATAATTTAATTTCATTTTATTTAAATTTTTCATAATTGATTTTTTACTTCGAGAAGATCATTAATTTTAAGTTGTCAACAAACACAATTTTTTAAAATTAACCTCTTAAATTGCTTTTTACTTTGTAGAAATTAAATATATCTAGTTAAGTGTATCCAAGCAGTTGACATTTGTGCTCAAGTCTTACTTTTTGTTAAACTTTTGTGTTTTTATATTTTCTCATATTTGATTCAAAAGAAACTATGGGAATTACCGTAAATAAGGGGGGGGGGGAATTTTTGTTATGATTATTCATTTATTTATTGGAAGTGCTCATAAGATAATTCTGACCTTTATAAAACCATGAAATTTAAATTTATTACTAATCTTAAACTTATATGTGTATATTTTTTAGTGCTTGTAAAACTTTCTTTAAAAAAATTTTTTTTGCTGCTTTAACTAATCACTTTCTTTCACAGGAGGTATGTCTACAGACAGCTCATTACATCCACAGATCACAGAAGGAGAGACGAGCACCTTTACGAATATCGGCAAGCATATTCATAAGGGACTAAGTATTAAATTCAGCTCTGGCAGTGGGAGCCGACAAGTATTGAGACAGCTGCTTCGTCGTAGTAGTTATCCTTACCCAGAAGACGATAGCAGCACCGCCGAAGGTACTCAACTTTTCCCAAACTCTAGTTCACTTTCATCATTTATAAGGCTAATATTTTCTTAGTAATGCTATGTTTAAATATTTTTGAGAATTACATTAATTTATAAAAGGAAACTCCTTTACCTTATCACTTGAATTGATTTCGATCATTTTTTAACTGGAAGATGGGGGAAGATTTTTCAAACGTTTATTTACTGTGACTATGAACTTAAATTTCTGTTTTTAAAAATAAACGAATTTATTAATCCTGTGTTTATAAATATATAAACTGGATGAATAATGATCAAATGAACTAACACATTATGCACTAGAGAAAACATCTGCCCATTGTCAGTGTTTCTTCTTGGATCCACCCTAAGCTTTACTGTTAGCTGCATTTCTGTAAACAAACCCCTTTTCAGCGAAATATTTTTCCCAATTTTCTGAAGTTTTATCAAGAAATGGAAGTGTACTTTCCTCAACTTTATAAAAGGTTAACTAAAAAAAAAGTTAAAACTATATCGCCATTTTTCAAATTTAAAACATTTGCAAAATCATCAGATATTGATTTTTTAATTGTTAAATATATGTGTATATATTTATAGAGCTGTCAACTTTCTATGCTTTGTGGGAAAATTTCTTCTAGTAGTGGCAAAGTTTATATTTTAATATAAGATTCTTTATTTATTAAATATGATTTAAAATTATAACATGTGAGTGATTCGAAAGCTCGTATAAAATGTCACTTTGTTCCGGGTCTTTCGAAGTGAGGCTTTCAACATCAGCAAAACAACTCAATATTCTAAAAGCTTTAGTTTTTGGTTGTCTACCATTCTATATAAGGTGGCAGCGCTATATTTAATGAATGACAATTATTGAAGCTGTGTGAAAAGGACTTTTGTGGCATTGGTGATATTTGAATGTAGGGCATGTTAAGATTCATTTTTAAAAATAATAAATAAAAAATCTATTCTTCTTGTTATTTAGCTCTTGAAAAAATTATTTTCTTTCTTTTTTATCGATACCTTATTTTATCTGATTTCACTTGTAGAAGGATTAAGTGGAAAGTTGCCTGCAGTATCTGAACCGAGATTGTGGAGAAAGAGCACTTTCCATATGAAACGTGGTGGGAGTAAAAAAGGTAAAGTCGGTAGCGGCAGTAGCCTCACGTCGGTGGGGACGACCAGGCAAACAGAAGAGCAAGACTCACCTGGGGATCAAAGTATGAACTAATTTTTATTTTGATTGTACAAATTTTTCATGAATTACTATTGCTTATTTAATCATTCCATAACAAAATTAAGTTTAAATTACCAAATTCAAATGTTTGAGCACACAGTAGAATAGAATAAAGTTAAGTCAGGAGTTAGATCCTGGACTCAAATATATTTCCAGAGGTGCAAACTAACGCGATTTCATAGTCTAACTTATGGTCTTACAGCTGAGAAATAAAAATTATGTTTTTTGAGTATTTCCCTTATAATCTGTTTAAAATAAGTTTTTTTTCCCTTTAATTTATTCTCATGAAGGGAAAGTGACAGTTATGATAATAAAACAAGATAATTATTTTATTAAGATTTAAGAAATTTTGTTGTTTGCATCTAATCTGCAATATATTTTTTTCTATTCTTTTAACATTCTGAAAACAATAAATAATTACAAAAAATGATTTGATGGAAACAATAAATTAAAGATATAAAGAAATCTCATATTTTCCTCTTCCAACAAGCTATTCTAAAACTTTTTAGAACTTCAAATACTGGATGGTAAAACGGTAATAAGGCTGGTTCTAATTTAACCAAAATTAAAATATTGATCCCAAGCAATCAATATAATTTTACAGTGAAGTATAAAATTTCACTGTTTTTTAATTTAATACTTTTATCTAAGTGTTGTAAATTCATGCATAATTGTAATAATGTTATAGACCTACATAGCTGTATATACTTCTGTGTTATTGTACTTTTGTTACTGATAACTAGCTTGGAAAGCTGTCATCTGTGTATTTCCTCAAGAAACAATACAATTGTTAATACAGTTACTGTTAACAACATTAAAATTCAGGGGTAAGAAGGCAAGTACCCCAATGTTTTGAAAATATATTCTGTTAGAAATATAGTTGTTTTAATGTGAAAAAAGAGTATTTCATTACACTTGCTGAAATGAGTTCATTTAACAAAAACTCATTATTTAGTGTATAAAATCTCAGAGTTCATTTAGTTTTTTGTTAAAAAGCAAAACAACTCATTTGACATTATCATTTGTTCTATTTATTTCATTTCTGATGCAGTATCTTGATTTTTATAAATTAATGTTTAGTACTTAATACGTGGTAACTCTTATCTTCAAAAAATTCAACTGCTCAACTTAAAATTCCTTCAGCTGAGAAAGAAAGTCAAAGGAGAGAGAAAAAAAAATTAATCCCTTTGCCACCGGAATTTTTTTTTCTTTCTTTCCCCGAATTTTAGAGCCAAAAAAGCATTTTTTATTGCTGAAAATTAATATATTTTCTATCCTAAATTCGAAAATGCAAAATATTTTTGTCAGAACCAGTTATTTGCTTGACCTATTGGTGGTGAAATATGTAATGTCTTGTTCACTAATCTCCAGTTTTCCCTGCAAGTTTTGTCTTAAAAAAATACACTGTGATAACATATTTATTAACTCTATTGCCTTAAGGTGTTTAAGATAAATATCTGCATAATCTGAATATTAAAATTAGGTAAAACATAATAATAATTTCCCAACTTACTAAGTTTCCAACCAAAATAATTTTGTAACACTAATGAAAGTGAAATTACAGGAAGTACAAAATGATTTTGATTTCAATTTCAGGCAGGAAATCTCACTGCGAAAATTGTGAAGAAAGTGGGACTAGTTGCAACAACTTTTAGCAATACTCAGAAATACAAAAATAATCGTTGGATTTAAAGAGACGTGTAGATAGCGATAAATTTTATTTCAATGATGCAATTTTTGTCTTCTTTACATGGCATGAGATGCCGACCACACAGGCACAAAAACGCTGAATATATGAGATTCAAGGCTGACAGAGAAAGGGTTAAAAGCTTTTTGTTTGTAAAGTACATTTTTCCTTATCTAAAAACTTTTGGAGTTCATAACGAGAATAAAAAAGGTTTTTTTTCATGGAAAATAATTATTTTACCTGATGTAATAAGATGTTTCTGAAATCTAAATTTTAATTGTCAAACTAGTTATTAAATAATTATGATGGACTATGCTGCAAAAAATATTTTAAAGTTCATAGAAATGCAAAATTACTTGAAATTTTCCACTGGTCCACTATGACCAATTAATATTTATTGCAATATAATGTGTCGATCATTTACTGATGCACATATAAATGCAAGAATTTTTGGGTTATTTTTTATATCAGTTTCTAATAACTATTAAATTAATTAAAACAGATTTATCTAATAGAAATTTGTTATTGACTTAATTATTATCTGTGATCTTTAAGGTTTTATCTACTGTTTAAAAGTGTCAAGTTGCATTTCAGTTGAAAGAAATTTTTCAAACACGTGTTTGTATCAAACATTCAAAACACTCATAATTTTATGTCATATGTAATTCGAACTTATCCAAAGAAAAACTAATTTTTTCTGTTAAAACTGTAAAAATATTACTTGTTTTGTTTTCAATTGAGAAATTAATACATTTTCCTGATCATACTATCATAGGTGTAGCATGAAAGAAATTTTTGTGAGGACACAATTTTTTTTAAGGAGATAGTTCGGATAGTTATATATATATATATATATATTCGNATAAAATAAAAAAATTTCTAAGTGTAATAATCTGTGGCTTTTCAATATTATGCATTTTTTTTTGTAATGTGGTCTCCAAAAAAAATTAAACGAGAACTTATTCACTATTATCACAAATAACATAAAAGTAACATTTTTAATAAATATCAATATATTTTATACAAATTAATCTATAATTTCAGCTGATTCTGTGAGTCAACCCCCGTCTTGCCCAACCAGTCCGGTCGGGGGAGTCCAGTCGCCGGATCCGGATTCGGACACTCACTTACCGAGGCACCGCCTCCAGCGACAGAAGGCTCCAAGCCGCAAGACTTTCCGTTATCGGAAATCTCACCGAGGAGCAGGGTGGGCAGCCCACACCGAAGCTGATGAAGAGAGTGGGGGAGAATCCATTGCTATGATGCCAACCAAAACTCAACTTCCTCTCACTGAAGAAGACAATCCCAACGTATTGCCCCAAGTAGCATTCATACAAAAACACAATGTGAGTATTTCTTTTACGCTCTTTTCAAAAAATAAGACATTTCATAAATTATTTTATAAATTATTGATTTTCATCCATTAGCTAGGTAATAAAGCATAATTCCTATGTGAAATGATTTCTAAGGAAAAATGTTGTAATATGTTGTTTGTTTTTTTTTCATCTTGAAACCAATATTAGCAACCTTTAAAGAGTAATAAAAAGAGAAAGCAAAAAGTCATGTATACAGCAGTTAATTACAATTCCAAAGGAAAGTTGCATAATGCAGTAGGAATTCCATAAGAAAATTGAAACCAATAGCAAATTTTAAAGAAAAAAGTAACAAAGATATAAAAATGACAACCGAAGCTGGCGTCGTCAGGGGGTACCAGCTCCGGAAGTCATAAAAATACAAAACCTTTTCAATCATCAAATGTCTAAAAATTGCTTTCTCTTTATCTTAAAGGTTTTGTAAAAAGTTCATGAAAAGAAATAGATAATACGAAAGCAAATTACAAAAGTTAATTACATCCAATTCCAAAAGGAAAACATAGTTGAAAAAACCTACTTAAAAGTAGTCCCTGACGAAGTCAGCTTTGATTGTCATTTTTATGTTTTCATTGTTTCTATAGAATTCACCTTTTAAACAATTTATCTTTTAAAAAGTTAATTTATTTTTTTTAAAAATGTTATAACAGGGTGCATAGCTTTTTTAAAAAGTGCTTAAAGGTGCTTATTTTCGATCTTCGTTTTCTAAAAGCCCTTAAAGGTGCTTTTTTCATTGGTTGTTTTTAAAAAGTGCTTATTTTTCCCTTTTCCAAATTGAGATTTTCTGTTTAACATGTTGATTTTGGCTACGAATTATGCAGAAAGACACTGTTCACATTATTCTATTTAACGTTTTCACAATTAATTTAACCCAAATCTATTTCGGCGTATCGTCAGTTCATAGCGTAGGAAAACGCCATTCAGATAAAGGTAATTTTAGCAATAGTCAAAAACAATGACTGAAGTTTTTTTTTTTTTTCATGACGGTTAAAACCAGATAAAACCGTCAATTGTCAATAACTTTCCAACCCTACCTAATTATGATATTTTTTTAAGGTGCTTAAAAATATTACTTGAGTGTTTGAAAAATGCTTAAAAGGTGCTTATTTTTTGTTGAATAATTTGGCTATGCACCCTGTATAACTCTGCATAATATATCTCCTCCTTCTTTTAAATAGCGTCATAAGATAGTTGGGCATGTTGGCAGTGAAGAATCTCCAGTAGGACGTCGTGCCAAGCGTCATCATGGCAAAAAGCGTTATCGATCACATTCCCAATCTCCCACAAGTCCTCTCTCTCCTGAAGATGCCCAGACACTGGGCGACTCAGTTGAGTCTCTCGGCAATGGAGAGAAAAGCACTCTACTGCAAGAGAGTCAAAATCAGAATGAAGAATCTGAAACTTCACTCTTCATGGTTTTCCCGGATAAGGATAATGATAATACATGTGTTTAGTTACCCAATTGATATTACAGCACTTCCTCACTTCCTTTGTATTTTTAAAATAGTATATAGGGTGCTGGAATAACATCACTTTTTGATTTTACTCTTATTGAAGATCACGAAAAATCATACTTCTGCTAATTGTAGCAGGAATTAAATAAAAAATTTATTAATCATTATGGAAAATTAATAATTAAAATTTTTTATAAGGCTTTAAAAGTGAAGATAATATTTAGTTGATAAATTAAATTTGCATTGACTGTTGGACAGGAAAGATTCAATATTGGTTGTTATAATTGATTTTGCAAGTCGAAGATAAGTAATAGAGCAAATAGCCACTTTATTTTTTCTTGATGAATGCAACCAATAAACAAGTAAAAAAAATTTAATCATTTTTGTTACATAGGAATAAGTGAAATAAAATGCGTAAATTTATTGTGACTATGATAAGATATGCATTTATTTTTTGAAGGAAAATTAAAGTTATGTATTAAAACAGACCAATTTAGAAACATTTATTAACCCATTCTAGTCTTTAATTCAAAATTTTAATCAGGATATTTCTATCTAACATTACTTTCTTAACTATATTGAAGAAATGTAGAAAAAAAGTTTAAGTATAGTTAATTTTTTTGTTTCATGATAACCAAATTTATTTTTCTCCTAATTTCAAAATATTTTTGGCATTTCATTGCCTGAAACAGAAGCGGGTTTACAAAAATAAGAAATGTAAAATATTTTGGACTTCAAACTGTAAATGTATGTTGTTTTATTTTAAACAAGGAATATAAAGTTAATTATCATGAGTGATGGATTCCTAAGCACCCTGTATTTTTTTTTCCTACAAACCATTGCCATTAAAACTTCCTTATTAACGAAAAATAACGATATTAAAATTGGTTTCAATTTGTAAAGATTGTACTTATACATACTTCTGAAAAGGTCGTATATTTATCTTGTTGAATATGTTCATTTTACAAAAGTTAATTTTTTTTTTACTGTTTTCATTTTAAAGTAAATTCAATTGTTAAAACTGCACTCAAAATTGAAATTATTCTTAAAAAACATTTTCATGTCATTTAACTATTTATAAATAATATTATACACATTCAGATCTTTATATCTTATCTCTATTTTGATAATTTGTTTTCAAAATTCATATTTATAGAGGTTTAGAAAAGAGTGATTTTAAGTGATTAGTCCCTGTATCTGACATAGTTGGAGAGTTATGCCCTACAGGTGTTTGACTGAATGCCAAATTCACTATAACGATACGAAAATATCATTGTAGGATTAACCTGGAATGATTGATAAGATCACCTTATATCTCAAAATTGAATTTATTTATTTTTATTCTAGTTTTTAAAATTAGTCTTAACTATTCAAAATATCTATTATATGCAAAAATGTTAAATAACTATATATTTTGCAAAATAGTTAGCTTTTAAAAATTATGATAGCTGTACTTGACACTTATACAAAGTTATTTAAACCATTATATGCCAATTAAACAGTTACTTTTTAGGTGAAACAGTAATTTTCTTTTTAAGAAGTTATTTCTAGTGGAAAATTTTGCTATTGAGCATTTGTTTAAAGGAAAAAAAAATTAATATTGTCCATAAAATATTAGCAAGAAAATTTTGAAGTTACTATTAATGGCAATTAAACAGTTAATTTTTTGAAGAAACAGTAATTTCTTTGCAAAGAAGTTATCTATAGTTGAAAATTTTGCCAACAAACTAAAAATTAAGTTTTATTTTTATAAACTGAATCAGTTAATGAATGATTTACGCAACTTTTGTGTGTTTTTTCTTGTGGAAAATGCAGCTTGATATATTTAGCATGGCTTTAACAAAAAGACATGGCAGAAAAACATGACTTAAAGAACAAAATTTAAAAGAAACTTAATCAAGTGTTGTAAACGACTTTGATATTCTTCCTTTTGCTACCTCAATCTGAACCACTTTAAACATTTTTATCATTACTTTCTAATTAAGTTTGATGCAGGGACCCAAGTGTTGATACACGGACATCTTTTTAAAAGAAAAAAATTAACATTTATGACAAATAGGTCTATATTGTATGTTATAAATTAATAACATTTAGCACAGAATTGTGGCATTTAAAGATTTTGACAAATTGGTTTATATTATATGTTAAAAATATTAATTTTTATTTAACAGAGAATTATGAATATTTAACGGAGAATTTATGGTATTTAAAGATTAATTGAGATATAAAAATATCTCACTTTTTCATATTGATGAAAGTCTTGCATTTTGTTTATTTTTTCATACCTTTATCATAGAAAATGCAGACGTTTATATAAAAAGATAGCACAAAATTAAGACTGCAGTTAGTTCATTAGGTTATAATTAAATTTTAAATACTTCTTATCAATTTGTTATTGATTACCAGATTACTAAAATTGCAATTTCTTCAAAAACGCACATTTTAAAAAAAAAAAATATTTATAAATGAGATGAAAATAATTTTCAAAGTGTCTGTATGTAATATTAAAATTTTTGTTTCAATTTCTTTACTAAACAGGTCAAATTTAAATCATACTTAATGCTAATCGTCGGGTTTAGAATATTCTTTAAAATATTCTTAGCAAATTATATTGTGAAGAATTTTGATACAATAGTTTATACAACAAAACATTGCTCAGCAAGAGGGGGAAAAATGAAGAGGTTTAAAATATCTTAGAAAGCACTTATTTACTTTTTGACCTTTCTGGTCACTGAATCTATTAATTGTTTATCTATTATGGTTATTTTTATGAAACGAATTGCAATCATATTTAACAGAAATATTAATTCTTTATTAGTGAACGAAATATTGAGATATAGTAGGCCCCCCAAAAAAGGTATCTTATAACATATTGATCTCTAAACATGTTCGCTTTCTCAGATATCCAAAATAATGAAGGTGCAAGATGAATTTCAAGTATTAGCTTAAAATATTTTTAGAATGCTATAGAGCAAAAGAAATATTGAAATATGAAAAATAATTATTCAAATAGGTGTCTTAGTGGTGATGCATTGTTAATATTATATGTGTATTACGATATTACTTTTTTATTATAGTAATTAAAAAGTATAATTTGTTATGAATAAAGCACAAATAAAGTTACAGAAAGGGGCATATTATAGTTTCAGTTATATAAACAAGAATCTTCTTCAATGTCTAAACTCATTCTGAGGTTAGATACAGAAGAAGTGTCAGATTTTGTATTTGATACTGAGAAAGATTCTTGTTTATAGAACCCAAACTATCATGTTCATTTCTGTATTTTTATTTGTGCCTTATTCACATATTTCTTTCTTTTTGTTATTTTTTAATGACCTTTGTTATGTTTGTTTTACATTCATATACATTAAATATATTATTTTTCTCTGAGAAGCTTAAAGCAATAAGGGCCTACTGTATTAGATTGCAGATTTTCAAGGTTAATGTCTTGCAGAGTTATGCTGAATGCAATAATGGTAATTGTTCTTAAGGTTTTATTATCAACATTCTGTTTGTTTGTAAGTATGGTTTAGAAAATGCATAAAGGCACAAATAAAATAAGAAGCAGTCCTTTTGGTAAGTTTAACAAGTATCGTCATAACTAAGGTAACAAATAAAATTTTTTATCCTGAGTGATCCACACTGATGATGGCACTAGAAATGACTGTTCATCTTTTTAATGTTTTTGTTTGTTTTTATGTAATTTTTACTATTTCTTTTAAATGGTTTGTGTTTGAAACTAAATAACTTGAAATAGATATTTCAAAAACATTTTGTTTTTATTTATTATTGCCTGTATAAAAACAAAAACAGAATTATATTGCATTTCTTTTATTTTAATCTTAGCCTGTCATTGTGATATTTTTTATACTTTTTTAGTCATTTATTTTTATTATGTTAGTCATTTAACGTAGGTGTGTTTAGATTTGTTTATTGTTCTAAGTTTTGCTAAGGGATTTGTTTTGTTATGTAATTTGAAAAGTCATATTTAAGACTATCTTTATTTTTTAAATGAACAGCTCTGCTTTTACCATCTGTTGCGTGTATATTTCATTCGATTTACTTTTGTTTCGAAAAATTTCCCCTTTTCCTCAATAAGAATATCTTTCTAATATAATTTTAAATTATTTCTTAGCACTAAATAACGAATTCACACTTTAGATTATAAAGTGTAATTAGTTCTAGCATAAAGTAGTGATGTCTTAAATTATATAAAGTAGATTTTTTTGTTATTGTTTTATGCATATATGTATCTCCGATATTCATCTGTGAATATTTTAAGGAGGCTATATATCGAAACTAATGTAGCGTCCTTTGATGTGATATACAGTGGTTTTTTTTTATTATAAAAAAATTACTGATTAATGCTATCAAAAGTAATATGAGTTACACCAGACAACGACGAATCTTTATCTTTGTATTAAAAAGTAGGTATTTTTCAATAGTTTGCTGGCATTTGAACCATAATTGGATTATAATAAATTATCACTTAATTGTTCAGGTGAAACTATTTTAAATTTTAATTACTTGAGATTGTTCCCTTTTTTATTATAATTATATAATAAATATTTTTCTAGATTATAAAATATGACATTCATTTATACTAGTAAATCCGTAGTCTGTTATAAATTAAAAAAATTTGAAAAAAAAAATTATTAAACATATTTTTTAAAATGATTAATATTTAACTTATTACTGCTCTGCTGATTATGTGGTTTAGTACTATATAAAAAAATAAGAAATAATAATTTGAATTTAAAACATGAAGGGTTTATTTAAAACAATAACAAGCTTTAAAAACAATTATAATTGTTATTGTACTGCAAGAGTCTTGTATGTGTACTTTTTTACTTTTATAGTCGTTTCAATTTCAAAATATAGCCTACTTTGATATCTTGCAAAAATTCTACAAAAAAGAAAGTGATTTAAGTTTTTTTTTTTATTGCTTTTTCTCCTAATCTTATTGTTTAATACTTTATAATGTTTAAAGGGTGTACTAATATGAATCAAAAATCTAAGTAAATGAGTAAGGATTTAAATTTTCCTTAAGTATGTTTTCCTTTTCTTATGTGAAACCTCTCATTGTTTTAACAGTTTCTTTGCTCTGTGCAAGGCTATAACCGCAGTAATACTAATTTCTTAAGCCTATTGTATTTTTAAAAAATAAGATAAGAATTGTATCGCCCCCCCTTTTTTTTCAATTTTAAAAAGTTAATTAATTTGTTATTCTAATTTGGTATGCGTCAGCAAATTATTGAAATATATTCTTAGAATCTTAATTAAATGTGCTTAGATATAGAATGAAAAAAAATATATGATTAAGTGTTATAGAATATATTTTTCTGCCTCTTGAATTCAGGAGAATAAGGTTATGATATTTTATTTGTAACGAATAAAATGTGTTTTATTGATATTTAGATAATTACTTAAAACTAAATTTTTTTTAGTTCACGATATCTAACTTTTATTTTTACACATTTTCATATCCTATAAATATTTTACAATTTTAATTCGAGTTCTAAATTCTTCTTTAGCATTACATTAAATCAATTTATGTTTTCAACGTTTAGAATGATATGAAAATTGTATACAATTATCTTAATATAAATTGATACTTGATCAAAAGTATTTTTACGGGTTGTAAGAAAAATGTATTTTTTATAAATATAATAAGGTTTTATAAAAATATTTGCTCAAATAGCTTTTTCAAATATTATAACTAACCTGACTTCAACGAGGCTAAGAATAATAGATATTGTTAGTGAAGTGTAATTTGATATATGTACTAGTAAATGATTGTGATAAACTATAGACTATATGCTTTAAATAGCTTTTATGATGCAGTTATAATGTTGAGATGTAAAGTTCTTTTTGTTGGCGTGTAAAACCTGCCATTATTGATATATGCATGTTTGAAAGCTTTTTACTTCTGCCAAAATTGTAATGTGGTACTTAATAGATCTTGTGATAATTCGCCAAATTTATTTGTATTGCTATATATATATATAATTATTGTAATGTTGCCTTCATTGTTGAATATTGTATGTTTATATGTTGTGAAAATAAAAGTATAACTAAAAAAATATATGTATCAACTGACAGCAACTTATGAGGCGTTTGTAAAACATAGTTTTTAACCCATAGTACATTCGCTCTTATGGACTCAAAAATTTACCCCTATTTCAGATAATTGAAATTTGTTGAGGCAATGAGTGTGCTATTTTATATAGACCATTTGTTCCAATTTTGATACTGTACACAAATATTTGATCTTTGAAGCTAAATTCTGTCAAGGCTAAAAAGCTGGGGTATCTAGTGAAATCCAATTTAAAACCCTTAGCTCCAAAAATACATTTACCTTTTAACAATTTTCTTTTCTAAGTTATACTAGTTTTAAGTGGAATTGAACTTATCCAGAAAATTTGTATCATATTTTATTGAAATTAAATTTTTCACCTAACAGGGAATGAACCAACAAGCATTATCAGAAAAATGAAGAAAACTAAGAGGGGTTGAACACATAAGTGGAAAAGATTGCCAAACACTCTCAGGTATGGAGTAATTCAACAGAATTTTTTTTAATCAGCTTTGGGAATTTCTCCCACATCCTTCTACATTCAGATTGCCCATGAGCAATGGCGCAACTTGGTTGGTCAAAGAAAAGCTTGAGTTAAATCATGACTGTCCTGGCGTCATGACTGTTAAAAAGATCTTCTTAAGCTTAACAGGAACAGCTTGAGGAAGATCATTGGTCTTCTCACTGGACACTACACCCTCAGGAGACATCATTACATTGTGGGTATTGCATCTGATCTTTGTAGAGGCTGTAATCTTGAGGAGGAAACTTCACGACACATACTTAGTAATTGTGAGGTCTTGTGGCGTAACTACCACTACAAATGTTAAATAACAAATCACTAGTATATAAGACATGTTAACTTGAATCCATCACGAGGTACCTTTTGATAGATGAAGGTTGATATAGTCTAAGATTAAATCCCCACATTGGTGACCTGCGGACGAGATAAGAAATTGTCAATATTGATGGATGAATCCACATTAAACAGTTGATTTGCTTAAAAAGAAAAAAATTAATCCGGTGAAGTAAATAAAGTCTCCCAGTTAATAAACAATAAAAAAAAAATGAGATGATGGGAAAAAATAGCGAAAAGCTGTAAAAAAAAAAAATAATAAATAACGAGCGAAATGCTTAGAAGAAGGAAAAATATATATATAATGAGCAAAAATTGAAGTTAATAAATAAAACAGCATTAATCGACTAGTGGAATCTGTTCATCGAATTCTATCACAGATAAAATTCTGGAAGGGGAGTTATGTGGCGTAACTACCACTACAAATGTTAAATAACAAATCACTAGTATATAAGACATGTTAACTCGATTCTATCTTGAGGTACCTTTTGATAGATGAAAGTTGACATGTCTATAATTATATCCCCCACAGTCTCTTCTGCTCAAAGATTTCAGCACATGGGGCAACATTGCATTAAGGCCTGGGAATTACAGGATGTTCCTGTCATGTGTTTGATGAACTTTGTTTCAGCTATAAAGCTTTTCTGCTAGTCATGATCTAGGGTTTGGGTACAATAGACCTCTTGTCTATGTGCCCTTCTCCTCGTAACTGCCCAATCTCTCAAAGTCTATCTAACAGAAAGTTTCTAGACAACAAACTTTGCTTAGTATCTAGTATCTGCTTAGTATTCCGCTGAGAGATAGGTGTTCCTTCACTTAATCAAATTCTGTCACTAAGCTATAATTGTTACAGCCAATTCGTTACCAAGGAGGAGGTTAGCAATGGAAGTTAAAGCTTTACTGTTTCTTGACAAGAATGTGGTCAGCATTATGCACCGACCTGTACTTCCTACTAAAGCTGAACTTAAGTATGGCCTAGGATAGAACCCAGGTCACATACAATAGCAGCCTCTGTTCAGATTGGAAGTACTTTCTATTATGCGTAGTCAGCATTAGATAATCACCAACTGGTTAACTCAATTCATTTCTCAGATAATGCTTGTCTTCCACAGTCAATATCTGATGCATAGAAAAAGCATAAACTTACTATTTAAATAAAATACTTTTTAAGTGTAATGAAATGAAACTGAAGAGACCAATTTAAATAACAAACAAGATTACTTTTATTTCACATATGTACAATAATGGAATAAATCATATCTTCTTTTACATTTAATAGGAAAGACAACACATCTATTTCTGCAACATGGTAACAAACATTACAGTGTACCCCTAAAGTATGAATGCCGAGTGAAGGCTCGTCACAAAAATAAATTTCTAGCTTCCTCTGAAATAAATCATGCCTAGTAAAGATTTTAGTATTCACTACATCTGCAGAGAAGTTCTTAGCAATGTTAATTAAGACCGTACACCAAGAGTTAAGTTTACACAATACACAGTCTTAGATAATCGCATGTTTCGATTGCAACTTATGAGCTTGCATGCAATTAGAAACTTTAAACCCTTTATAACAATTTATATCTTAAAATGCTCAAGTAGTATGCCTCATTATATGACCACCTTTGAAATAAATAGCGAGAAAAAGAAAACATATTTGAACATTTTGTGTCTTCTTATGTACCTGCTGAAACAGTTACCCTCTTGTTTCAGGAAAAATTTATACATTCTTCGGATAAATCATGAAATCTAGTATTTGAGGGCTATTTTCATGACTTTTTAGCATCTTCCAAAATTCATCAATGATGAAAAATTTGAAAACAATTAATTTGCTATGTAGTAGGATATAAGTTCAGGCACCTTTTGATGAAAATATCAGCTTCCGATGAAGCTTGAATAAGGCAAAAAGAGAGGAAAAGGAAACAACCTCTTCAAAATAGTATTTATATCACATTATAAAGCTTATGAAAACATCAGGTACTTACTGAACATTTGCTTTGTTCAAAGTTGTGCGCATACCCTTTTCAAAGCCTTATATATTCATATATCATGGCATTTAGAATACTGTATTTTTAAATGCAAAAATTTTTCGATTTAACAGGCAAAATGTAACTATTTCAGCAAGACACAGAGGCCCACTGCAATAGGATTCAATATTTAATGCCATCTTGATTATATCTTATATGGCACATAAGTGTTTTGTGCTTTTAATAAAAAAATAAACAATTCTAATCGCTTGTAACAATCTAAAACTATTTTTTTTCTTATGCTTGCCAGTGGAGAATACACAAACACATAAGAGATTAGCTTCAGTATGATTATGTACAATGAGTCCACTGTAGCAGCTGCATATACAGGCATGAGACTATCATACCAAATTGGTATATTATATATTGCAAAGGTATATTAATGAAGCATACTACAACTTTTAAACTTTTTTCATTTAACAATTTCACTCAATATGTATAGTAAGTATATATATTAGAAACAGAGTCCAAGATCTCCAAGCAGAGCATTTCATTTGAGTTCACAGAGGAAAGACAATGTTCATTCAGTAAAATATATAAAAAGTAAAAATAAAAAAAAAGAAGAAAAAAAAAACTTTATAGTTTTTGTATAAATATTATCTTTTTTTACCTGACTTGACAAACTTAATAGAAGGTTTAAGTATCACAGAACATTGCTTTGCAAGAGACAAAAAATAATCATTTAAAAACAGAACATACAACCAGCATGAAGGGGCAAATCAATGTGATATTAAAAATACAACTGGGTTAATAGTTTAAAATACATAATTTTAGAGCAATACATTGACATTTTAGGTTTAAAAAAAACTGTATTCATGTGTGACTCGAACAGCAATATTTTGTGGAAATATAAGAATTTGTCACAAGACCTAGCAGATATACAAGAAATCTGACACACTTCTTTATGGTTTGAGAAGAGAAGGACATCACGTGACAATTTTAACATAAAAACACAACTTTGGTGTTGCCTTTCGGTAAATAATCCATTGAAGTTTCTACAATACTCAAGTTCAGTGGCATTGCCACAACTAGTGAGTTTCCATCACTTATCCAGCACCGGTCAACAGTAATTGAAGCATACTTGCCATTTTTTTTATTATTATTTTTTTGGTACATTTCATTCATGATTTCAATTCAGTTATCACTCCAATATCACATACAGGAAAAATTCCTTTCCGGTAGAACAGTTTTCTTACATATTATCAATACATCCTTACAAGTGAATTTTTTTTTTCAATTTGCAGAAAAAGGTCTATTTTTTTTCAAAATACCAACTACTTTAACAGCAAACTAGCTCCTAATGTAGCTTAGCATGATTTAAGTAGCATTACTTAAGGTCTACGATCGGAGAACGAGTATGCTTCTTTTCTTCGATACTCAAGAAAAGCATTTTAATATGAAGGATGAAATAAAAATAAAAGCTGATTTTTCTTAACTTAAAATGCATGGCAGTAATCAAGCATCAACAGTTGTAAGAGCTAAAATGCAAACATATGTCCATCAACATAATAAAATAACCTTTCCCAAGCATTTAATTTGGTTATGTGCATCAATACCTAAGTTTCCCCTTGTTCAGGTACAACAATTAAGTTATAAGCTTAATATTTTTAAGGGGTTCATCCCCTCAATAACGACTCATCAATAAAAAGTGTTAAAATCACAAAAAATACAAGATTCAGTGGACAAAACTTGGCACGTAACTTAAATAGACATAATGTATATCACACAAGAATGACACAAGCTTTAAATTGGGAAATTTTTAAATACTAAAAAAAAAAAAAAAAAAAAAAAAAAAAAAANTAGCTTGACTTAATTTCTTGATGATACACAACACATTCTATTTTGGCTAGTAATGATTAGGCAAGAAATCAAGCCAAGGAAAAAGAAAAGTCAGTTAATAAATTTCATTTTAAACCGATATAAACAGTAATTAACAGCATCATTAACATGAACAATAACAATGATGCCACAAGCGAGGAATTAACCAATTTAAAGCTTAATGTGACTCTTTCTTCTCATCCACCCATTCTCTTAAATACTCACACCATTCTACACATGTCTTACCACTGAATACTTAAACAATAAAGTGAGACCACTTCAATTATGAAGGAAATAGCACATTCTGATGGATTTTAAATAAACTGAAAAAGGGATGTATATGTAAATTTTCTCTCTCATTTAAAGTAATTTTTTTTTATCAGTCAACCACCAACAAGGGTAAACTGAGGTATTGCTAGCAAACATCTCGTCTAATAATCTCGATAACGCATAGCTTGCTTTATCTTAAGTAGAAGAGGGTAAAACAGTTGCCACTGGTTGTTGCTTAGCAGGTCCTCCATTAGCTGGCTTTTTCTGGAATTGGTTATTCAGTTGCATCAAAGTCTCTGCAGATGCATTTGCACGAAGAATATCATTCTCGTGCTCTAACTGAGAGATCCTTTCAAGAAGCTCAGTTATTTTTTCTTTAAGCACCTCCACCTCTTCGCGCACTGCGAACATAAGATGACTTTTGACCAAATCCTGCAAAAAATTAAACAAAATAAGTAAAAATGTATAATGTAATTCATACAATATAAAAAACACTCTACAGTTAAGCTTCTACTCATAAAAAAATAAAATTCACTTTTTGATGCACTCTGTGATGATTCTGGCACAAAATTTACATCATTTTCCATTTTTTTTTCTCAAGTTATTTATTGTTTTTAGGTCATTTCTGCAATGTTTTTTAATTTCTATATCATTATGATTCGACAACTAGATTCACATTTTTTTGATCAGTTGATTATTTAGAATATTAAGAGCCAATTTTGGGGGAAATAGAGGCTTTTTAGCTGTTTTTTGTATGAAATAGGAGCTATAGTCACCTCATCACAATTATTGCAGCAAATATGGTAGCCAGTGGAGGATTGTTTCGACTGAATTTTAAAAATAAAATTCCCCAACAGGAAAATTTTAACTAACTCTAGATTGCATTTTGCAATGGGTGATTTAACATGCAGAATTTAGAATACACTACATTACATAAATAAATGATAAAAGCAAGAATTTGCACAAAACTCAAGAGAAAAAAAATTCTATATAACATAGTTTAATAGAGACTCAGTAAAGTAGTCTATCATCATAAACCTTGATTGTGATTGAGAACCAAAATTAATTTATACAGTAAGTTTGATCTTTAAAGAACATTTTATTGAACTACTAACATATAGTTATATTCAAGAAATTTGAAACGAATTCTTAGAAAAGAAAAGTTTTAACTAATTAACATTTTAATTTAAATCTATCTAAAAAAACATTTAACAAAAAATTCTTAAAACTCATTTACTTTGAACCTCAGGAGCTATTTATATTTATCAAGAATTTAGATCAATTTCAAAGATATTTCTGTTTTTTGGACAAAAAATACATTATTCCTGGACTTTCTTTCTTAGCCAAAAATTAAGTTTCCAAGAAAATTCCAAATTTCCATGGCCCAGTGGGAAGTTGTTAAAAGGAAGTTAAAAGGCCGGAAATTTGACTTAAGAAAAAGAAATAGAGAAACAACTGCAAACAAGTAAAGTTAAGGAAAAATTTGTAGCACAAATAAATGCTCCATAATTTTATCAACATTCATCACTCTCATAATAAACTAAAGAAAAAATCACAACATTATACCAAAAAAGAAAAGATAATTGTATACATATAAGTATAATAAAGGCAAATTTTATAGCAAAAGAATAAAATAGGTTTTTTATTTCGCGTTAGAGTTACTTCCTTCAAAACAGGGGATGTCACTTCAAAAAAAAAAGGCAAACAGTTTTATGTTTTGAAAACAAGATGCTTCTTCTATTTATAATGTGTCATTAGAAGCAGCAAAAGTTCCAAATATATTATTTAAAACACTATTTCCTTTTATGTTACTGCATATTAAGGTCTCTAAATTTTCATGCGGTTATGATCTTTATTTTAAAAATATAGGTAATTTTGGACTTCAGATTGACAATTAAAAGGGCATCTTGCATCATCATGTAAAAGACATGAAATTATTAAAATAAAGGATAAACATTATGTTAAAAATTGAAAATTATAATATGTGCTACAAATTAAAGGCACGTGCTAAAAATTTTTAAATTATTTTATAAACATCTAGTTTTCTTATCGCATTCTTTTTGTTAACACAAATAAATATGTATACATTCCAATATAATTATTATAATTCACAAACATTATAAATTATACAAATACTGTATATCCTGGTGCATAAGTAGATCCCTATTTTTGAGTATGAGATAGAAAATTTCTTATTGGCTTACTATTTTTCTTAAACTACTCATGTGAATCAAATGTTCCCTGAGGCAGAATTTATTTGGGCTTTCTGTGACCAACTTCCCTAGCACTAATATTTTGCTTTAAGATACTTTTAATTAGAACAAATATTATTTAAAAATAATAAGTTTAGTTAATAATATTATGTTCATGTAGACAATTAATAGTTTAAAGTAACAGAAATGTTGTGTTTACAAAAGTATAGAAAATGTATAAAAAATTTTAATTTTAATTCTTATGTTATAGATGATATTCTTGCATTTTGTAGACGGAAAAATGCACTAATTATTTCTTCTTTCGAATTTTGTAAATCATAACACAAATTAAAATTTGTACATAAATTAAAAACCGTGGAGTAACTCCCAAAATAAAGATCATGAATCACATGAATGAGACTTTTAACATAAATAGATACTCAAATAAGTGTACATAAAATATGGTGTTCTTTAAAGAAAAAAATAATGAAAGAAAGATCATAATTCTAGAGCAAACTATCTTTTCGTAGTTTATGAAATTTTTTTTTTAATTATTAATTTGAAACTGAATTTATGAAAACTATTTTTTTAATTAACTAGCTGAAGCCAGTCATTACAGATGTTTTTAAAAATCTCAAATGAGAATAGAAGAATCATGATTATTTCTTTCTGTGATTATTGATTCTGCGATAATGTCGCCACAATTCATCCTTGGGGCAAGTGTTATAGTAAAATCTTTTCAAAAGTGTTGACTCAGTAAATGAGAAAATAGAATTCATTGCAAAATGGAATCCATATGACAACATGGCTAACATTATTGAATCCACAAAACATGTTTTGAAATCTTTTAAATTTGTAGCTTTATTACAGTGCGTTTTAACAGTGTTTCATTTTTTGATAAACTCTAAAATATATTAACTTTTCTCTTTTTAATTTTTTTCTGAATATAATTTAAATCCTTATTTGTAAAAGAAAAAACTTCATAAGTAAACTACTAAAAAATTTGCGTTAAATTTTAAAATATATCTTTTGAATTCTGCCTATGACTCGTAGTAAAATCAGTAGATGTATTATATTCACTTATTTGAAATAAAATCAAAATATAATTTTTTAATTCATTGAATTTTCAGGGTGTGCAAGTACATTATCTTGACTCCCCTTCTTGCAAGCAACAATGTTATAATAAACTTTGAAATTATATTCATTGTTAAAAAATATAATAATAAAACTAGAAAGACTATTATATATTGTAGTTACAATATAACATAGTAGTTATATTACAAGTCGAAATTATTACATTTTTGGTCAATTTATATAGTTGAAATTTTATCAAAATTATCTTATCCCCTTTTCCCATGAAGTGATTAAATTCAAAACTGGAGCTTTCTCATTTTTTTTTTTTTCCAAACTCATTTCTTACAACTTATTTAGCTACTTACTACTGTTAATAAAAATGCCATATTTAATAATAAAAATTATAAGAGTAATTAATAGAATACATTAATGCTTTTCAACTAAGTATTATTTTTAACTGGTAGAAACTGTAGTTTTAGAATACATGATTAATATACCTAAATTTTTCATTTGTTTCTGAAATTTTTTTTAGTATGTACACAATAGAAATTTTTACAAACAATTTTAATAATTCAATTAAAATTACATTTTTCACAGATCTATAAAAGTTTGACCAGAAATTTAAGAAATAAAAGTAATAAAAATGCTTCATTCAAATTTCAGTTAAATATGATATAATATAAACACACACACAAAAAAACAGCAAATTCTCTAATTTCCTAGTAACTTTTTTTTTCTTTGTTACCTATTCTAATTACGTTAGTGTTAAATTTTTAAAATACAACTTTAGAGTTCTGCCAATGATTGATAGTAGAATCAACAGGACATGATTAACTTAACACTTATTTTTAAAATAAAACAAAATATAATTTTCAATCTATTGAATTTCCGCAATGCACTATTTTAACCCCCCCCCCTTGCAGACACCTATGTTAGTTGCTTAACAAAAAGAAAAGAGCAAATCAACTTTGAAATTATACTCATTGATAAAAATATATTAGTAAAACTAAGAATAAAAAAAAAACTTTATAAATACATGTTGGAATTATTACATTTTTAGTCAATGTATAGATTTGAAATTTTATCAATTATCTTACTCTTGGTTTCTCAACACATTTAGTAAAAACGGTTAAAAATACAATTATCCCCCCTTCCCATAATATGATTCAATTCAAAACTGTTAATTTAAATCTGTTAAAAGATATCATTTGATATCAAAACAATTTATTTTATAACCATTCAGTCCATGAAAAACTAATGTTTGGAAAAAGTTTGGAAAAGCAATAATGCTAAATCCAGTTAAGCAAACAAGAATAATTGAAATTTCTTTACAAAATCAAAGCTTTCAGATTTACAACAATAGAATTCTGCATTCTAATAACATAATAATTCGACATACAAAAAATATAAATTTTTTAATTAATATTAGCTTAATACAAAAAAAAAAAAGAAATACAAAAACAAAAAAGAATTTTCAAAAAATGAATACAAAAAATAAATGATACTTGTAATAAAATATATTCTCACCATTGCCTGTTCTATTTTATTGTCTATTGCAACAGTATTTGCTCCTGTAGGTGCAGCACTGGAAAAGATTAATATAATTAGAAATCAGTTAACATACAATAATGGGTCAAAGTTAGATAAAAATATATAAATAATATATTGGTTGTCACAAAGATTTGATTACTATAAAACTCATACTAAACATTTATGCTCCTTCAAATCATATTGATTCTATAAGTTTACTATAGGTACAAAATCAGATTATGTTTTCACAACTATCATAATTATGCACAGTATACAAAGCAATGGTATTAATCAAGACAATTATAATTATTAAATGCGTATTTAATAAAAGATAAAATCTTAATTTTAATTAATTAGAACTTAATATCATCTTCCTGCTTTTAATACTAGGTAATGAAACTGTATTTTGGACAATGATAACTTTTCAATGTAAATAAAACTACTAAGATACTCATTCAAAGATCTACGCTATTTACTGAATAAAATCTAAAAACTACACTTGTATTTAGAAAATGAAATTCATCACAAACACAATCTTAGACACCAAATATAAAGACGCGATCAGGAAGTACATATATTACTGATTAAATAAATAAATAAAACATGAATTATTCGCGATTCTGATTACAAATCATCGATTGATACAGAACATAAATTATACTCAATTATGAAAAAGCATTTAATAACGAAGAACATCAATTATGAATGCGGATCAGCAATTCGAATATTCAATTCACAACGAAAGAATGGGAAAAATTAGCAAATAACAGTAATCTCAACAGAGAACTAATAACAAAAAAGGAGACATCATTAAATTAAAAGGAAATAATTAAACAAAATCAAATCCAAAATAAAGAGAAAATAACTTACCAAATAAAATCATAAAAGAAACACATTTTACAACTGTCAAAAAAAAAAGCTTTTTAATAAAATTAAATATCACATACTGCCCGCAAACGCAAAACAAGGATGACCTTCTAATCTGATGGCCAAAATATAGAATGGGGAAACCCTCTTTAAGATATAAAAAAGCACGAATAACTGACTATTTAGAATGACCAAATTTTACGACAGCACAGAACAGCTATAAACATCATTACACCACAACCTCCGGTTAAAAACTAGAAGTTATACAATCTTGGTGATTACTCCCGCAGTTCAACCAGCTAAGAGCGTTACGTAATAAAAAATTGTCTTTATCTTTCAGAACAACGCTCTCCATTAGGGTTGCCGTAAAAAGAGGTTTCCCTGTTGGCGAAAGCTCAAAATGCTTATCTAGATCTTGGTCAAATTTTTTTCTATTCAGTAGAATTGAGAGTAGTCTTTAAGAGTTAGGAGATTGATTGAGATTCCAGTTAAAAGTTCTTACACATTAAATGCAGGAAGAGGAAAGTTCTAATTTAATCCATGAAAAAAAAAAAAACTTTATCACCAATTCTATTTCGAAACTGTGAGTTAAAAGGTATACACATCATGTAATTTAAAAATATATATTTCGCAATATTTAAGCACTAGATAGATATAAAAACTGTTCGATAAAATTAAAAGAAGAAAAATCTCAATTTTTATACAGCAAAAAAGCTCTCCTTAAACAAGAAAAATTCAACAAACATTTTTGTTAAATCTTCGAAGAAAAAAAAACAAGATTCAATACATGAATTAAAATATGGAATATAACTTAAGAAATGTTGCGTTCAATTTAATTATTTGCAGTCCTCGCATTACAATAAAATTTTACAAATCTCGTGTACAATAAAATTTTACAAAAAGATAACGGTTAAATTAGAACATTATAAATTACAGTCTAAATAAAATATTTTAATTCCGAAAAGTAATCGATGCGAAACAGTGGGAAAAAAATTAACCGGCAAAAAAGATGAACTTACAAATCTAGAAAACCTACCAACAATGCGCAAATCACGTGATACGGCAAAAGTTCTTGACGTCAGGGGTAGAGTTGGCCACAGGCCAAACTTAAACGAATAACGAAAGCTTCCCCAACACCTGATTGTTAAGATGGGTCATTCACCCTTTGCGTTTCGCAATACTACCACGCAATATTTTTAAGCCATGTTATTATAAAAAAAGGGCAATAATTTAAGCTTAGATTGAACAAAATATTTATTATTTGCGACCAATATTTTTATGCATATCAGTACGATAGCACTACATTTCAATTTCATCTCTATGGCAACATCCACACATAAATTCAGTTTTCACAAAAACAAACACAAATATCACTTCCGCTTTATAAACATCATTTCAGAACGTAAATAAACATAGGCTTCCCTTTCTCCTTTTTTCCCCTTCTTTTTTTTTTTTATTTTTTTTTAAGGTTGTTTACTTTCGGCTTTAGATTTAAAATTTTATAGATTTTAAATTACATAACATAATTATTTTAAAAAGTAGATGGATTTTTAAATTAAAGCAACTGACATAGAAATAAAATTATAGTTTCTAATTAATTGAAAAAAATAAATAAAGCAGAAATATTCATAAACTGAATTTATTGTTGTTTTTTTTAAGCACATCTCTAAAAAGTAATTCTAACAATTTTATTGCTTGTAAGAAAGAAATATCTCATACACAAGAAATTTTTCTGTGCACTAAAGATAATATTGATTCTTTTACGCTTTATATTAGATATTTATCTAACATAAAGAGTAAAGGAATATATATTATCTTTAGATATACATCTTTTTTTTATTACGTGTAAAGGAAACAAAGTAAAAAAAAAAGATTTTTATAATAACTTATTTAACAAAAAGTTTTTTTATTTAAAAACTTTTAGGTCACAGGTGAATCACCAGCAGCCATGTGCAACACTTGTAAAAAAATTGACTAAATTTAAAGGGGGGGGGAAGAGATCTAAAAGTCAAATATTTATAATATATATTAAATGAATTAGTTAAAAATTCGCATGCATTTGTTCTGTTTTAGAATACTATTTTCAGTAAAAAATAACAACGCATGCATTTGTTCTGTTTTAAAATACTATTTTCAGTAAAAAATAACAAACTCTAAATTATTATACGCGATTTCACATTCATTAAGCGATAAATTTATTCGGAATAATTTTTTTAAATAATCCCTTAAAATACAGTATTAATATTTTGAAGGGAAAAAAAAGGGACAGAGTGAGAGGGAGTGATCAAAGATCATGTGATAGAAGGAAATTAAATGTTGCATTAATAAATTGAGCCACGATGATATAGCGATTAAAGCTCCAAACAGTAATATGAAAGATCTGGTATTATATCCCTAGCAGCATCTTAAAGCCCTTTAAGCTTCAAATCGATGGGTACAAGCCAGTATAAGAAGTAAAGGCGGTTAACGCGCAATACTCTCTACGTTACTACCACCAGGTCGTTGGTCTTATCGCGACCCCTGATTGGCTGTTACCGCAATGCGTTACGACATCTGTATCATTGTTTATAAGAACGGTGTGAAGTAAAAATCAAAGAAATAAAAAAAGCAACTAAATTGCAATAATATTATTCCGTTATTCCTGATTTTGGAATAAAATTTCTGTAAATATTAATTTTTGGCATCTTTTTTTCCCTCTTTAACGGAGACGAAATGAACAAAAAAAATAATTACTATTGGTATACAAGTATTACACTAGCAGATGACGAATAATGAAAAGAAAATTTTAATGAAGAAAAAATAAACTGAATAATAAAAATAAATTTTGTCCTTCAACTCCTAAGTATGCAATAAATAACTAAATCAAAGAAAATGTTGTGTTATGAATTCAATTCCCAAATAATAACCAAAAATATGAATATTTGCCCATGGACGAACTTAACACTTCTTCCTCCTTTCATTGGGGGGGAAAAAAAGAACAAAACTACGATAACTAACAAATAAGATATTTATAAAAAGCATTTGTGGTTCTAAATTAAGAAAGAATTCCTTCCAGAAAGGCGCGGCATCTAATTGCATTTGCTCCAAGAAAACAAGGATGACTTAAAATAAACAACTAAAAAAAAAATGCTTTAATGGTTCCTAGAAATCTACTCGGAAAGCTGCAATTAACTCAGACAAATCCGCCCGAAACAGCTAGACTGCATGGCGACGGCACTCGGTAAATCCAGAATGAAAGAATAAGCCTTGGAGTTTTGCCAACATGAAACACTTCATAGAATTAAAGACGCATGGAGTATCTCATCTGAATACAAAATGAATTATGAACCAGACAATCTAGTGGAGAAATCATCTCATTAATATCTTTCAGAGCTCTTAAACCGAGTGGCTCTCAAACGTATTCGATTAGGAATATAATCCCTTCAACTTCTATCACATTTTGCACCTGTTTCATTTCTGGATCCGGTTTCTGACGATCCACGAAAAGAACATGGCTTTTGCACATGCTTTTCTGGAACATTCGATTCGAACTAGAAGTGATAGACGTCATACATTCCACTATATTAAATAAGGGGTCAAGATTCTTTTATTCGACAAATTAAAATTGGATGAAATTCGATTTAGGACAGCCAGAGGTTCTGACCCAGCTGACATTAGATGAACCTCTTCAGAATAATACAAAAAGTTTTTGTTTTTTTTCCTCTTGCACAAAAAGTTTATTTTTCCTTCCATTTTTCGAAATTTGATAATTCTATTGTTTTTCGAAATTCCAGGATATTTTTTGAATAGTTTAAAATACATGGACTTAAGAATAGACTTCGAAAAAAAAATAAATAATTAAATTTAAATATGCATAATAGAAGAAACAAAACAAAAAAGAAATTTAAATTCAATTCATTACTTTATAAGAAAAGGTATACATTAAAGTTTGCCATTTTAAAAGGGAACAATCGAATCCTCTAAATATATTTTGCACATTTGATGAAGATTTGGAGTATTTTTAGTTAGGAACAAACAGAAAAAAATAATTTTTCAATGGATTTGCCAAAACTACTTATTAAGTACCAAGAATTATTAATCTTAACACCTATACCGGACATATTTTAAATCATAATCTCCATATTTCTCTTATAACTCATAACAACATAAACTCGGATATTTCTTTATCCATTGGCAACACTATAGTTA